AGCATTTGATGTAGGAGTGAGTTAGTTGGGTATAATTCACTTTAAAGCAGTATCCCAGTCAGTTACGGTGGGATGTAAAGTAGCACTTGATGTAGGAGTGAGTTAGTTGGGTATAATTCACTTTTTAACAGTATCCCAGTCTGTCACAGTGTGATGTAAGTAGCACTTGATGTAGGAGTGAGTTAGTTGGGTATAATGCACTTTAAACAGTATCCCAGTCAGTCACAGTTGGATGTAAAGTAGCACTTGATTTAGGAGTGAGTTAGTTGGGTATAATGCACTTTAAACAGTATCCCAGTCAGTCACAGTGGGATGTAAGTAGCACTTGATGTAGGAGTGAGTTAGTTGGGTATAATGCACTTTAAACAGTATCCCAGTCAGTCACAGTTGGATGTAAAAGTAGCACTTGATTTAGGAGTGAGTTAGTTGGGTATAATGCACTTTAAACAGTATCCCAGTCAGTCACAGTTGGATGTAAGTAGCACTTGATGTAGGAGTGAGTTAGTTGGGTATAATGCACTTTTAAACAGTATCCCAGTCAGTCACAGTGGTATGTAAGTATCTGTTGATTTAGGAGTGAGTTAGTTGGGTATAGTGCACTTTTAAACAGTATCCCAGTCAGTCACAGTGGGATGTAAGTACTTGTTGATTTAGGAGTGAGTTAGTTGGGTATAATTCACTTTAAACAGTATCCCAGTCAGTTACGTGGGATGTAAGTAGCACTTGATGTAGGAGTGAGTTAGTTGGGTATAATTCACTTTAAACAGTATCCCAGTCAGTCACAGTGGGATGTAAGTACCTGTTGATGTAGGAGTGAGTTAGTTGGGTCTAATGCACTTTAAACAGTATCCCAGTCAGTCACAGTGGGATGTAAGTAGCACTTGATGTAGGAGTGAGTTAGTTGGGTATAATGCACTTTAAACAGTATCCCAGTCAGTTACGGTGGGATGTAAGTAGCACTTGATGTAGGAGTGAGTTAGTTGGGTAGAATGCACTTTAAACAGTATCCCAGTCAGTCACAGTGGGATGTAAGTAGCACTTGATGTAGGAGTGAGTTAGTTGGGTATAGTGGACTTTAAACAGTATCCCAGTCAGTCACAGTTGGATGTAAAGTAGCATTTGATGTAGGAGTGAGTTAGTTGGGTATAATGCACTTTAAACAGTATCCCAGTCAGTCACAGTGGGATGTAAGTAGCACTTGATTTAGGAGTGAGTTAGTTGGGTATAATGCACTTTAAACAGTATCCCAGTCCAGTTCACGGTGGGGTGTAAGTAGCACTTGATGTAGGAGTGAGTTAGTTGGGTATAATTCACTTTAAACAGTATCCCAGTCTGTCACAGTGGGATGTAAGTAGCATGATGTAGGAGTGAGTTAGTTGGGTATAATGCACTTTAAACAGTATCCCAGTCAGTCTCAGTGGGATGTAAGTACCTGTTGATGTAGGAGTGAGTTAGTTGGGTATAATGCACTTTAAACAGTATCCCTGTCAGTTACGGTGGGATGTAAGTAGCACTTCTGATGTAGGAGTGAGTTAGTTGGGTATAATTCACTTTAAACAGTATCCCAGTCAGTCACAGTGGGATGTAAGTAGCAGCACCTGATGTAGGAGTGAGTTAGTTGGGTATAGTGCACTTTAAACAGTATCCCAGTCAGTCACAGTGGGATGTAAGTAGCACTTGATGTAGGAGTGAGTTAGTTGGGTATAGTGCACTTTAAACAGTATCCCAGTCAGTCACAGCAGTGGGATGTAAGTAGTAGCTTGATGTAGGAGTGAGTTAGTTGGGTATAGTGCACTTTAAACAGAATCTCAGTCAGTCACAGTGGGATGTCAAAAGTACTTGTTGATTTAGGAGTGAGTTAGTTGGGTATAGTGCACTTTAAACAGTATCCCAGTCAGTCACAGTGGTATGTAAGTACCTGTTGATGTAGGAGTGAGTTAGTTGGGTATAATGCACTTTAAACAGTATCCCAGTCAGTTCACGGTGGGATGTAAGTAGCACTTGATGTAGGAATTGAGTTAGTTGGGTATAATTCACTTTAAACAGTATCCCAGTCAGTCACAGTGGGATGTAAGTAGCACTTTATGTAGGAGTGTGAGTTAGTTGGGTATAGTGCACTTTAAACAGTATCCCAGTCAGTCACAGTTGGATGTAAGTAGCATTTGATGGTGGAGTGAGTTAGTTGGGTATAATGCACTTTTAAACAGTATCCCAGTCAGTTACAGTGGGATGTAAGTAGCACTTGATGTAGGAGTGAGTTAGTTGGGTATAATTCACTTTAAAACAGTATCCCAGTCTGTCACAGTGTGATGTAAGTAGCACTTGATGTAGGAGTGAGTTAGTTGGGTATAATGCACTTTAAACAGTATCCCAGTCAGTCACAGTGGGATGTAAGTAGCACTTGATTTAGGAGTGAGTTAGTTGGGTATAATGCACTTTAAACAGTATCCCAGTCAGTCACAGTGGGATGTAAGTAGCACTTGATGTAGGAGTGAGTTAGTTGGGTATAATGCACTTTAAACAGTATCCCAGTCAGTCACAGTTGGATGTAAGTAGCACTTGATTTAGGAGGAGTTAGTTGGGTATAATGCACTTTAAACAGTATCCCAGTCAGTCACAGTTGGATGTAAGTAGCACTTGATGTAGGAGTGAGTTAGTTGGGTATAATGCACTTTAAACAGTATCCCAGTCAGTCACAGTTGGATGTAAGTAGCACTTGATGTAGGAGTGAGTTAGTTGGGTATAATGCACTTTAAACAGTATCCCAGTCAGTCACAGTGGGATGTAAGTATCTGTTGATTTAGGAGTGAGTTAGTTGGGTATAATTCACTTTTAAACAGTATCCCAGTGAGTCACAGTGGGATGTAAGTAGCACTTGATGTAGGAGTGAGTTAGTTGGGTATAGTGCACTTTAAACAGTATCCCAGTCAGTCACAGTGGGATGTAAGTAGCACTTGATGTAGGAGTGAGTTAGTTGGGTATAGTGCACTTTTAAACAGTATCCCAGTCAGTCACAGTGGGATGTAAGTACTTGTTGATTTAGGAGTGAGTTAGTTGGGTATAATTCACTTTTAAAAACAGTATCCCAGTCAGTTACGATGGGATGTAAGTAGCACTTGATGTAGGAGTGAGTTAGTTGGGTATAATTCACTTTAAACAGTATCCCAGTCAGTCACAGTGGGATGTAAGTACCTGTTGATGTAGGGAGTGAGTTAGTTGGTTCTAATGCACTTTAAACAGTATCCCAGTCAAGCCACGGTGGGATGTAAGTAGCACTTGATGTAGGAGTGAGTTAGTTGGGTATAATGCACTTTAAACAGTATCCCAGTCAGTTCACGGTGTGATGATAAGTAGCACTTGATGTAGAAGTGAGTTAGTTGGGTATAATGCACTTTAAACAGTATCCCAGTCAGTCACAGTGGGATGTAAGTAGCACTTGATGTAGGAGTGAGTTAGTTGGGTATGATTCACTTTAAACAGTATCCCAGTTAGTCACAGTGGGATGTAAGTAGCACTTGATTTAGGAGTGAGTTAGTTGGGTATAATGCACTTTAAACAGTATCCCAGTCAGTTACAGTGGGATGTAAGTAGCACTTGATGTAGGAGTGAGTTAGTTGGGTATAATTCACTTTAAACAGTATCCCAGTCTGTCACAGTGGGATGTAAGTAGCACTTGATGTAGGAGTAAGTTAGTTGGGTATAATGCACTTTAAACAGTATCCCAGTCAGTCACAGTGGGATGTAAGTACCTGTTGATGTAGGAGTGAGTTAGTTGGGTATAATGCACTTTAAACAGTATCCCAGTCAGTTGCAGATTGGGATGTAAGTAGCACTTGATGTAGGAGTGAGTTAGTTGGGTATAATTCACTTTTAAACAGTATCCCAGTCAGTCACAGTGGGATGTAAGTAGCACTTGATGTAGGGAGTGAGTTAGTTGGGTATAGTGCACTTTAAACAGTATCCCAGTCAGTCACAGTGGGATGTAAGTAGCACTTGATGTAGGAGTGAGTTAGTTGGGTATAATGCACTTTAAACAGTATCCCAGTCAGTCACAGTGGGATGTAAGTAGCACTTGATGTAGGAGTGAGTTAGTTGGGTATAGTGCACTTTAAACAGTATCCCAGTCAGTCACAGTGGGATGTAAGTACTTGTTGATTTAGGAGTGAGTTAGTTGGGTATAATGCACTTTAAACAGTATCCCAGTCAGTTACGGTGGGATGTAAGTAGCACTTGATGTAGGAGTGAGTTAGTTGGGTATAATGCACTTTAAACAGTATCCCAGTCAGTCACAGTGGGATGTAAGTAGCACTTGATGTAGGAGTGAGTTAGTTGGGTATAGTGCACTTTAAACAGTATCCCAGTCAGTCACAGTTGGATGTAAGTAGCATTTGATGTAGGAGTGAGTTAGTTGGGTATAATGCAATTTAAACAGTATCCCAGTCAGTCACAGTGGGATGTAAGTAGCACTTGATTTAGGATTGAGTTAGTTGGGTATAATGCACTTTTAAACAGTATCCCAGTCAGTTACGGTGGGGTGTAAGTAGCACTTGATGTAGGAGTGAGTTAGTTGGGTATAATGCACTTTAAACAGTATCCCAGTCAGTCACAGTGGGATGTAAGTAGCACTTGATGTAGGAGTGAGTTAGTTGGGTATAGTGCACTTTAAACAGTATCCCAGTCAGTCACAGTGGGATGTAAGTACTTGTTGATTTAGGAGTGAGTTAGTTGGGTATAATGCACTTTAAACAGTATCCCAGTCAGTCACAGTGGGATGTAAGTACCTGTTGATTTAGGAGTGAGTTAGTTGGGTATAATGCACTTTAAACAGTATCCCAGTCAGTCACAGTTGGATGTAAGTACCTGTTGATTTAGGAGTGAGTTAGTTGGGTATAATGCACTTTAAACATTATCCCAGTCAGTCACAGTTGGATGTAAGTACTTTGTCTTCTTGTTGTTTTAAAATGTATTATGTTAAAATAATATTTTCATTTTTTCTGCAGGCTTTGGAAGACTATGAGAAAGAAAACTTTTTGGAGTTAGGCTTATGGAAATGGGAAAATTTTCAGGTAAAGACTTTTGTGCTGTATTTTAAATCAAACTTGATAACTTCACAATTATGTTACAAATAATTCTGCCTGGTATTGTCTGATTTTACTGATGCCACAACACAGTGCTGGGACAGCTCGCTAACATGGTATCAAGTGTATGTTTTGTGTGGACAATTTAACATGGTGAGCTACAGCATCTGCGGTATTTTTATTGTTCTGCTAATGTTCCCAGTGTATCAGACAGAAGCTGAAATGTTACACAGGTACAAGGGCAAAATGTTGATCCATTGGAGATATGGCTCAAATGTCTGATGTGTGTGTGTGTTGTGTGTACATTGTGTGTTCTATGTATATCTTGTGTGTACATTGTGCGTTCTGTGTATATCTTGTGTGTACATTGTGTGATCTGTGTATATGTTGTGTGTACATTGTGTGATCTGTGTATATGTTGTGTGTACATTGTGTGATCTGTGTATATGTTGTGTGTACATTGTGTGATCTGTGTATATGTTGTGTGGACATTGTGTGATCTGTGTATATATTGTGTTCTGTGTATATGTTGTGTGTACATTGTGTGATCTGTGTATTTGTTGTGTGTACCTTGTGTGATCTGTGTATATGTTGTGTGTTCAGTGTATATGTTGTGTGTACTTTGTGTGTTCTGTGTATATGTTGTGTGTTCTGTGTATATGTTGTGTGTTCTGTGTATATGTTGTGTGTACATTGTGTGTGGTGTGTACATTGTGTGTGATGTGTACATTGTGTGTTGTGTGTACATTATGTGTTGTGTGTGTACATTGTGTGCACACATTGTGTGTGTTGTGTGGACATTGTGTGTTGTGTGTACATTGTGTGTGATGTGTATATGTTGTGTTTTCTGTGTATGTGTTGTGTGTACTGTGTATGCATTGTGTGTGCATTGTGTGTGTTGTGTGTACATTGTGTGTGTTGTGTGTACATTGTGTCTGTTGGTTCTGTACATTGTGTGTGTTTGGTGTCCATTGTGTGTGTTGGTTGTATGTTGAGAGTACATTGTGTGTTCTGTGTATGTGTTGTGTGTGTGTTGTGTGTTCTGTGTGTGTATGAATGAATGAATGACTGATCTTTATTTCCTCCAGTAGCTTTTGTGTGTATTTTGTGTGTACATTATGTATGTTGTTTATGCAGGATTGGAGGGAAGAGCAGGAAAACGAAAGGAAGTCAAAGCTGGCTGAGAGTGCCCGCTACAAGAGCTATAGGCGCTATATGAAGAAGGGAGGAGCTGGCCAGATTTCATTTGGGCCAGAGTAGTCAGTAGGTGCTAGACACACAACCACCTTCATCATCATCATCATGTGTCAGAAATATGTTGCCAAATGAGAACTTGTGTGAGGACAGAGCTGCATGGAGGAGAAGAGGCAGGGTAGTCCAGCCATCACCTGCTGCCGCCGTCCACCTCCCAGCTGCCTGTCAACATAATTACCAACATTTATAACATTTCTTACCGGTATCAAATAACACATGAGATTACTCAGATCAGTTCTAAGGAACCTTTGTATATCAGACAGATATTTAAACACAAATACATCTAATTGATTTGAATTAACTTTTGCAATATATCTCAGACATTATGTGTAATCTCAGGAAACAGGAAACACATGTTTATCATAGTTATATTAGATTATTTCCGTGAGACTGTATATACTATGTAGGGGATTCAGGTGTATCTACGCCAGTAGTCAGCATGCATGTTTCTGCACCACAGATTCCAGAAAGTGCCAATTAAGTGTTCGTAGTGATAACACGTCGTAATCCCCAGATTCTGGCCATTCAGCCTCAGTTAAAGACACATGTTTCTTCCTGTGTCCCAGTGACTCCCAATGCCATGCAATATGCACAGTGCCCTACTTCCTTCTGCTAGGATTTACTGCAGACCTCATTTCTCTAGGTTCTAGATGACCAGAAAGTCAGTTATTCTTAAGTGTAGCTTCACTTTCCTAGTCTGATAAACTAACTGGACCAATGTCCTACCATGACTACAGAGAATGCTTTGATGTGATGGGGCAAGAGGAGTTTCAAACTCCAATAATAATATATTATTTCTCAGATTTAGTTAGCAGGTCATGTTTTGTGTACAGCCGACAGTTTGACATCAGCACTCATCATCTTTATCCCATAATGATGTCACATCTATTATCCTCCACTAAAGTTAATAACTAATCCTTGTAGAACATGGCATGAGATAGTGTGTATGGCTAATATTTTGTTAATGGCTTCAGTTTAGAAATTCAGTTTGACTTTATTTGATCAAATCTGGTGAAAATCATTGTGACAAAAGACAGATGTTGTGTGAGTGTACAGATAACTGCTCACTGGAGGTGCATGATTTACTTTTCCATTCTAGAGTCAGTTGAGTTAATCTAAGATGTTTGGGCCAAGCAATCATGTTTTGAAATGTGGGTTGGGGATTGTCCTTATACATATATAAACTTAAAACTGGGCCTGTCAGTCAGTTGTAGTGAATGAATATCAGTGTTTCTCTGTTGGCATGTACAGCTTTTTGCAGTGACAAGCCTTTCATGTTCTTATGATAACAAATCTGGGGTTTCTACTAGGGCTGGATATTGCTCTGATTTTCATATTGCGATATATTGCAATAATTTAAGAGATATTGCAATACATATTGTGATATATTGACTAGAAGGTTTCATCATAAATTCATAATAGCTCTCTGTGTGCGACATCATCTTTTTAGTTGCAGTTACACCATACTTTTAGGCTCCCCGTCCCCATTGCATATGGCTGTATGCCAATGGTTTACAGATAAATACAATGATATACAGAGGCTCAACGTGGAATGTTTGATTGAAGCATTACAACAAAGATTTTCAAACATAATGATAAAGGTAATAGTACAACATGATTTTCATGGTCAGTGTTGTTTGCTTCAACAGAATGCACTTCAATGCAGTATGTAATTATTGTTGCTGTTTGTCAGTGATTCATTGAGATACAACGCCAATATAAACATGTGTTAACATGGACTATTGCAAATTGAAACAAAAACACGATTTAGTTTAAATTAATAGCATATGTACCATTATGAAACAAAGAAGATAACAAAATACTGTGAGCTGTGAAATGGTCACTCAGAGCCAGAGACTGTACTGTAAGTTCAAATAAAAAACTGGTCCATTTGAGGCCACTTAATTCCTCCAAATAAAACCATTCAAAATCACAAAACGTGGCAGATAATTCACAGGAAGCTAACAGTGGATGACCCAATATATTGCAGAATCTGAACCATATCGCGATAATTCGTATCGCCAGATATTGTACCAGTATATACCGGTAATATTGCACAGCCCTAGTTTCTACACAAGTCTGATTACATACTGGTATTTTGTTTTCTTCATAGGGTTTCTCAGAGTTTGGGACAGCAGGGTAGCCTAGACTAGTAGTGGTTAAAGCGTCCGTTCATCACGCCGATGACCTGGGTTCGATTCCCCACATGTGTACAATATAAGTTGTTCACTGGTCTCGAGGGTGACATGGGCTGATGTACCCTCGATGTTTGTTCATGGAACAGGGAACATAAAGAAACACTGAGGGTACATCAGCCCATGGACCCCGAGGGACCAGTGAACAACGTGGTTATCTTACCGAACACCTCAATGGTAATTTTGAACTGTTTGAAGCAAGGGTGTCGGAACATAGTATGGAGTACCAGAAGACAAGAAAATAAATTTAGAGTTAATTCCCTTCCATCGATTTGCATTCGCAAAACATCAGTAATTTCTGTACATCATACATAATTCAATGTTATTCGAGATAAAGACTTACTACTACGAATTAACAAATGAGTTCAGCATTCCCAGCAGGGTACATAGAAAATAATAGAAGAGCGCTCAGCCAATCAGAAAACGACATTTATGTGTGAGGCAAGATAATGAGTGAAGCCCATTTCTGGTGTCCCCAGTTGTGATATTGCTGGAATATATTGCTAAAAGCGGTGTAAAACTAAACTCACTCACTCACTCAGTTTTACCTTGACAAACGTTCTGGTGCAGGGTACCCCAAATTTAAAGGTGGTTGCCAGCAGTATGAGGATCCTGTAATGGTGTAGTGTACATTAGAACCTGGATGAATCAATGACCACATGGACACGGGTCTTAATACACTCTAGGTACAGTGAAGTTAATGTGCGTCCCATCACATGCAGTATATTTTTTCTGCGTCCATTCTCTACTTATACGCATACTGTTCTTGTAAAACCATGGTCTCGCTTAGTTAGTATACTACTACAATCATATCACCAGGTGGTTATCTTTCATAAGAGAACACTGTCCACAGATGCCTCCTACTTACACTGTAATCCTGGCTGTATGCTCACACAAACAATGGCTGATGGTATGAAACTATCGTGTGTATTTGTCATGCATGAGTTTGGTAACATGTATGAATGAATTAAAAGGACAATGTTCAAAATATATTTTCTATATTCTTCTTGCTTATGTGGAAACAGCAAATGAAAATGTAATTTTTGTTAGATCTGAATCACAACTATATCATAGGGCAGTACTTTGAGAAATGCCAATTCTCTTATTCCCCCATGTATTTGATTAGCAAGGCAGTATTGCACATTGCTTGCCAGCATGCTCCGCCGCACCAGCTGGGTGGTAGGCCGGGTATTGATCAACACCTCTCTCAACTCGCTGCTTATAAATGGTAACACATGAACGTTCATTGATCCTGGCAGCTTTGAGAGAAATTATAGGAAGCTGATAAACTGTTAAACAGGTGTCAGGTTAATCAAGCATGGTCTGTTCACCAGAACTAAACTGTTCTCACTAAACTTGCTTTCACAGGGCTGTTCAATATTTCCATGGACATGAAATGATTACTGGTAGCAACACTGAAGATGGTTCTTGAGGCCAATGTAGTGTGATGTTGCTGATGTGTTGCTGGGCTGTTTCCATGTAAGGCCTGTCGATGTACTAGATGACAGTGTAGACTGGTTAGACATGGATGGTGGTACAGATCCAGGTACCTCAAGTTATGCATCTGAAATACCAGTATCTTTACCACAAGAACACATTGAAAGAAGCTGAAATCCATATATATAACAGCTTCTGATATACCACTTAATTGTCCTTTACTTATTGACTGTTAATGAAAGACTCTACTGCTATAATTAAAGTTTAAGGGAATTTATTCCAGAGTGCAAATAGTAGTATCGTGCCATAAGGTTTTGTAGAAAACAAATTCAATCACTAATAATGTGATTGAGAAAACAATATTTGAAGAGTATTAGTTGTAACGAGAGCCAATGTATGGTACAAATGAAGTTTGATGTAACAGGGTGTATGGGCTTGATCAGTAGTGGCAGAGTTTATCATAAACATTCACAAATATTAAATATTGTATAAATATCATCACAGAGTATATTCTGAATGTGAAATTGAGGTAATCTTTGTTTATGTGAAACCATATGGCTGCAGAGTTTGGGGGACAGTGAAGATGTTGAAAATACACGGTCACCTGTAAACATGTTCATTTACTTCAGGCTTACAGTACTGGTTGTACAGACAGCAGGTGCTTGATCTGAACTGGTTCCCAGGGCTTCTACACTGTTGTTGGTCCTCCTCCTGCTGTTGTAGTTTTGTACAGTGAAACTTTTCACAAACTTTGTCATGTGTTCAAAAAACTACAAAAGCACAATAAATTTAGATGAGATGTACAAGGAACACCCTGTGTATCTGTACAATCATATTGTTTATAAGTACCGGTAGTATTTGATGAACCTTGCAATAATGTTATTTCATTTATTGAGGATTCATATGTGTAATAAGAATTGTTTGAAAAATGTAACATTGGTTGGTGATAGTCCTAAAAAAGGCAGTTGCCCAAGAAGCAGGTGCTTTTGTCTTTTTGCCAGCTTATTTATGATTCTATTTTTCCACAGTTTAGTGTCTGGGCTTAAGTTAGTTGATAAATTTTGTTTTATCCACATAAATCTAAACAGGCTTTTACGTTATGTTACTGTTAAAATAATCATAAGACAGCACAATATATATTTTAATCATTCACCTTAGTTTTGAGTTTTGATAGTGTTGGCAATGCATGTTAGAGAGAAAATTCAGTTCCCCTCATAATGGCATTTCAGTTGTATACCCGACTGACTGATCAGATGTCAAATAATAACGAGGGGAAGGAATATAAAGTTTTTGAGTTACAATTCTGAATAACAATTCTTGCCTGTGCACTTGTTAACTTGTGCACTTCCTCGATGTATTTTCTGTGTAGCTTACTGGCTGCATCAGGAACTCTAATGCTGTTGCAGATGTATGAAAGGTGAGGGGTTGATAGAAGTGTATGGATGTTTCCTTCACATCGGATCATCATGTGTTCAGTGTACACAATTCTTGTTTTTGTTGGGTAAGATTTTTTTTTCATGTATTATTCAACAGCGTCACTGAAATAAAATGTTTTATCCACTGTTGTTGTTAATAAGACTCGTGAATATGCACTATAGTAATATTCCAGCTACATGAATGGTGGGAGTCTCTGCCATCAGGAACACCAGTGGATGATAATAGGATTATGCCCCTAGTCAGGCACACTAGTTGATATGGGCAACAATGGCCTCGGTCATGTCAGAGGTTCATTTCAGGTCAAGTCATGCAGACTGGTGGTTAATGCCATGTCCAACAATGAGTATCAATCATACCAGTGGTCGATGTCATGAGGAACAATGCCCTCCAGTCAGGCACCACGAGTATCAATCATGTCTAATCCAGGGACGCAGGGGGTCGATGTCATGAGGAACAATACCCTCCAGTCAGGCACAATGAGTATCAATCATGTCTAATCCAGGGATGCAGGGGTCGATGTCATGAGCAACAATGCCCTCCAGTCAGGCACAATGAGTATCAATCATGTCTAATCCAGGGATGCAGGGGTCGATGTCATGAGCAACAATACCCTCCAGTCAGGCACAATGAATATCAATCATGTCTAATCCAGGGATGCAGGGGTCGATGTCATGAGCAACAATACCCTCCAGTCAGGCACAATGAGTATCAATCATGTCTAATCCAGGGATGCAGGGGTCGATGTCATGAGCAACAATGCCCTCCAGTCAGGCACAATGAGTATCAATCATGTCTAATCCAGGGATGCAGGGGTCGATGTCATGAGCAACAATACCCTCCAGTCAGGCACAATGAATATCAATCATGTCTAATCCAGGGACGCCAGTGGTCGATGTCATGAGCAACATTCAGTCAGGTCATACATTGTGATGATGTTATACCTAGCTTTCTCACAAGTAATTGGGTATTGGGCATGTTTTGTGAGCAAGAGTGAGTGAGAGTATGGTTTTACGCTGCTTTTAGCAATATTCCAGCAATATCACAGCGGGAGACACCAGAAATCGGCTTCACACATTGTACCCATGTGGGGAATTGAACCTGGATCTTCGGTGTGACAAGTGAACCACTAGGCCACCCCTTCTGAGCAAGAACACCTGAGGATTGGAAATCTAAGAGACAATGTTTCGATATATCTGGTGAAAAAGAGGTATTGGATGTTTTCATTGCACTCACTTAGTGTTTATTTGTGGATAACAGTAATGTACCCACACCTCACCCCACTTTACCAAATATGATACCTACCTTTTATCCAACTTGTAAGAATCCTCAACTTCATTCAATGCATTGGTTGTTCAAGTCGTTGGAATGTCATTCATCAACATCTAGCCCTATACATACCAACATGTTAGTTCACTGCAACCTCAAAATCCACATTCATAATCTTCTTTTCCGCGGGATTTCAGGAATCATCATGAAGAGAGCCTCTCGACCACAGTAAAACTTTATATACGATCATGAAATTTCACTTTTCAGTCTTGTGTTTTGTTCTCAGGAGTCCCTTCCCTGCTAAAGACAATGTTTACGAGTGTCCCCTTTCTCCACACTGCTGAAATCCACTATAAGGAGACCATACATAAGTGAACTATTTCTAGCATGTCATGTGAAATACAACTGTTCTTGTCAGCACAGAACCAACATAAGACTACCACATGCATATGAGACATGTACTATTACAGTTGTAGGACTTCTTGAACACCCTTTGTGTAACGACTGAACAAACAGTATTTCAGTCAGTCACTACATTTTAGTTATTTGCTTAGGGACCGTTCATAATTCATGGCGTGGGGGTGGTGTGTGTCTGATATGATTTTAAGGGGGTCACCCATTTTGTTCTGGGGAGCATGGGGGGTCAGCAATTTTGTACACACGAACTAGGGGGTCAGCAATTTTGTACATAAAAGTATGTTTAAAATTATGCTTAGAAATTATAGGAAGGGGAAGGGGGTTCATTGATTTTGTACATGACATGCAGGGGGTGTCACTGATTTTGTACATAAATTTTAGGGGGATCATTCACATTGTACATGCTTCTCCATAAAAATCATCATGACCCCCCCCTAGCCATAAATTATGAACGGTCCCTTATACATTAAGCTGTTTCATGTATATGAAATGTAGTCCTTTCTCACATACGTAAAAAAAACTCTTGTAACCCTTATCTCATGCCTATCTTTTATTAATTCAGCAAACAACCAAAGTCATGACACCCAAGTAGGATGTTCCTGTAGAAACCTCCCAAAATATCACATGAACACTTCCCCATACAAAACAACGCTTGTTGTTAAACCACAAATTTATTCATTTTACCAACTGCACTTTACAACAAGTGGTACAGTGTTTCTTGTGTGCAACATAGAAGTGTCTCTCTTCGCTGAATCCACATCAACTCACCAAGACCAGGTGAGTATCTATAGTGTAGATTTAAGCCAGGGTCAAATTTCATCGCACAAGTATTTATACAAGTACAAAAATCCCCTTCTGCAAAGAATAGGTATATCCCACTGTACTGCTGTGAGTGTGTGAGGGAATAGCATCTCTTTCCTTGTGTGTAGCACGTGATTTTGGCATTGCTGGGTCCTTGAATGCAGCACCACACACCAGTCACCAAAAGTAGGACTTAAAAACCACTCCTTACAACAGGCAACACAACAGCCCCCACAAAACAACCACCATCGGAAATGATTGCCCCACTCCTTACAACTGTGTTGTTGGTTTATTGTTTAATGCTGCACTCAGCAATATTCCAGCTCTATAATAGCGGCCTGTAAATAATCAAGTATGGACCAGACAATCCAGTGATTGATCCAGTGATCCAGAGTAACTACCCTTGTGGTAGGCTTCATTCAAGACATTAATCAACATAGTTATTCATTCACAATGACAAAAGGGGGAATATATGCCTGGAGACAGTGTTGCATTAAACACTTAAGAACTGAAACTGCTTGGAGTTTACTTGTCTTGGTACTCCTATCATCTCATCCTAATATATTCAGAAAAGTAACCACTGTCATATTTCAGCACAAAGTCGTTCAACGCAAATGGAAATCACAAGCTGATGCTAGGCCCCCCAGTGATTTGCTCTCTGTCCTTGTGAGTGACCATGTTCAGGCTGGTCACTTTTGTCGCTGGACAATCACGGCATTCAAAAGTTTAGCTTCCTCTAGTGTCAGGGATTCTTCTGTCAGTTCTTTGTTAGGGAAGGTTGTCATCAGCACAAAGTTCAACCCAGCATACTGTGGATGGGACCTGACACAAGTCAAGGACACAACAACAAACAACTTACAAACTGATGGCCATAATACATCATAGCTCACCTGACTGACTGACACACCTGTGCCAGCCATTACATACTTCGAAGGGTTCAAAGCGGCAAACACGGATATTTCCAGACATTGAAAATATGACGTGTGGATCTTATTATTTTGTTTCAAAACGCTAGCTGTTTACTGTTTCCTTGTTATTCATCAACTGCATTATGCACAGCCAAAGTTTATGATCCTGAGGCTCTGTTACTTGACAATACCAGGATTATTCAGCACTGTGCAAGGCGACCTATTATCTCCCTTGGTGATAGTAAGTAGAGCAGAAGTCACAGGACGGACTTCCAGACCCAAAACACTCACAGGGCAAGTTAAAAAATCATTTCAAGAGCTAAAATTTAATGAGCTGGAAGTCATATGGAATTGCACAAGTCATGGATGTCAAGTTTTATACAAAATCTAAAATGCAAGTATGGAGTGAATCTAGGAACTGGGATACTAAGGGACCGTTCATAATTTATGGCTAAGGGGGGTGATGATGATTTTAAGGGGGGGTCACCCATTTTGTTCTGGGAAGCTGGGGGTCAGCAATTTTGTACACATGTACTAGGGGTCAGCAATTTTGTACATAAAAATATGTTTAAAATAATGCTTAGAAATTATGGGTAGGGGAAGGGTGTGTCATTGATTTTGTACGACATGCAGGGGGGGTGTCACTTATTTTGTACATAAATGTTAGGGGGGTCATTCACATTGTACATGCTTCTCCATAAAAATCATGAACGGTCCCTAATCTGTATGTGTTCACAGAACTAACTGGTTAAACCTGAGGTTGAAAGGATACGATATAATGTAATTCCTAATATCACTGATCCTGTGACTGTGATTAAACTTGGCAACCAGTCTGAAAAAAGAGAGGTAACAAATATATTAATGTAAGACTTCACACGAAAATGGTAACATGCAACACAAAGCTGAGCAGTGTAAGAGTGAGTGAGTTAGTTTAGTTTTACGCCGCACTCAGCAATATTACAGCTATATGGTGGCAGTCTGTAAATAATCAAGTCTGGACCAGACAATCCAGTGATCAACAGCATGAACATCGATCTGCGCAATTGGGAACCGATGACATGTGCCAACCAAGTCAGCGAGCCTGACCACCCGATCCCGTTAGTCGCCTGTTACGACAAGCGTGGGCTACTGAAGATCAATTCTAACCGGACCTTCACGGGTGAGCAGTGTAAGATACCAGAGTTACATCAGTTACAGCCAACCTTACCCTTCTGATATGGCAAATGGTAAGTGGAAAACAGGAAAAAGTGGAAACATCAAATTTGTCACATAGCAATATCATCCTAAAATCCTTCGGGTTTTAAGTGTTCAAAATATCCTGAAAGTTGAAACACAAACAAAACTAACTTTCAACTGGAAACATGTTAACTTAACAATGAATGAAACAAGTAGATAAAGTGATCATTGTTGAAGGATGTGTTGCTACACCCCCACTTAGTAGCTCTTGTCTTGTTAAATTGCAGGAAGTTAAGATTTCAGTAAGCAGCTCTCCCAAGAGGTTAATACTTTCTTCATGTGCATTTCTTCCCACAAGATACCAAATGGTCAACATCGTCTGTGTGGTCAGTTACCCTCTGTCAACACCAACATGGTCCAAGTGGTCAACATGGTTCACCTGGTCAACACTGCCAGGGTGGCCAACACTGCCAGGGTTCCAACATTGCCAGGGTGGCCAACACTGCCAAGGTGGTCAACATTGCCAGGGTGGCCAACACTGTCAGGGTGGCCAACATTGCCAGGGTGGCCAACATTGCCAGGGTGGTCAACACTGCCAGGGTGCCCAACATTGACATGGTGGTCAAAATGGTCCATTTTCAACATTTTACATTGTCGTCAAGATTGTGACATACCTTGATCCATCTGCCAGTCGGATCTGTATGCTGGTTGTGGGTTTAGATGCGTCTACAGCAACGGCTGCCTGCTGCGCTGTGTTGTCATTGACTGCGCTTCGCTCCTGCAGCTTCAGGTGGACTCGAAACCAGGTTGGGGGCCGGGCTGAAACGTGTGACATGATACAACATGATGGGTGTATAAGAGGGTAACAGATGTATGTGTAAGTAACAAGATAGGTATATGTGTAGATAACAGATGGTGTCATGTATGTGAGGTAAGGTTAAATGGGGTTTAACGTCGTACTTGACAATATTTTGCTCATATGACGTGTATATGTGTGGCTGCTTGTACTAGCCCAGACTTAAGCTGGTTTTATGGTGCTAGCTCACTGAGATACCATGCCGCAGTTAAGTATGAATACCCACTCAGACACATTATACTGACTCCGAGCCGACCAGTTCTAATTGTACCCATTAATGCCTAGTGCCAGGCAGGGTCCAACAAGTACCATATTTTACTGTCTTTTGGTATGACACAGCCGGGCATCAAACCTGCAACCTTCCGCTCTCCGGGCGGACAACCTAACTACTACACCACGGAGGTGGTCCTGTCATGGATGTGTGGGTAACAGGTGGTGTCATGGATGTGTGGGTAACAGGTGGTGTCATGGATGTGTTGGTAACAGATGTGTCATGGATGTGTGGGTAACAGATGGTGTCATGGATGTGTGGGTAACAGGTGGTGTCATGGATGTGTAAGTTACAGGTGGTGTCACGTATGTGTGGGTAACAGGTGGTGTCATGGATGTGTGGGTTACAGGTGGTGTCATGGATGTGTAAGTTACAGGTGGTGTCATGGATGTGTGGGTAACAGGTGGTGTCAGTGATGTGTGGGTTACAGATGGCGTCATGGATGTGTAGGTAACAGGTGGTGTCAGTGATGTGTGGGTTACAGATGGTGTCAGTCATGGATGTGTATGGGTAACAGGTGGTGTCATGGATGTGTGGGTAACAGGTGGTGTCAGTGATGTGTGGGTTACAGATGGCGTCATGGATGTGTAGGTAACAGGTGGTGTCATGGATGTGTGGGTAACAGGTGGTGTCAGTGATGTGTGGGTAACAGGTGGTGTCATGGATGTGTAGGTAACAGGTGGTGTCATGGATGTGTGGGTAACAGATGGTGTCATGGATGTGTAGGTTACAGGTGGTGTCATGGATGTGTGGGTAACAGATGGTGTCATGGATGTGTAAGTTACAGGTGGTGTCATGGATGTGTGGGTAACAGATGGTGTCATGTATGTGTGGGTAACAGGTGGTGTCAGTGATGTGTGGGTAACAGGTGGTGTCATGGATGTGTAGGTAACAGGTGGTGTCATGGATGTGTGGGTAACAGATGGTGTCATGGATGTGTAAGTTACAGGTGGTGTCATGGATGTGTGGGTAACAGATGGTGTCATGGATGTGTGGGTAACAGGTGGTGTCATGGATGTGTGGGTAACAGGTGGTGTCAGTGATATGTGGGTAACAGATGGTGTCATGGATGTGTAGGTAACAGTGGGTGAACAGGTGGTGTCAGTGATGTGTGGGTTACAGATGGTGTATCATGGATGTCATGGATGTGTCATGGATGTGTGGGTAACAGATGGTGTCATGGATGTGGTGTGGTGTCATGGATGTGTGGGTAACAGTGATGTCATGGATGTGTGGGTAACAGATGGTGTCATGGATGTGTGGTAACTTAGTGAATTGAGATAGTGTCATGGATGGATGTGGGTAACAGATGGTGTCATGGATGTGTAGGTAACAGATGGTGTCATGGATGTGTGTGGGTAACAGATGGTGTCATGGATGTGTGGGTAACAGATGATGTGTGTCATGGATGTGTGGGTAACAGATGGAGTAACAGATGGTGTCATGGATGTGTAGGTAACAGATGGTAACAGATGGTGTCAGTGATGTGTGTCATGGATGTGTGGGTAACAGATGGTGTCATGGATGTGTGGGTAGATGGTGTCATGATGTGTGGGTAACATCATCATGGATGTATGGGTAACATAGTGATGATGTGGTGTCATGGATGTGTGGGTAACAGATGGTGTCATGGATGTGTGGGGTAACAGAGATGGTGTCATGTCAGATGTGTGGGTAACAGATGGATGTCATGGATGTGTGGGTAACAGATGGTGTAACAGATCATGGATGTGTGGGTAACATGGATGGTGTCATGGATGTCATGGAGTAACAGATAGTGTCATGGATGTGTGTGGGTAAGAGATGTGTGTCATGATGGTGTCATGGATGTGTGGGTTAGAGATGGTGTCATGGATGTGTGGGTAACAGATGGTGTCATGGATGTGTGGGTAACAGATGGTGTCATGGATGTGTGGGTTAGAGATGGTGTCATGGATGTGTGGGTAACAGATGGTGTCATGGATGTGTGGGTAACAGATGGTGTCATGGATGTGTGGGTTAGAGATGGTGTCATGGATGTGTGGGTAACAGATGGTGTCATGGATGTGTGGGTAACAGATGGTGTCATGGATGTGTGGGTAAGAGATGGTGTCATGGATGTGTGGGTAAGAGATGGTGTCATGTATGTGTGGGTAACAGGTGGTGTCATGGATGTGTGGGTAACAGATGGTGTCATGGATGTGTGGGTAACAGATGGTGTCATGGATGTGTAGTAACAGATGGTGTCATGGATGTGTAAGGTAACAGATGATGTCATGGATGTGTGGGTAACAGATGGTGTCATGGATGTGTAGGTAACAGATGGTGTCATGGAGGTGTAGGTAACAGATGATGTCATGGATGTGTGGGTAACATATGGTGTCAGTGATGGTGTCATGTGGAGTTACAGATGGCGTCATGGATGTGTAGGTAACAGATGGTGTCATAGAAGTGTAGGTAACAGATGGTGTCAGTGATGTGTGGGTAAGAGGTGGTGTCATGTATGTGTTGGGAACAGGTGGTGTCATTGATGTGTGGGTAACAGATGGTGTCATGGATGTGTGGGTAACAGATGGTGTCATGGATGTGTAGTGAACAGATGGTGTCATGGATGTGAAGGTAACAGATGTCATGGATGTGTGGGTAACAGATGGTGTCATGGATGTGTAGTGAACAGATGGTGTCATGGATGTGTAAGTAACAGATGATGTCATGGATGTGTGGGTAACATATGGTGTCAGTGATGTGTGGGTTACAGATGGCGTCATGGATGTGTAGGTAACAGATGGTGTCATAGATGTGTAGGTAACAGATGGTGTCAGTGATGTGTGGGTTACAGGTGGTGTCATGGATGTGTGGGTAACAGTTGGTGTCATGTATGTGTGGGTAACAGATGATGTCATGTATGTGTGGGTAACAGATGGTGTCATGGATGTGTGGGTAACAGTTGGTGTCATGTGTGTGTAGGTAACAGATGATGTCATGTATGTGTGGGTAACAGATGGTGTCATGGATGTGTGGGTAACAGATGGTGTCATGTGTGTGTAGGTAACAGATGGTGTCATGTATTGTATCAGATGTGACAAGACTTGTCAACAATAGTTTGTGTTATCTAAACTGTAAAGTTGGCATGTACCTGCCCAGCATACGCCCTGCTCCAGTGAAAGCCTTGACAGGTATTTTAGGCTTGACGTACTCTTCATTACGGTGATCTTCCATGTTGAGATTGACTTCTCCACCCTTTGCCAGTCGTACGAGTTCTCTTGGAACCTCGCTAAACACAAGAAGTCATCCCCCACCATCACAAATCAGATACTATGACATGTGAGTGAAAGAATACAAGTTTATAAAGACATCAATTACCAACATGATCACAGCTATCTTTGTGTATAGAATCTGAAACAATAAAACCTACTGCCAACATTATACTTCCTGAATAGCTAAAAGATCACCAACAAAACATGCTACATGATCTGAGATAAAAATTAACCACAAGCTGCACACTCATGTAATGAATATTATTCTACCAGTCACAGAGGAAGATCTGGCTCAAAAAGCAAAAGTTTCAATTACAAAACGCATGCTGCGCCATCAGGTATATTAAGTCATATTTGTACTTTCAAACATAGAGATTTAAATGTTATGTTTGAAAGAGAAGTACCCTTTTCCTATTGAATCTAAGAACTCTTTATTTGCAGGGTCGTTGTAATCTCTCCATGGACCATCATCCATACTAAATCCATTTTTCCACAGCTTCAGTACCATATCAACCTGAAAAAACAATGCAGTGGTGTATTTCTCGAGTGGCATAAGGCATGGCATAAAGCATGTTGAGAAAATTTCACAATGTCTTTCAAAAATAGTGAGAGTAAGTGGAGAAGTGATTAGACAAGTAGGTTGACTGGTAAAGAGTTAGGTAGAGAGATGGGCAGAGACGGGCAGAGACGTTAGAAAGGTAGGTAGACTATTAAAGAGTGAGGTAGAGAGGTGGGTGGAGAAGAGGTGGAGAGGCATGTTAGGTACAGAGATAGACTGAGTGAGTGAGTGAGTTTAGTTGTACGCCACACTCAGCAATATTCCAGCCATATGGCGGCGGTCTGTAAATAATCGAGTGTGGACCAGACAATCCAGTGATCAACAGCATGAACATCGATCTGTGCAAAAATTGGGAACCGATGACATGTGTCAACTAAATCAGCGAGCCTGACCACCCAATCATGTTAGTCGCCTCTTACGACAAGCATGGGTTACTGAAGGTTCATTCAAACCCGGACCTTCACAGGTAGAGATAGACTGAGAGGTGGGTAGAGAGGTAGGTAGACAGGTAAGTAATAGGGTGGAAGAGAGGTTGAGGGTGGTAGAGAGGTAGACAGGTGGGTAGAGAAGTAGGTAGGCAGGTAGGTAAAGAGTTAGGTGGAGAGGTAGGTAATGAGGTGGGTGAATAGGTTGGTAGAGATGTCAGTAGAGAGGCTGGTGGAGAGTTATGAAAAGAGGTATGAGGAGGTGTGGGTAGAGAGTTAGGTAAGAGAGGAGTGAAAAGAGTGAGGTGGAGAGGTGGCAATAGAGAGGTGAGTAGCGTGTTAGGTAGAGATTGGTAGGTACAGAGGTATGGAGGGAAGTGGAGGTAGGAGGCATGAAAGAAGAATGCCTGCTGAATGCGAGAATGTTTGTTCTAGTCTGAAAGTGCGGAGTGACATCGCTTGTGGGGCAACGTGCAGAGAGACAATGTGCAGGTAGACTGGTAGCTGCAGTGATGGGAAGAGAGGTGAGTAATGTAAAAATGTCTATGGAGGGCAGATAGAGTGGTTAGGTAGCCAGCTTGGTAGAGAGGTGGGCTGAGAATAAAGCGAAAAGATAGTCAGAGGTAAATGGACAGGTGGATAGAGTTGGTTACAAGCTATGTGTGACAAGACACATACATCAGACATCCCTGACTTGACAATCATATCTGACAAGACATATACATCAGACAGCCCTGACTTGACAATCATATCTGACAAGACACATACATCAGACATCCCTGACTTGACAATTATATCTGACAAGACACATACATCAGACAGCCCTGACTTGACAATCATATCTGACAAGACACATACATCAGACATCCCTGACTTGACAATCATATCTGACAATATCATCAGACATCCCCTGACAACTTGACACATACATCTTGACAATACACATACATGACAGCCCTGACTTGACAATCATATCTGACAAGACACATACATCAGACAGCCCTGACTTGACATATCTGACAAGACACATATCTGACATCCCTGACTTGACAATCATATCTGACAAGACACATACATCAGACACCCCTGACTTGACAATCATATCTGACAAGACATATACATCAGACATCCCTGACTTGACAATTATATCTGACAAGACACATACATCAGACATCCCTGACTTGACAATTATATCTGACTCGAGCCCTCAAATCTGACAACTCTCATATCTGCTGCCTTGTACTCAGCCCCTCTGTTTGGTTGACAGAGTAATACCTGTCTTGATTCCTTCAGTTTTGCACCTGGTACCATGTCCGAGCTCCCTTCTGTGTCCCCAAGTCTGTATCCTGTACCCCTGAATGATGGACCTGCCTTTTTCCGCTTGTTTTCACTTGTATCAACAACTTCAGCACCGTGTCTATAAAACAAATGAAACAGCCCATACACACATGGTCTACATGCATCCTCTGAACAGAATACAGTTGTTGACTGACTTGACTCAGCTCCTATTTCGTTTGTATGCTGTTTTGTGCAGTGGTCAACAATACTGTAGACAACTGAGTCTGGGGAAGGAAAGCCACTAACAGGAGAATATCATATACTGCAGACATGTGTTAACTCAGGGCTTTTACCTCAGATGAGCTAAAACCTATTCAAATTCAGTGAAAGTCTTGTATCATGATGCACAACAATTGGCTTTATGCCTTGCCATAAGGACTCATAGATGCTACAAAACTTATCCAATTTTGACAATACATCAATAAGCTTGTTTGGTGAAAAGGCAATATATCAATACTACGAGTTTAAAATGTGTTACACTGTCACGCTACAGTCTTTCACAAAGAAATATTCACTGAAGATATGGGTGTACTGAGTGTTTCTTTTCTCAAAACTAACTCTTTTGCAGACTTGAAAAGTGTATCCACCACTTCGTCAGGTTCAGGTTTTTTCTTTGGTGGGCCCAGGACTTGCTGTCCACTGAAACATAACAGTAAATGATAGTTAACTGATGCTGTTCATTTCACTAGCACTGACAAACACGTATGGCTTAACCATTACATTAATTAAATTGTAAAACTGATAATACATACAATCAAAGTTTAAACCATCCATTTCTGAATTTCATCCCACAATCACCCAGTTCTACTTGAAACAAGGAAGTCCCTGTTTGTGCAAACCATCCATGCATGGGCACTGTTAAGACCAAGCAAGACTTCACACATGTTACGAGTCTGTAGATATCATGGCGGTCAGTCTGGTCAACCTGGTACAGCTATTGTATAGGAACAACCAAAATTAAATTTTCTGAGAGAATTCAGAACACACAAATTTATTTCTCCATGTACATCACTGCTCATTGTCAGACATCGAAGACATAATCTTATCTGTTTGGAATCTCTGATGCCCCTCACTGAAGGTGGACGGTGATGGAGAAAGTCATCCAGCACTTCACTCACATCAGATAAAAAGGGAGAAAACCAACTCTTGTCAGTTTGATGCAGGTAGTTAACATACACCTTTCTGGACAAACCCATGCTGACAAACCCATGAAGATGATTAGGGTGCTGACAAACCCATGAAGATGATCAGGGTGCTGACAAACCCATGAAGATGATCAGGGTGCTGACAAACCCATGAAGATGATCAGGGTGCTGACAAACCCATGAAGATGGTTAGGGTGCTGACAAACCCATGAAGATGATTAGGGCGCTGACAAACCTATGAAGATGATTAGGGTGCTGACAAATCCATGAAGATGATTAGGGTGCTGACAAATCCATGAAGATGGTTAGGGTGCTGACAAACCCATGAAGATGATTAGGGTGCTGACAAACTCATGACTGACTGACTGAGTTTGGTGACAAACGCGCTTTTATCAATATTCCAGCAACATCCTGGCGGGGGCGACAAAACCCATGAAGATGATTAGGGTGCAGACAAACCCATGAAGATGATTAGAGGTGCTGACAAACTCATGAAGATGGTTAGGTGCAGACAACCCCCAGAAGATGATCAGGGTACTGACAAATCCATGAAGATGATTAGGGTGCTGACAAACCCATGAAGATGATTAGGGTGCTGACAAATCAATGAAGATGATTAGGGTGCTGACAAACCCATGAAGATGATTGGGGTGCTGACTGACCTTGACTGATGGTTTGGTTTTACGCTTTAGCAATATTCCAGCAACATGATTAGGGGACTGACAAACCCATGAAGATGATTAGGTGCAGACAAACCCATGAAGATGGTTAGGGTGCTGACAAACTCATGAAGATGGTTAGGGTACACAAGAAGATGATTAGGGTGCTAACAAATCCATGAAGATGATTAGGGTGCTGACAAACCCATGACTGACTGACTGAGTTTGGTTTTACGCCGCTTTTAGCAATATTCCAGCAACATCACGGCGGGGGACGACAAACCCATGAAGATGATTAGGGTGCAGACAAACCCATGAAGATGGTTAGGGTGCTGACAAACTCATGAAGATGGTTAGGGTGCAGACAACCCATGAAGATGATCAGGGTACTGACAAATCCATGAAGATGGTTAGGGTGCTGACAAACCCATGAAGATGATTAGGGTGCTGACAAATCAATGAAGATGATTAGGGTGCTGACAAACCCATGAAGATGATTAGGGTGCTGACAAACCCACGAAGATGGTTAGGGTGCTGACAAACCCATGAAGATGATTAGGGTGCTGACAAACCCATGACTGACTGACTGAGTTTGGTTTTACGCCGCTTTTAGCAATATTCCAGCAACATCACGGCGGGGGACGACAAACCCATGAAGATGATTAGGGTGCAGACAAACCCATGAAGATGGTTAGGGTGCTGACAAACTCATGAAGATGACTAGGGTGCTGACAAATCCATGAAGATGATTAGGGTGCTGACAAACTCATGAAGATGGTTAGGGTGCTGACAACCCATGAAGATGATTAGGGTGCTGACAAATCCATGAAGATGATTAGGGTGCTGACAAACTCATGAAGATGGTTAGGGTGCAGACAACCCATGAAAATGATTAGGGTGCTGACAAACCCATGAAGATGATTAGGGTGCTGACAAACCCATGAAGATGATTAGGGTGCTGACAAATCCATGAAGATGATTAGGGTGCTGACAAACTCATGAAGATGGTTAGGGTGCAGACAACCCATGAAGATGATTAGGGTGCTGACAAATCCATGAAGATGGTTAGGGTGCTGACAAATCCATGAAGATGATTTCGGTGCTGACAAACCCATGAAGATGATTAGGGTGCAGACAAATCAATGAAGATGGTTAGGGTGCTGACAAATCCATGAAGATGATTTCGGTGCTGACAAACCCATGAAGATGATTAGGGTGCTGACAAATCCATGAAGATGGTTAGGGTGCTGACAAATCCATGAAGATGATTAGGGTGCTGACAAATCCATGAAGATGATCAGGGTGCTGACAAACCCATGAAGATGGTTAGGGTGCTGACAAACCCATGAAGATGATTAGGGCGCTGACAAACCTATGAAGATGATTAGGGTGCTGACAAATCCATGAAGATGATTAGGGTGCTGACAAATCCATGAAGATGGTTAGGGTGCTGACAAACCCATGAAGATGATTAGGGTGCTGACAAACCCATGACTGACTGACTGAGTTTGGTTTTACGCCGCTTTTAGCAATATTCCAGCAACATCACGGCGGGGGACGACAAACCCATGAAGATGATTAGGGTGCAGACAAACCCATGAAGATGGTTAGGGTGCTGACAAACTCATGAAGATGGTTAGGGTGCAGACAACCCATGAAGATGATCAGGGTACTGACAAATCCATGAAGATGGTTAGGGTGCTGACAAACCCATGAAGATGATTAGGGTGCTGACAAATCAATGAAGATGATTAGGGTGCTGACAAACCCATGACTGACTGACTGAGTTTGGTTTTACGCCGCTTTTAGCAATATTCCAGCAACATCACGGCGGGGGACGACAAACCCATGAAGATGATTAGGGTGCAGACAAACCCATGAAGATGGTTAGGGTGCTGACAAACTCATGAAGATGGTTAGGGTACACAAGAAGATGATTAGGGTGCTAACAAATCCATGAAGATGATTAGGGTGCTGACAAACCCATGACTGACTGACTGAGTTTGGTTTTACGCCGCTTTTAGCAATATTCCAGCAACATCACGGCGGGGGACGACAAACCCATGAAGATGATTAGGGTGCAGACAAACCCATGAAGATGGTTAGGGTGCTGACAAACTCCATGAAGATGGTTAGGGTGCAGACAACCCATGAAGATGATCAGGGTACTGACAAATCCATGAAGATGGTTAGGGTGCTGACAAACCCATGAAGATGATTAGGGTGCTGACAAATCAATGAAGATGATTAGGGTGCTGACAAACCCATGAAGATGATTAGGGTGCTGACAAACCCACGAAGATGGTTAGGGTGCTGACAAACCCATGAAGATGATTATGGTGCTGACAAACCCATGACTGACTGACTGAGTTTGGTTTTACGCCATGAAGATAGCAATATTCCAGCAACATGAAGATGCGGGGTGCGACAAACCCATGAAGATGATTAGGGTGCAGACAAACCCATGAAGATGGTTAGGGTGCTGACAAACTCATGAAGATGATTAGGGTGCTGACAAATCCATGAAGATGATTAGGGTGCTGACAAACTCATGAAGATGGTTAGGGTGCTGACAACCCATGAAGATGATTAGGGTGCTGACAAATCCATGAAGATGATTAGGGTGCTGACAAACTCATGAAGATGGTTAGGGTGCAGACAACCCATGAAAATGATTAGGGTGCTGACAAACCCATGAAGATGATTAGGGTGCTGACAAATCCATGAAGATGATTAGGGTGCTGACAAATCCATGAAGATGATTAGGGTGCTGACAAACTCCATGAAGATGGTTAGGGTGCAGACAACCCATGAAGATGATTAGGGTGCTGACAAATCCATGAAGATGGTTAGGGTGCTGACAAATCCATAGGGTGCTGACAAACCCATGAAGATGATTAGGGTGCTGACAAATCCATGAAGATGGTTAGGGTGCTGACAAATCCATGAAGATGATTTCGGTGCTGACAAACCCATGAAGATGATTAGGGTGCAGACAAATCCATGAAGATGGTTAGGGTGCTGACAAATCCATGAAGATGATTAGGTTGCTGACAAATCCATGAAGATGATTAGGGTGCTGACAAACCCATGAAGATGGTTAGGGTGCTGACAAATCCATGAAGATGATTTCGGTGCTGACAAATCCATGAAACCAAAATCAAACCAAAATGTCTAGATGCCTTTTTCTTGTACATAAACAACAAAGTAGCCTTCATTTCAGACTTTGGTGTATATGTTGGTGTAAACTTACCTGCGTTCTGAACCTCCAGCATAGAAGGCCTGCCCTTCATCAGAGTCAGAATCTTCCTCTTTCCCCTTCATACTTGAAAGTGTAGCAAACCTGAAACATAATGACAGTTGTCACTACTTTCAGATTCACACTTTCATTAATGATCCTACATACGAGCAATGCCCCTCAGTCCGTTACCCGTGTCAGTCATGTTTTAAATGCTGTAATTATTTCCATGTGTTAGTCTGAAATATTGTCACTGCGTATTCAGAATAACCATTTACAACTAGAGTTAACATTTGACCATCAGCCAGAAGACTAAAATACTTTAATCTACTTCCACTGTTTTATAGTGACCACTACTTTTTCTCAAAAGCCTTCTTTAACCATCATTATCCAACACAGCAAAAGTTTGTTCAACTCATGTCTTGCACAAATGTAAACATAATCAAAGGCTTAGCCATTTACTTGAAAAGAAACATGTATGTTTGTAGTTGAGCTCCCACACCAAATGTATATTTATATCCATATTTTTCAATATGTGTGAATTAATTTGCATTTGTAATTGTACTGTGAGCTATGCAGCCTCCAATACTGAATAATCTCTCTCTCTCTCTCACCTGCCATGATGCTTATCCTCTACACTATACAGATCTGCATCTCAATACAAGCTCAATGGCACTAGCTACTAGGTTCACCTTGATCCACCTCCAGACTGTCCTGCACTCTGTGATCTGCCACTGCCACTACCACCATCACCACTTGGAGGAGCTGATATCTCTTGTATGTCTTCATCATCATCAACCTCCACAACCTGAGGCTCAGCATCTCCATCTTCATAGAAACTTGCCATTGCAAGCTGCAAAACGAATATACGAATTCAGGTGTTTTTGTCAACATAAGTGAAGGGAAATACACACAAGCTATTTGATGAGTTGATTCAGGAATGTACCCAGTAAAGAGTAACATTCAGAATCCACACTACACTTTATGCATGTTTACTGTTTACTTGTATGCACATTTGCAGTAGCTATTTTCTCTGTGCAACTAGAAACTTCATAAAAGAGATTACAGATTTCACTGAAATTGCATTGGATTACCATCTCTACATGAGATAGCTACACCCCACACCATAACCTAACCCTAAAGGAGTATAGGGATGGCTGATTGGCAACGGAATCAAAGGAAGAAGTCTACAGCTGGGGGTACCTACCCTTTTCATAACACAGGTAGGGCGGTTGGGTAGCCTAGTGATTAAAGTGTTGGAATATTGCTAAAAGCGGCGTAAAACCAGACACACTCTCTCACTCATAACACAAGTATTCCTAGGATCGACAAGGTATGTAAAACATGAAGAGAAAGACACAGCCTGACTAATTTGGCGCAATAAGCTGCCACTGGTAAACTGAAATTGTATTTCTGCTACTTTAAGTTTGATATGGAGTATAATGGACGGGAGTTACACTCGCTTAACCATGATTCGTGGATATAAGGGAAGTGCGGCGAAATTCACTTTAAATGCATGATTTCATTTTGTATACGCACTGATTATTTTAATCATTGATTCAGCAAATTGAAAATGCCGAATATTCCACTTGTGAATGAAACGTTTGTTTACGGATGCCATTTGCAATCATTACCCATTCGTGTGCCCACAAAAGGTGACGTCACCTTGTTTCGTGGATTACGTAGTCGGTTACTATATACCACTATGTACGACATCCCACTGCAGTAAGTATTGACACCAAGGAAAGCAGACAACGAGAAGTGAGAAGGTTGGAGCTAACTGTATCTTTTTTACTTGACATTTTGTAAAATAAAATTTGGTAATGGTGGTATTAGTGATCTGGGGGTATTTTTCTCAATGTTGGACAATTATATTTAGTGATCTTGCGTGTAATGCAGAGATTCGGAACGTTTTTGTCAGCGAGGCGTGGCATTGTATGTACATCAAAAGTACTGCTTTGGGACGTCAGTCGTGACTTAATTTTCGAGCTGGCATGATAATTTCCGCGATCCACGAATCAAGGTTATCCACGAATTTAGGTTACGGTTCTGTAAATATTCTTTACTCTTGATCTGTTCGGGGTTTCCATGTGCCAAGATTTGTAGTTGTGTGGGTACAAAAAAAGGAATGAGATAGAACAGGTTGAAAGTTAAATTATAAATTGTTTCCATGTTACCTCGAGATTCCAAGCAGCTGATTCAAGGTGGAATCTTGCTCTGTCAGCATCGATACCAGTTACACCAACGAATTGGTCGATGAGTTCTTGTTTGTCAGCCATGTTGGAATGATTGAGCAACAAAAGTAATGCTCGATATACCATTCATCCTCCACATGTCTGTGACTGGATAAATGAAACCCGACAAACGTGCTTTCCGCAGGAGAGTTCCATTACGGCACATTTACTTCCCTTGGCTGCGTTTGCACGATTGTTTACCTTTGTAGATCAAGCGTTATTGACACAGTTCCAGCAACTATTGCATGGTCGCCTATAACTTTAAATAGAGAATGTAAAATAATGTCCAAAATCAATAAATACGTTTTGTTTGAAAATAAATGCATAGAGTTTCAGTTCCAAATTCAACAGTAAGCCATTAGACTGAACTGGTGGTGATTGGAAAGAAAGTCACAGGAAAATAAAGTCACAATTTTTGCTAGGATAAAGTCACAGGAAAAAAGGTCATAATGACCAATTTTATTGAATTCATGACATACAGGACCTTTTTGTACATTTCACCAGATTTTGTTCTTACGACTTGCATGGTTACTGTGCATGTGTCCTACAAATACTATTTTCAAACCGCCCTTGATGCTCTTAATTAAATCGATGATGGAAAAATCAGTCAGAATCAGAAGCCAAGTCTCATGTCTTCTTATATGGTAAATAAACAGACAATCATCACACAAAAAGATTATAGCTAATTGTGGTCATAGTGCTTTTATAAAATTTTAGAAGCCATCCAGTAACTAAGTAATTGATTTTATTAAGAAACAGTTAAATAGCGTTTTTTGGCAATTTTACAACTAACACATATTATTGTATTGTGACTTTTTTCCTGTGACCTTTTTTCCTAAATTCGATCTGGTCAGAGGCCATCCTGTAATATCGTTTTCACATACATGAACAGCTTTCACACCACGCAGTCAGATATTTTGGTAAAACCTTTATCTCTGCGGTGAACATGTTTAGATGTTTTGATTATATGGATCAAAAGCAGACTGAGTGACTGAGTGATTGATTATTAAAAGTTGAATAGGTCTTCGGGCAATTAGGCCCATTTACACCTTGCCCGTCATAAAGGTTTGCTAAGTCGAATGACATTCATGGCGAACGATATTCCTTGAGCACAATAGTCCACCCCATGAGATGTCCAAATTGAGAGATGTAAGAGATTCCATCATCGCTTACGTTGATTTACATATTTTTGGCAATGCAGTAAATAATGATCCACATTATCTAGCTCATTACACACTGTACAATTTGGAGAAATATCTTTATCAATAATATTCAGACATGCACCAATACCACAATGTCCAAGACGAAGTCTGGATAAAATAACCTCTTCTATGCGATTATTTCGAGATAACTTTGATGTAGTCACAAAAGGCTCGATGTCAGAGAGATGGCGTCCTTTTAAGGATGAGTTCCATCTCTGGTGCCATTTCGTTTGAGCATGGATCTTACTGACGGTGCATAATTCTGCAGGAGAGGGCAATACTGTTTCATCCTGTCCTGATCCATCAAAGTCTACTGCAATTTTTGCCAATTTATCAGCTTTCTCATTCCAAGTAGTCCAACATGAGCAGGCATCCATGGAAATTCAACAGTTAAAAGATTTTCAATTAATTTGTTAAAAATGTCGAGTATAATATTGATCAAGCTGAGGAGGAACCTGCCCGAAAGTTTGCTTGTAAAGCACTGACAGAATCACTGAAAATGACCACTGACACAGGTCTTACAATCGAACAACGCAATGCTTCAATGATTGCAGCAAGGTCAGCAGAAAATACTGACAAGTGATCAGCTAATCGTATAGAAATTTCTCTTTTGTCATTGGCAATGAAGACACCAGCACCAACACGACCGGACACTGGGCACTTAGATCCATCAGGATAAATCTTTCCAAGGATCTTGAAAATATTGAACGTAATCTCCCAACACTGTTTGCGTAGGGTGTTTAATCCCAAAAGATTTCAATTTTAACAAACATTTTTTTATCTAACTTCTAACAGTTCACGTCTTCAGGAGATTTAAAGGCATTTCACCCGATTCAACCTGTAAAGCCTAAACAGCGGTGGTTCACAATGCTCCAAAGCATATTTGTAGGGCTTTTGACTGGAGAACATCTAGTCTTGCTTTTTGTGTGTCACATGCCTTATCCACAAAGTGCAAATGAGAATCACACAAAACTAATTTTGAGGAATCTTCTTCCGAGTAAAAACGATTGCAGATGAAAAATAGACCCTGTGCTGATCATTTAGCGCGACTTGAAACCGAAATTAAAAAGGACACTAGGAAGCACTGCATATTTAATAGCTGTTTCCATGGACATTGAAAAGGCATATGACATGTTGTGGAGGGAAGGTCTGGTAATAAAAGCGTTTGGAGTTTGTGGACGAGTGTGCATGCTTGATTGGATCAGGGGTAATCAACAACAGTCTCCCTGATTGGATAAAGGAATTCCAGGATTTCTTGAGGGATAGAAACATACAAGTTCGCATTGGAACTTTTCTGTCGGATATCTACATGACAGAGAATGGAACACCTCAAGGAAGTGTCATCAGCCCAACATTATGTAACGTTATGATTAACGAATTGTTTGAGAATATCAATGTACTGGTCGAAACATCACCGTTTGCAGATGATGGAGCGTTACGGAAACAGTCGGGTAATTTTTACACCGTCTTCACTGGTATTCAACAATCTCTCTATCTTGAACAGAACTAGTGAGTACATTGGGTTTTAAAGGATTTCAGCTTCGAAAAGCCGACTGAGATGACCAACCATACGAACAGGTTCAATCATCCCTACCTATGCACAAAATCGCGCGCCGAAACGCAGCCGGAAGTTGCTAAAGCACATGGGCTGTGTGTTGCGATCTGGAGTGTGGACATTTCTAACGAGTTAAATTACTAGTTTCATCAAATTGATTGCCATGTTGCGAAGAGCATTTAAGCGGTCGGGCATCGAGTCCCACTCTCAGATAGATGACAAACATGCGAAGCGTAAAAGAGAAGATTCTTCTCTCGGTTTGGATAATCGCGAAACAAGTGGAAATGTAACTAGAGATAGAGAACTTGAAGGAATCGTCTTTGGTGGAGTCGGTGACATGTTGAGCGAAATTGACAATGGTTTGTTAAAAAACGAAAGAAAAACTAAAAAGAATAAACATGTTTTCTCAATGGATGAGAAGAAACCTGCGTGGGATGATGCGTTTGAAGAAACCGAAACAAGAAAGCTACCGCCAGTTCCTAACTGGGCTAAGATGGAACCCGATCATCTTGACCGTGACGTAGAAAAGTTGCTCCATCGTGCAGGTGACTTGTTAGTTGAATCTACTTGCCTCCCTGCAGGTATCTTGCAAATCAAGAAACTTGCTGATGCTAATGCAGATGATACCAGAGGAAGCAAGATTCAGAATGTGGAGTTCCACCCTACAGCCAAGGTTATTTTAACAGCAGGATCATCACACAGAGTCAACCTCTTTCAGATTGATGGAAAGCACAACCCAAAAATCCAGAGTGTCTTTTTTGATGACTTCCCAATACATACTGCTCACTTCAGCAGAAATGGTGAGGAGATCATTGTCGGGTCGGATCGCAAGAATTTTATGTTTTATGATATGATAGGAGGTAAAGTGGGTAACGTGCCTAGGATGAAAAGACTGGAAGGTAATAATTTGGCCAGGTTTGAGGTGTCACCTGATGGCAAATATCTAGTGTTTCTTGGCAAATATGGGTCAATGCATGTTCTGAGTGCAAAAACAAAGGAATGGATTACTTCGTTGAAAATGAATGGGGACGTCTATTGTGTGTCCTTCACAAGAGATAGTACGAGGATGTTTTCGTTTGGTGACACTGGCTCTGTGTTTGTATGGGACATGAATACCATGAGCTGTGTGCACACATTCATAGATGAAGGGTGTGTCAAGGGGGCATCCATTGCCGTGTCACCAAATAATCAATATGTTGCATGTGGCTCTCAAAGCGGTATTGTCAACATATATGATGCAGATACTTGTCAGAAAAGTAGTTCACCAAAACCTCTGAAGGCCATTATGAATCTTACGACTGTTTGTAACAAGGCCAAGTTTAATTGCACATCAGAGATCCTCGCCATTGCATCCAATGAAAACATGAAAGCTCTTAAGTTGGTTCATTTTCCATCACTTCAAGTATTTTCAAATTTTCCTGAGCAGACGGACAGACAACTGCAGGTGCCCAAGTGTCTTGACTTCTCACCAAATGGAGGCTATATGGCTGTTGGCAATCAGAAAGGACAGGCTTTGCTCTACAGATTAAAACATTACAGTGAATACTAATGAAACTTACGCTACTGTGCACAACTTTCATATTGATATTGTTTACAATGTGGAACTTTGTAGATCATCAAAAAATGAATGTAACAGAGCTGTCTTTATTAAACTATATAATATGTTTGATGTGTTTTTTTATTCTTTGCATTTTGACATACAATCAATACAGTTATTTGTTCTTTTTTGCAAAAGTGAAACAATATTTCATCATAAAGAACTAGCAACTGTATCTGAAGCACTGGACAAGTCTCAGGCAGTAGAACCTGTGATGTTCTAACTGTGCAGCTTAAAATATGAAGCAACTCTGAAAAACAAAAGTAGGCTTTTCAATTATCTTCAGAATTAACTGCTACAATTGCACTGTTTGTCACGTTTCATTATATCACAATTGCTGTTCACCTACCTCCAGCCGATTGATTCCTGGGAACCCTTCTTTGAAAACGTAAATTTGTGTGTATGCTGGTAATCGTCTTAAAAATAGAATCCATCTTTATTATGACGGAAAATATATTCTTGAAAACATGCGAAGTACCTTATAGATGAATCTTTCTGTCATCTGTTTTCTAACACCTCATAGGCTGTTATAGTGTTACATTTGGTTGTGTTTCCAAGGGTGAACAGCCATGCATTACCTTGCTGTATTAACATGTCTTGCACTTAGTGCCACCATCCCTGATTCGAATAAGTTACAGTGGAAACCTGATAAGTAAAATTTCAAGGGACTCGCCAAAATTGTTTACTTATCAGGTATTTTACTCTATCCAAACTTATAAAACCTGTAATGACAACCATATGCATGTATATGTATGCATATGTAACAATGAAGAACTTGTCAGGGCTGGCTTCCAGTTGTCAGTGTATTGTCAACTGCATGACACCAGCGAGCTGTAAGTAGGATGTTTGTTTGACTGGAGACTGACACGACTGCCCCTCATGTCGGATTATGTGGTGATCGCTAATTTAGTTATCAGTCTTTTTGTTAAGTAATTTACTTTCAGGGACCGTGAGAAGACGTTTAGTTAAGCGGTATTGTTTACTTATCCGAGTTTAGTTAACCAGACTCTAATAGTGATAATTAATGAAGAAATTTGCCAGGACCAAAGAAAAGTGTTTACTTATCAGGTCTGTTTAGTTAAGCGGTCTTTACTTAGGTGGTTTCCACTGTAGTTGAAAGCTTATAGATGACTCTTGACTAAATGGATCAGGTGGTTAGGATTGGTGACTTAGTTGATTCTGTCCTACCCCATTGTAATGAAACATTGTTTCTGTTATTAATCCATGGTCTATCTGGTGCAGACAGTTATTTACAGGCTATGGTCATGTAGCTTGAATGATGCTCGGTGGTGTTGAACTACAAACAGCATCCATGAGCTTTCTAAGCTGGTTTGTGTTGAGCAACTTGAAATTTGTGAGACGATAGATGGTTTAATTTGAAACTAGAAGCTTGCACAGGTTTAATACTTTTCTTTGCCAGTAGTTTGTCAATATAATCATGTATTGATGGTTTGGTAATCAGACTGTCCAGATATTAGTGGTGTTCTGATTAATTGAAATAATCAACGATCGGTCGCAGTGACCAAATGACCAAGCAATCATTCAAATTTTCTCGTAATTGAACTATTGTTTTAGTCTTTGAAAACCCTGACAATGGAACATATCTTAGAAGTTGTCGGGGCCCGAAAACGTGTTTAATTCTTAGAAAACTCACTTCACTAACTGAAAAGCCATGACTGAATATTTCTCTAAGATTCAAGGAAGTTTATGTTCATGATATATTAGTCATCACTTTAAAGTAGCAAGTTGCATCAAGTTATACATATCTGCAATATCAACCTGGATAGGAAAATCTGAAAAATGATGCTAACCAATTTTGTTCGATGATTGTTTGTTGGTAATGAAGCAATCATCAAGTGTGAGATTTCAACCAATTCCCAAAACTAACAGATATGATCGTAATTTCATGTTATAGGGTGGTCATGTTGACAGTTAAACAAAATCATCCACAGTCAAATTGTCTGTAAACACTACTTAGACTGAAAGAACACACACTATTGTTTTTATCCGTCTTGATTAATTCTAACTTTCGTCTACAGGTTATTTATTCAGTTAATGACCCGTGAAGATTTGGGTTAGAATTGATGTTCAGTAACCCATGCTTGTCGTAAAAGGCTACTAAGGGGATCGGGTGGTCAGGCTTGCATACTTCGTATGACAATTGCGTTAATTGATGCTCATGCTGTTGATCACTGGGTTGTCTGGTCCAGACTCGATTATTTACTGACCCCGTCATATAGCTGGAATATTGCTGAGTGCGGTGTAAACCCAGACTCATTCACTCACTCACTTCTTCAGTTAATGTAAAAAATATACACCAATAGCATCAACAAGTGATAGGTTTATATCATGTTTCGGAAAATATATCTTTAGATTTGAAGTTACTAAGAGATTTCTTCTGCTTAAAAGTCCTACGCTGTAATTGGTATATCCCTACACTTTGTACATAGATTTTTAGTCTGGATCCCAACTGCGTATTTGATACAACAGGATGTGACATCATATGGCTGTCTTATCAAGTCTTCTTGCTCCATGTGATTGTTAGTTTACAGAAAGATCATTTTGTCCAAAAATTGATGTCACAAAGCACTGAAAACTGAAACTGCTCACATGTAATGTTACTGTTACTGAGCATGAATGTCACGTGACGATGTTTACATATTACTGTCATGACATGGTAGATGTTTAGAACTAATTTAATTTTAATTAAATGTTTGAACTTTTACACGTGCTTATAATTCTAAATATAGTGCTCCAGAAGTAATATAGCAGTAACGTAAAAGGTAATGCGATGAGGGAAGCACTGTGGAGATCATGTGTACTAAAAATCCTATTCCATCATGTAACTGTACTCAAATAGTCTTGTACACAAGTTCCTGTTATACATAGTTCATACTGTGTGATGTTGACCTTTGACATCATCCAGTCATATGTCAGAAACATTTTCCAGGAGTATACAGTAGTTATATCAGGACGATACCATCAAGTCTGTAAAATCTGTCGTGTGTGATTGAGAAAAAGTTATTGTCATGATTGATGTGGCAGAACTCAATCTGAGTTTTTAGACAGTTGAACTTCTAATGCTTTGTTCTCTTGTGTCTTCGGGAATGGTGGGGTAGCCCAGTGGTTGAAGTGTTTGCTCGTCATGCCGAAGACCCCACTTCGATTCCCCAAATGGGTACAATGTGTAAAGCCTATTTCTGGTGTCCCCGCTAGATTGGTTAAAGCAGCATAAAACCATACTCACTCACTCACTTTTGTCTCTTGGACATTTGGGGTGGTGGGGTAGCCTAGTGGTTTAAGCGTTTGCTCATCAAGCTGAAGACCCAGGTTCGATTCCCCACGTGGGTACAATGTGTGAAGCCCATTTCTGGTGTCCCCTGCTGTGATATTGCTGGAATATTGCTAAAAGCGGCGTACAACTAAGCTCACTCACTCACTCTTGGACATTTCTCTATTTCACAATTTTTTGTATGTAATGGAACATTATTTAATAATGATATGTTGTCAATACACACAAACCATCATTGTGAATTGAGAACTTACAGGATCATGATCAATGAAATGAAAACAAAAAACTATATTTTTTGCGAATCATATTTTATAAAGTCTTTGAGACCATAGTCACACAATACAACATACCTCCTCATACTTTCTCCCTCATCTATATACACCATAGTACACTATATACATACTGCCCCCAGTTAGCACATAGAGAAGTAGGGCAACAACACAAATAGTGGACTGTCAGTTGACCACTGACCACTCTTCCAGCAACTCCAGACATTAGCATATATACCAAGCAGAAACAATATTGGGACTAAAGTCATCCTAAACTAGCCTCGGTTAAGCTGTCATTTCTTTGTGGAATATTCTGCATACACTTTTAGGAGATCACATCCAGGCTTCACATCACCTGGTGTTTCCCCTTTACCTCTGACACTAACTCCAGGGAGACAATTCTGTTATAGCATATAATAAATTAAAAATAATTATCATGTTCCCATGGTTTTGCACCAAAACAGCCAGTTGACACCAGTATCCTCCCAAGACAAACATCACCTGGAGACCCACCTATTCAGAATTATGAATTGTTTTTCCACAACTTTATATATTTTGTACCGTGAAGGAACTGTTGATATGAACATATCATAAATCACATAATATTTTCTGTACTAAAGAAAAAAGGGTACAAAATTGTTGACTGAACTATCAGGTTATTGTGTTATTTTCCTTGTTGTCCACATGCCTAAGAGAGAATGTTTAAATATGCTGCCACAAAATGTTTCTGGTCCAGTGATCTAGACATGTTAGCATTGTTAGATGTTACAACCCGATACTGAGAAATTACACAGTAGATACTGAGAGGTTGATATTAAACACACATGTAATGTTAAGTTAAACCTTAAAAAAGGATAAAATATGAAATCTGATAAGTAAAAAATTCCAGCACCAAGGCACTGTAAGGTACAATGACAAAACTGATTGCACACCTCTCGGGCTCTGTATATTTATCATATGGACAAATTACAAAGAACACTGTTAGGGAAACAAAACATCAAGGTAATGTATTCAATTTTAATGCCATGATTAAACATGCATCCAATTGTTGAACTTTGTCATACATATACTGTGGTTTCTGATGGAACAATGCTCAAGCATTTCTCACTAATTTGATGATCATATTTCAGTGTTTACAAAAAGAACAGAGAAGCATTCATTCCAATCACATAGTTATAAATATTCTCATTAGCATTGTAAGTTTTATAACATTTTCATGGTGTGTACTTACTTATTAAAAACAAAACCTGTAGATCAATATTTTGATTTTCCTTGTAAGAAAAAGAGTCACGTTATGTTTACTACATACTGGTATTAAAAATGTCAGCTTCCCAGCTTCTGAGATCATTAGATTCTCTTTGCTTAACACAAAAACAAATGAGGAACCATCCACATGTAAACTATAAGCAGACTCTGACAAAAGAAGAAGTAGAGACTTAACAGACAATAACACATAGCTACTCTCACATGGGCCTTCTGTCCTGAACACTGATATGATTAATGTGAACCTCTGTGGCACACAACAAGGGATTTGAATCTGAACAAGCAACACAGTTACCACTTGTACCAGTACTAGTAGATGTAAGATAAACACATAAACAATCAGGCATCAGAACACAGTGTACCACTAACCATTAAATAACTCCACCATGTTCAGTCACATGAGACTTTGTATTAACATAATTTCATTTCAAAGATTCTTTTGAGAGAAAGTTCATCAATATTTGTTAATTATCAAAGTCAACTCAAATGGTGACCAGATGGTCACAGTGGCTGAATGGTCAGTAGCAGGACAAGTGGTCTTTGTAAAGCAACTTCCAGTATGACTTGCTGATCGAGTCTCATACCTCAGCAGCGTGGAGTGTTGCCGTCAGTTGGATTCAATGCAGGTTGCTGAAATTCAGCTGTAATACTGCTAGCTACAGCCTAAACCCCCATTCACTCACTCACCCTCTATATATACACATTTGATAAACAGTTTACATAAACACAACATAGTGGTGAATCAGTATCTTCTCCATATTCATAATCTACACCAATTAAAGACAACCAAAACGATCACAGTTGTTACTAGCTTTGTGAATACAGTCCATGCAAGACACATCACAAACACTCAACAACAATTGGAATGTATCTGTGCGCATCTTGTTTCCAGTCAGAACAAATGCACTGTACATTATCATGCTTACATGATGAACATACTGTGTTTTGAAACTAACCTCGAAAGTTAGAACACAGTAGGTTAATGTCCATTCTACCATGACAGAATATAGGCGTAATATTGTCAACCCTTTTAGACAGCAAAGAAAGTTAGAGTGGCTGTGGCAGACTAACCAGTACTGCAACACAGACAGATATGGATTCAGGTAATCAAATATTCAATAAACCTGATATATAGGACAACTAATATGTCAACATTGTAAAACTGAATAGGCTGGCAGCCAGAGGATATCAAGTATTACTACAAGCTTTTTTCCCAGTCAATTATTGAATAGAAAACATAACGAAAAACAGTAATCATGTTTACCTGATGATGGGGCCAGAACAAGCCCTGAAACGTTGTACTCGAGAATAAAAAGAAGATGTAACCCAGAAAAATCTCTATGTTCATCAAATATCATCTTCTAAAATGCCAATCAAGCATCTAGTATTCATGTAAGACTACCAAATGGACAATATTTCAAAAGTGAGATACAGAAAACTACCCATTATAAACATTCTAGTATTCCCGAGCAGTGCAAGGACCAGAAGATGTCAGGACTGTGTAACAATAGTTTATAACCACAGACTGTAGGTTACACATTCATTCATTATAAAAAAGTACATCGTTCATTTCTACCACACACACGCGCATTCTTAAGACATTCCCTAACTGGTTAGACGCGCATTCTTAAGACATTCCCTAACTGGTTAGTTGAAACCATTTTATGTTAAAGTGATGATTATAAATCAAGTCTAATCCAAGTCTCCCCTTTAAGGCCCAATCACAGTAGCAAGTCATGGTAGAATGTCTGCTGCAGTCAGTCGGTGTAATGATACGTACACAATACACAGATGAATGCCGCACTGCAAGATGCACCAATGAGACTGAGCACATGAACAGTGATTGTACCATATGTTTTACATGGACAGTATTGTAGCAGCTGGTATTTGCATAATGTGTGATATATTAACATGATATATACATGATGATGTGTGGAACCCCTGGGGCAGGTGCTATAAGTTGTACTTTGAGCGAGCGTATCTCTCTTGTCCTTGGCAGTATTCATTGTAGATGAGCTTGAACAGAAACAGGTGGAAGATGATGATGAGGAAGGCAATAGAAACCCAGAAGAGAGTGGGCAGTCCACCGAAGTGATGGCCATGCCGATGTAAGGCAATCACGTGGTGCTCATGAGCTGGTGCTGAAACAGGATGAGGTAACATGACAGACACTTCATACAAGGGGGAAGATCTTGGACAGCAACATTTAAAAGGACTAACATAAAAAAAACGAGCCCCAAACAAGGCAGATGAATCGACCCTGGCGTTTTTTTTGTTTACCTGTAGAATGTCAACAGTGGTTAGCCTTGGGTGATGTTTATGTGACAAATAGTTTGAAAAAAATGATAGTCTTAAGCTTCAACAAATTTAGTGGACGAACTGAAACTGTTACATCCAGACTGACTTTCTAGTGTCTGAGTGTCGCTGCTAGCCATGAACCATATATCTGAATAACTAAAGGGCAGAGGCAGCAGCAGCAGCAGCAGCAGCATACCTTCCTCTATGGCCTTGACATGTATAGCATGCTTCAGCTCCTCCACATGAATCTTATCAGCAGTGATGTACAGGATGGAGGTCAACGGATCGGTTAACTTCACAGGGAAGCGTTGCCACTCTTTGCTGTCAACATAAAATAAATTAACATGAACAACATGTATTAGTGCCACTCACCCTAGTGACACCAGGACATCCAGACATAGTGTTATCAGGTATATACTCACCCCAGTGGTACTGGAGCATCCAGACAACCAGCATCACAGGCGTAGTAGGGCTTATCATTCCTGTCCAAAGCCACATACAGGTTGGCCTTATTGTCTTCCCCAACATTGACACTGATGTTGACATGCGTGTTGTTGCCATAGTTGATGCGACGAAAGAAGAAATCACGATGTAAATCTTTAGGGTGTATAGCCATCTCCAGGTGAGAGTTGTGAAAACGGAGGGCTCCAAAACTCAGCATCATGGCCTGGAGGACTCCTTCAGCACCTGCAGAGAAAGCAGACCTCTTGGTCCCAGAATACAGGCCATATAATATCCTCTCATCAGTTCCTCATATACTGTTTGATAACGTTTGGTTCTCTGGTGCTGCAGGCAATATTCCGTCAATACTACAACATGATACTCCAACAATGGGATTCACAAACTGTACCAAGTGGGTATTCAAACCCTTGACTACAGTGTGACAAGTGTTTACTTCCATCACTATTTTATACCAGGGTCCATCTTGTCAAAATAAAAAAGCCTATATGTAACTTTTTGCACTAAAGTAATATTGAAACTTAATTCATTTAATCTATTCGAACAATTGTCAATTCAGGAATATAGTTGTATATTGAGTTTTGGGTTTATGTTGGTGGTGATATTTGCAGCCTGGCTCCACTCACCTGACTGAACCATTACGGCACAACCCTGCTTCTCCAGTGTGATCATCCACGTCGTCACCACACGAGCTATCTGGTCCTCATCTTCAACATCAATCCATAGTTTGTCTGCTTGTCTGCAACATCATTATAGCTGATGTACTTAATGCAGACATAGGGTCAACTTAACAGAATGTCAGCATGATGTAACATAGGAGGTAGACATAAAATACATGGAGGTTACTTAACATACATGGGAAGAAAACTCTACATACATGGGAGGTTCACAGTTAACTCACATGGGAGGTTAAGTTAACATAAGAGGGAGGTTACTTAAGACAGACAGGAGGTTAACTCAACATACATGTGAGGTTAACTCAACATACATGGGAGGTTAAGTTAACATAAGTGGGAGGTTACTTAACTCAACATACATGGGAGGTTAACTTAACATAAGTGGGAGGTTAACATGAGGTTAACTCAACATACATGGGAGGTTAACTCAACATACATGGGAGGTTAAGTTAACATAAGTGGGAGGTTACTTAACATAGATGGGAGGTTAACTCAACATACATGGGAGGTTAACTCAACATACATGGGAGGTTAAGTTAACATAAGTGGGAGGTTACTTAACATAGATGGGAGGTTAACTCAACATACATGGGAGGTTAACTCAACATACATGGGATAACATAAGTGGGAGGTTACTAACAACATAGATGGGAGGTTAACTCAACATACATGGGAGGTTAACTCAACATACATGGGAGGTTAACTCAACATACATGGGAGGTTAACTCAACATACATGGGAGGTTAAGTTAAAGTAAGTGGGAGGTTACTTAACATACATGGGAGGTTAACTCAACATACATGAGAAGTTAAGATAACATGCATGGGATGTTAACATAAATAGGATGTTAAGTTAACATACAATGGAGGTTAAGTTAACGTACACAAGGGTCAATTTCTGGATGAGTGTGCCTCTTGTATATAGTATCAGTATTGTAGAACTTACAGTGTTGAGTGTTCTCCATAACATCTGTCGGGGTAGTACAGAACCTTCTGTATGTTGATGCGCTGGGCTTTAGTGGTAGACGGGTCGTGGAGAGGTGCAGGCACATTACTCAGGACAAAGTATATGGTAGAGTTAATCTTGTCTCCATTCAGAGCCCCACCTGCCTTGGAATGGCTGATGCCAAAACCGCTCTGCCACAACTGATGACAAAACATGGAATAAACTAAATATAAGTATTGGACACAACAGATGGTTCAGGATATAGGGATGGTTCTGAGCTTAACTGGGTTGGAGAGTAAAATAAAAAGGACGGTTCTGAGGCTAACTAGGATGGAGAGTACAATACAAAGGATGGTTCTGAGCCTAACTGGGTTGGAGAGTAAAATACAGAGGATGGTTTTGAGCCTAACTGGGCTTGGAGAGTACAATACAAAGGATGGTTCTGAGCCAAACTAGGATAGAGAGTACAATATAAAGGATGGTTTTGAGCCAAACTAGGATGGAGAGTACAATATAAAGGATGGTTTTGAGCCAAACTAGGATGGAGAGTTCAATATAAAGGATGGTTTTGAGCCAAACTAGGATGGAGAGTACAATACAAAGGATGGTTCTGAGCCAAACTAGGATGGAGAGTACAATACAAAGGATGGTTTTGAGCCAAACTAGGATGGAGAGTACAATATAAAGGATGGTTTTGAGCCAAACTAGGATGGAGAGTACAATACAAAGGATGGTTTTGAGCCAAACTAGGATGGAGAGTACAATACAAAGGATGGTTCTGAGCCAAACTAGGATGGCGAGTACAATACAAAGGATGGTTCTGAGCCAAACTAGGATGGAGAGTAAGGTACAAGGTATAGAACACTACAGCTTTGGGGATTTTTCCATTTCATCAACAGAGAAAACCCAAAATACTTCAATGTCTTAGTTGTGTAATTACAGTCGAGCACCGTTGTGTTAACTCTGATAACTCGATATCTCAGTTGTCTCGATATAACATCTCGGTCCCGGCAAAATCATACTTTATCACTATTCAAGCTCTTTTAACTCGATAACGATGTCTCGATATTTCGGATATGTCGATACAATTTCATCATCCCAACAAGCAAAATTACCCTTTTAATTCGATATTTGCAAAGAAACTCGATATTCGCCTACCTTTCATGGGCAAGTATCCCTCTGAACTAAGGTTGTTTCCACACGTTTACACACTGTGCAGCATGAATCAAATGGATGTGGTAGTGTAAACTAATTAGGGCTAACTGAGTTGAAGGTGTCACTTATTTCTTATTTAATCAGGATTAATTAAGAAGGAATTAATAAGGAAGTACTCACTGTTACGACTAAACACTACTGATAACGGATTATAGTTTCGAATCAAAACATACTGAGAAGCGTTTTGTTTTCTTTCATAGTGATATGTGATGATATGTCCTTGTCAGATGTCTCAAAGTTCGGATAACTCGATATTTTTTCTTGGTTCCATGAATATCGAGACAACGGTGCTCGATTGTAGTTCAAATGGAGATTTTTAAGCATGAAACGTATTGTACTTAACACAGTTAAACAGTTCAGGGTGTACCACACATCGCTGCATGTAAGGGTGTACATGCAGTGAGACTGAACGTTTAAGCTTGCCCTAGTATGCAGCCAGTAAGGTAGGTGTACTCACAGACGCCCACACTTTGGTGTGCTCTTGTAGCATATGCTTCCCATCAATATTCAATGCTAGTCCCATATCCTGAAACAAATACATGCATCTTTACTCGTTGCTATCACGAAAAAACCTTAGTTTCTGAATTGTGTTTGTATATATATCATGCACATATCTGGTTTTATCAATTTGTAAGTTCTGGTGTCTATTAGTCACGATGATAGCAGTAACATGATAGCGAAGTTGAACCATGAGTGACCTTGACATTTACAGGATGGCAACATGTGGCATACACAGCCTCTATAGGCTTGTTTACAAATATACAGCAGTAGCTCCCTTCATTGTGTAGACTTACTATCTTGACCTGGTTGAGCAGGTCAGGGACTAAATGTGGCACCTCGTGCTGGTCTGCAGGCTTGGTGTAATGTACCACAGTCAGGATATGGTACAGCTTCGTTCTGCAACAGAACAACAGTCTCATGTGCTGCTGTCTCAGGTCTCACAAGCTTTTATTAATAAACATGTACTAACTTGCCAGTGACTAAGTCACCTGTCTGGTTGCACTGTCCACCTTCTAATGACTAAGTACCTGTCTGGTTGCACTGTCCACCTTCTAGTGACTAAGTACCTGTCTGGTTGCACTGTCCACCTTCTAGTGACTAAGCACCTGTCTGGTTGCACTGTCCACCTTCTAGTGACTAAGTACCTGTCTGGTTGCACTGTCCACCTTCTAGTGACTCTGGCACCTGTCTGGTTGCACTGTCCACCTTCTAGTGACTAAGTACCTGTCTGGTTGCACTGTCCACCTTCTAGTGACTAAGCACCTGTCTGGTTGCACTGTCCACCTTCTAGTGACTAAGTACCTGTCTGGTTGCACTGTCCACCTTCTAGTGACTAAGTACCTGTCTGGTTACCTAGTGACTAAGTACCTGTCTGGTTGCACCTGTCCACCTTCTAGTGACTAAGTACCTGTCTGGTTGCACTGTCCACCTTCTAGTGACTAAGTACCTGTCTGGTTGCACTGTCCACCTTCTAGTGACTAAGTACCTGTCTGGTTGCACTGTCCACCTTCTAGTGACTAAGTACCTGTCTGGTTGCACTGTCCACCTTCTAATGACTAAGTACCTGTCTGGTTGCACTGTCCACCTTCTAGTGACTAAGTACCTGTCTGGTTGCACTGTCCACCTTCTAGTGACTAAGTACCTGTCTGGTTGCACTGTCCACCTTCTAGTGACTAAGTACCTGTCTGGTTGCACTGTCCACCTTCTAGTGACTAAGTACCTGTCTGGTTGCACTGTCCACCTTCTAGTGACTAAGCACCTGTCTGGTTGCACTGTCCACCTTCTAGTGACTAAGCACCTGTCTGGTTGCACTGTCCACCTTCTAGTGACTAAGTACCTGTCTGGTTGCACTGTCCACCTTCTAGTGACTAAGTACCTGTCTGGTTGCACTGTCCACCTTCTAGTGACTAAGCACCTGTCTGGTTGCACTGTCCACCTTCTAGTGACTAAGTACCTGTCTGGTTGCACTGTCCACCTTCTAGTGACTAAGTACCTGTCTGGTTGCACTGTCCACCTTCTGTCTGGTTGCACTGGTTGCACTGTGACTAAGTACCTGTCTGGTTGCACTGTCCACCTTCTAGTGACTAAGTACCTGTCTGGTTGCACTGTCCACCTTCTAGTGACTAAGTACCTGTCTGGTTGCACTGTCCACCTTCTAGTGACTAAGTACCTGTCTGGTTGCACTGTCCACCTTCTAGTGACTAAGTACCTGTCTGGTTGCACTGTCCACCTTCTAGTGACTAAGTACCTGTCTGGTTGCACTGTCCACCTTCTACTGTGACTAAGTACCTGTCTGTCCACCTTCTAATGACTAAGTACCTGTCCACCTTCTTCTAGTGACTAAGTACCTGTCTGGTTGCACTGTCCACCTTCTAGTGACTAAGTACCTGTCTGGTTGCACTGTCCACCTTCTAGTGACTAAGTACCTGTCTGGTTGCACTGTCCACCTTCTAGTGACTAAGTACCTGTCTGGTTGCACTGTCCACCTTCTAGTGACTAACTACCTGTCTGGTTGCACTGTCCACCTTCTAGTGACTAAGTACCTGTCTGGCTGCACCTAGTGACTAAGTACCTGTCTGGTTGCACGTCCACCTTCTAGTGACTAAGTACCTGTCTGGTTGCACTGTCCACCTTCTAGTGACTAAGTACCTGTCTGGTTGCACTGTCCACCTTCTAGTGACTAAGCACCTGTCTGGTTGCACTGTCCACCTTCTAGTGACTAAGCACCTGTCTGGTTGCACTGTCCACCTTCTAGTGACTAAGTACCTGTCTGGTTGCACTGTCCACCTTCTAGTGACTAAGTACCTGTCTGGTTGCACTGTCCACCTTCTAGTGACTAAGTACCTGTCTGGTTGCACTGTCCACCTTCTAGTGACTAAGTACCTGTCTGGTTGCACTGTCCACCTTCTAGTGACTAAGTACCTCTCTGCCTGCACTGTTCACCTTCTACTGGCGACGCATCTCTGCCACTCACCTGACTAAGCACCTGTCTGGTTGCACTGTCCACCTTCTAGTGACTAAGTACCTGTCTGCCTGCACTGTTCACCTTCTAGTGACTAAGTACCTGTCTGGTTGCACTGTCCACCTTCTAGTGACTAAGTACCTCTCTGCCTGCACTGTGACTGTGCTGGAGTCCAGGAAGACCATGCCCACAGCAGCTGCCACTACTGACGTAGACTCAGGAATCTGCACAATACCAGTTGTCACTTTGTAGGACACATTTTCACCTGTGGATGTCCTGCCCCTGGAGAGAGATAGTAGAAATTTGAACAAACGAGTAGGGGTTTAAATTCATTGAAGAGAGTCTTCCTTGACTGACGGACTGACTGAGTTTAGTTTTACGCCGCTTTTAGCAATATTCCAGCAATATCATGGCGGGGGACACCAGAAATGGGCTTAACACATTGTGCCCATGTGGGGAATCGAACCCGGGTCTTCGCCGTGACGAGCCAACGCTTTAACCACTAGGCTACCCAACCGCCCCGAGTCTTCCTTGAGGTACATGTATGCACTTTCTGCTGCTGAAAATGCCCTGTGACAGTTGTAACAATGTTTCAATAAACATATTGGATAATATAACTCATGTATTGTCATGGATTATATGGCCCCTTACATCCTGGAGTTACCTCCCCTACAGTGGATTGGTGGGTAGCCAGGGGAACCACTCATTCGTAACTATTCGTCCCTTTCAATAACCTAAAAGTAGACTCGTACCCCTCTCGTAGCCATGTCCGGGAGAAATATTCCCCTAGCCAATCAGAATGCGAATAAAAAGTTTGACGAAAGCGTAACTCATAGATAAGCCTAACCCTTCTATAGATTGCTTTGTTTTATCCTAAAAATTCGGCTTATGGACGGTAATATATGGTATGTAGAGAACAAATTGGGTCAAAATAGGTCTTTGAAATATTTTTCATTTCGGCTTGCATAATATTTTCCCAGACACTTCAAGTATATTCTAATTATTGCATAGTCCTCCTGGGTTTCCTGATTTTTTATAACCAGGATATATTAACATTATGGTGTAGGAAAGTACTTAAGCATGTTAAACATACCCTTTGAGGTAATTTCCTTTGTGTGAATGCCATGTGTGTTTTCCAAGTAAACTAGAGTTACATGCCCTTGAAAATAGTTCGGCAACTAGACTATTTCTCTCACTCACATACAATAAAATGGCTACAAGAGGGGTACGAGTCTACTTTCAGGTTACGGAAAGGGACGAGTAGTCACGAATGGGGAACCACTGTCCCAAATGATCATTCCTTCTGCTGACGATAAACATAAATGAACAGAATTGCAGGAGGTGGGAGGTCCTACCCCATGGCAGACTCTCCTCAAAGGGTTGAAAACTCCTAAGGGTTTGACTAATTCTTGTTCAGAAGAGGTCTTCATTGGGGTACATATATGCATCAACACAGACTCTTAAAGACTGAAGTCTCAGGAGGGAGGAAACTGAGCACAATGCCTAAAATATGTGTCGAGTTGGTAATGGTAACTGAAGGTTCTCGGCCGGCACCAAATAGTGGCAAAACAGACTATGGTCCAATATCTTCATAGAATTTCAACTCATTTGAAAAGGATTCAAATTTATCAAAATCTGACTTTTCCAAATGAAAAAATGGGATTAGTTAATCAAAATGAAATTTAATGACTGTTGGAATACACAGAAGGCTTATATTTTACCATGAATGTAGGAGTATATGTGCAGGGTAAATAATAGAGGTGTGTCAGCTTACGTGTACTGCTGTGTCTTGGAGTCTGTCCATCCTGAGGGGCCAATCTGATCCAGTTCAATTGTCACGGGAGATTGCTGAAATAGAATGTTGGTATACAATAAACAGAGCCAGTTATGATCTAAGTTTGTTTGTTTGGCTGCTGTTTACTGCAGCACTCAGCAATATTCCAGTCCACAACTGCAGAATATTTGTATCAGACAAACCAGTGATTGATATCATCAGCAGCAACCCATCTCACCACAAGATGTTCAATCAAACAAACAACCAAATCTGACCACACAATCTAATTGAGTAATTCAGTTGCACTGTTACAGACAAGCATACAGTCACAAGAAATCTGGTCCTGGTTGGGGCATAAAAAAACCCAACAACTTCAATATCCAAGAAATCCCAGTCAGTGTAAAACCCAAACATCCTCAATATGCAAGAAATCTGGTCAAGGTTGGTGTAAAACCCAAAGATTCTCAATGTGCAAAAAATCTGGTCCCAGTTGATGCAAACCCAAAACATTCCATCAGCATATGTTCATGTGGTTTTCTCCCACGCTTTCTTGACTTATCTTTATTCTTCTACAAGGTATTTTTGTCTTGCAAATTCTGTTGAATGGTTTTAGTCTAATAACTCAAAATTTGCCTGAGTGCCCAGATTCCCTAACCAAAACATTTTCATTTGTGCGCATGTGTTTAATACAACAGCGGTGATGACTTGATACTTACTGTTGGGTTCTGTATACGGATGTCCTGCACAAGGATAGATGGGTGTGATCGATGAGCGTACAGCTTGGAGCCAATACTGACACAGCTCCAACCCTGTCACAAACAAAAACATTGTCAGTCATAAGGAGGTTCATGTAGTCAGTCACAAGTGGCACCGCTACATTAGAGGGAGGTTTACATGGTCGGTCACAAGTGGCACTGTTACATTAGAGGGAGGTTTATGTAGTCAGTCACAAGTGGCACCGCTACATTAGAGGGAGGTTTATGTAGTTGGTCACAAGTGGCAATGTTACATCAGAGGGAGGTTTACATGGTCGGTCACAAGTGGCACTGTTACATTAGAGGGAGGTTTACTCGGTCAGTCACAAGTGGCACTGTTACATTAGAGGGGGTTTACGTGGTCAGTCACAAGTGGCACTGTTACATTAGAGGGAGGTTTACTCGGTCAGTCACAAGTGGCACTGTTACATTAGATGGAGGTTTACATGGTTGGTCACAAGTGGCACTGTTACATTAGAGGGAGGTTTACATGGTCGGTCACAAGTGGCAACGTTACACTGGAGGGTGTTTACATGGTCAGTCACAAGTGACACTGTTACATTAGAGGGAGGTTTATGTAGTCAATCATAAGTGGCAATGTTACATTAGAGGGAGGTTTAAGTGGCACTGTTACATTAGAGGGAGGTTTACGTAGTTGGTCACAAGTGGCAATGTTACACTGGAGGGTGTTTACATGGTCAGTCACAAGTGACACTGTTACATTAGAGGGAGGTTTATGTAGTCAGTCAAAAGTGGCAATGTTTCATTTGAGGGAGGCTTACATGGTCGGTCACAAGTGGCAATGTTACATTAGAGGGAGGTTTACAGAGTCGGTCACAAGTGGCACTGCTACATTAGAGGGGGGTTTACGTGGTCAGTCACAAGTGGCGCTGTTACATTAGAGGAAGGTTTACATGGTCGGTCACAAGTGGCAATGTTACATTAGAGGGGGGTTTACGTGGTCAGTCACAAGTGGCACTGTTACATTAGAGGGGGTTTACGTGGTCAGTCACAAGTGGTAATGTTACATTAGAGGGAGGTTTACGTGGTCAGTCACAAGTGGCACTGTTACATTAGAGGATGGTTTACATGGTCGGTCACAAGCGTCACTGTTACATTAGAGGGGGGTTTACGTGGTCAGTCACAAGTGGCACTGTTACATTAGAGGGAGGTTTACATGGTCGGTCACAAGTGGCACTGTTACATTAGAGGGAGGTTTACATGGTCAACCATAAGTGGCAATGTTACATTAGAGGGAGGTTTAAGTGGCACTGTTACATTAGAGGGAGGTTTACATAGTTGGTCACAAGTGGCAATGTTACACTGGAGGGTGTTTACATGGTCAGTCACAAGTGGCACTGTTACATTAGAGGGAGGTTTATGTAGTCAGTCAAAAGTGGCAATGTTTCATTTGAGGGAGGCTTACATGGTCGGTCACAAGTGGCAATGTTACATTAGAGGGAGGTTTACAGAGTCGGTCACAAGTGGCACTGCTACATTAGAGGGGGGTTTACGTGGTCAGTCACAAGTGGCGCTGTTACATTAGAGGAAGGTTTACATGGTCGGTCACAAGTGGCAATGTTACATTAGAGGGGGGTTTACGTGGTCAGTCACAAGTGGCACTGTTACATTAGAGGGGGTTTACGTGGTCAGTCACAAGTGGTAATGTTACATTAGAGGGAGGTTTACGGTGGTCAGTCACAAGTGGCACTGTTACATTAGAGGATGGTTTACATGGTCGGGTCAAGTGGGTCACAAGCGCCACTGTTACATTAGAGGGGGTTTACGTGGTCAGTCACAAGTGGCACTGTTACATTAGAGGAGGTTTACATGGTCGGTCACAAGTGGCACTGTTACATTAGAGGGAGGTTTACATGGTCAACCATAAGTGGCAATGTTACATTAGAGGAGGTTTAAGTGGCACTGTTACATTAGAGGAGGTTTACATAGTTGGTCACAAGTGGCAATGTTACACTGGAGGGTGTTTACATGGTCAGTCACAAGTGGCACTGTTACATTAGAGGGAGGTTTATGTAGTCAGTCAAAAGTGGCAATGTTTCATTTGAGGGAGGCTTACATGGTCGGTCACAAGTGGCAATGTTACATTAGAGGGAGGTTTACAGAGTCGGTCACAAGTGGCACTGCTACATTAGAGGGGGTTTACGTGGTCAGTCACAAGTGGGGCTGTTACATTAGAGGAAGGTTTACATGGTCGGTCACAAGTGGCAATGTTACATTAGAGGGGGGTTTACGTGGTCAGTCACAAGTGGCACTGTTACATTAGAGGGGGTTTAAGTGGTCAGTCACAAGTGGTAATGTTACATTAGAGGGAGGTTTACGTGGTCAGTCACAAGTGGCACTGTTACATTAGAGGATGGTTTACATGGTCGGTCACAAGCGTCACTGTTACATTAGAGGGAGGTTTACGTGGTCAGTCACAAGTGGCACTGTTACATTAGAGGGAGGTTTACATGGTCGGTCACAAGTGGCACTGTTACAGAGGGAGGTTACATTACATAGTCGAGCAATGTTACATTAGAGGGAGGTTTACATTACAATGTTACATTAGAGGGAGGTTTACATAGTCGGTTACAAGTGGCACTGTTACATTAGAGGGAGGTTTACAGAGTAGGTCAAAAGTGGCACTCCTACATTAGAGGGGTGTTTACGTGATCAGTCACAAGTGGCACTGCTACATTAGAGGGGGGTTTAAGTGGTCAGTCACAAGTGGCAATGTTACATTAGAGGGAGGTTTACATAGTCGGTTACAAGTGGCACTGTTACATTAGAGGGAGGTTTACAGAGTAGGTCAAAAGTGGCACTCCTACATTAGAGGGGTGTTTACGTGATCAGTCACAAGTGGCACTGCTACATTAGAGGGGGGTTTAAGTAGTCAGTCACAAGTGGCACTGTTACATTAGAGGGAGGTTTACATGGTTGGTCACAAGTGGCACTGTTACATTAGAGGGAGGTTTAAGTGGCACTGTTACATTAGAGGGAGGTTTACGTAGTTGGTCACAAGTGGCAATGTTACACTGGAGGGTGTTTACATGGTCAGTCACAAGTGACACTGTTACATTAGAGGGAGGTTTACGTAGTCAGTCAAAAGTGGCAATGTTTCATTTGAGGGAGGCTTACATGGTCGGTCACAAGTGGCAATGTTACATTAGAGGGAAGTTTACAGAGTCGATCACAAGTGGCACTGCTACATTAGAGGGAGGTTTACGTGGTCAGTCACAAGTGGCACTGTTACATGAGAGGGGGGTTTACGTGGTCAGTCACAAGTGGCACTGTTACATTAGAGGGGGGTTTACGTAGTCGGTCACAAGTGGCAATGTTACATTAGAGGGAGGTTTACATAGTTGGTCACAAGTGACACTGTTACATTAGAGGGAGGTTTACATAGTCGGTCACAAGTGGCAATGTTACATTAGAGGGAGGTTTACATAGTCGGTCACAAGTGGCAATGTTACATTAGAGGGGGGTTTACGTGGTCAGTCAGAAGTGGCACTGCTAAATAAGAGGGGGGTTTACGTGGTCAGTCACAAGTGGCACTGTTACATTAGAGGGGGTTTACGTGGTCAGTCACAAGTGGCACTGTTACATTAGAGGGGGTTTAAGTGGTCAGTCACAAGTGGCACTGTTACATTAGAGGGAGGTTTACGTGGTCAGTCACAAGTGGCACTGTTACATTAGAGGGAGGTTTACATGATCGGTCACAAGTGACACTGTTACATTAGAGGGAGGTTTACGTAGTCAGTCACAAGTGGCAATGTTACATTAGCGGGAGGTTTACATAGTCAGTCACAATTGGCAATGTTACATTAGAGGGAGGTTTATGTAGTCGGTCACAAGTGGCAATGTTACATTAGAGGGAGGTTTACATAGTCGGTCACAAGTGACAATGTTACATTAGAGGGAGGTTTACGTAGTCAGTCAAAAGTGGCAATGTTACATTAGAGGGAGGTTTACGTGGTCAGTCACAAGTGGCACTGTTACATTAGAGGGAGGTTTATGTGGTCGGTCACAAGTGGCACAAATGATTTAGTATTTGATAGATGGAATTCAACTTTGACTTACATTTTACCAATGATCTTAAGATATTCTTATACTCACTCGCTTCACTGTTTGCATCCGGTAGGCCACTCCTGCCTTCATATCCACAGCAAATGCCTCTGTAACAGCATATTATATGTTCTTGTGACATGTTACACTAGAAATATCCATTAGAACCGAATCTTTGTCTGTCTGAAGACCAAAGACAAAATAATTCGTACAAACCAGTAGAGGTTATTGCTTCTTTGAAGAAAGTCCTCCTTGGGTACATGTAAGCATTAAAATGTCCATTTTAAAAACCTCTGACAGTTGTAACTATATTTTAATAAAAATATTTACAAAACAAAAAACATGTTTTTGTCTTGTGAGACCACTCCTACAGGGCCCCTCAGGGCCCCCTACAGCTAAGAGCAGCCATCTACCTCGCACCTCACTTTTCATGCTGAACATAACGTGTGGGGAGAAGACGTCCTCCTTGGGTATATATAATCATAAGACAGACTCCCAACGATAGCGTGTCAGGAGCGGCATTCTGTCTGACAAAAACAAACCCATTTACAAGTGAAATTCTACAACCGAGCGGAGACAGAGAAATACACTTACCTAGTCACCTGACCACCAATGTCAATCAGGCGGGGGGCGTGGCTAAGGGTAGGGACCAGTAATGTCAAGCCTATATGTTGATTGGCTACGGTATCGTGTCAAAACAGCCCCACCCCGAACTCAAAGTTTGGAGGAGTATGTAAGGGGACTCGACAAATCAATCCCACTATCAAAATGCCCAGCCAGCGAAGCATGGTGAAGTGGAACAACATGAGTGTAGAAGAACACACCGTAATACCAATGTAGACGTGAATAACAACCATCACCAGATACCACCACAGATAAAAGGAATATGATTAAAACCTGTCACCAAGGGAAATTCAGACTATGTAATCTCGAAAGCTCAATCGGCTAGAGTGGTACTACTCCGCCCACTATGGAGAACTATCTGGCCAAACTGAGTACGCTCACGTGAGTGTTTGTCCAGCTGAAAATGACGAATGAACGTACTCGGTCTGCTCCAAATACCAGCAAAACAGATCTCCTCAATGGGCAGAGCAGCAGCGTATGCCTTGGAGGTGGCCAATGCTCTAACCAAATGAGCTTTCAACAACTCATGGGGAGTTAAGCCATTATTAATGTAGCCCATACAAATGGCAAAGAAAAGCCACCTAGAGATGGTCTGCTTGTCCACGGGAAGGCCAGCCTTACCACCTGCATAACAGCAGAACAGTTGTTTATCCTTACAGAGAGGTACTGGTATTGTGACGTCAAAGAGAGGTACTGGACGATAAAGGCTGAGTGAAAGCCGGAAGTTCAATAGGCGCCATTACGTGAAAGGAGCCTGCGATCTTAGGACAGTATGCTGACTCGATCTTTATGAAAAATGGTTAGCTCAGGATCTGATGACATTGCGTGAATGTCACCGACCCGTCTACCAGGCATTACTGACACAAGAAAACATGTTTTCCAACTTAACAGCTGGAGAGAGAGAGCCAACAGATGTAAAAGAGAGGACCGGACATCCAATCAAGAACGATTGACAAGTCCCACGGGGGACCCGCCGGACAGCCGGACGGATTCTGTCCATTCCTGCTAAAAAGAGGGTGTTGTCCCAAGAGTACACAATCGGCAGGTATGTGAAAGGCAGAAATAGCCGTAGAGTAGCCTAACATAGATAGGCTTCTAACATAGATTGCAAAAACTCCAGCACAGTGACTAAATCTGTAGAAAAGGGATTAGGGAACCCTCTGCTGACACACCAGCGTGCATAACAGGCCCATCTATCCTCATACTGAACGTTTGTCAAATCCCTCTTTTGCGAAGCCAGAATTGAGTCTGCAACTGATGCACGAATTCCGATTCTAGACAGTGGCCGAGCCACCCACTGAATCCTGGGGTTCGGGTGTGGCACTCCATTCTGGGATAGTAGGTCCGGTCAAAAGGGTAACAGTACAGGAGGTTGAGCCAGAAACCTGATGAGTACTGGAAACCAGTGTTGTGCTGACCAAAGAGGTGTAAGCAGCACAAGTAGTCGAGCTGGTAGGGTGGCAAGCTGCGAGAGGACCCTGTAAATCAGGGGTATCTGTGGGGGGGCCCACAGAACCCTGTCCGTCCAATTGAGCTGGAAGGCATCGGAGGCGATCGCTCGCAATATCCGGGAGCAAAACACCGGAGTCAGATTCGTCACCCCAGAGGCAAACAGATCGACCTGGAACGACCCGTACAACTGGGAGATAATCCTGAATATCCCACAGTCGAGCATCCACTCATGAGGGGCTAGTATACTCCGTGAAACTGCCACGCCTCCTCAAGGAGAGACAGAGACACCGTACCGCCCTGCTTCATGAAATAGGTCATTGCCGTCTGGTTGTCCATCTCTAGACAAACCACTTGGCTCCAAACCTTGTCCACGAAGCATTCGAATACCAGCCGGGCTGCTCTCAATTCTAACACACTGATGTGCAGGGTCGCCTCGTTCTCGGACCAAAGGCCGGAAGCTGCGAGGTCTCCCAGAACACCGTCCCAGTCTGTGAGGGAGGAATCCGTCTGAAGTGTGAGTGTCAGTCCTGGGGTCTCCCAGGGGAGTCCCCTGGATAGATTCCCGGTGTCATTCAACCACCGCAAGTGAGGAATTTAATGGGCCACGGACAAACAGAGCTAACGGAGGCCCATAATGGCGCTCATCATCTGGCTAGTGCATGACCTTATAGCGTCGCGTGCCAGATGAGAGTGGACCTCCGTCAGTTGCCTCGCAAGAGTTGTCAATGACAAGTCATCGCCCACCCCACCCTGGTCCACCAGCTGCCTCTGAAGGGCGGAGAGGTAAACTGAACGGACAAAAACTCTGAGCTGCTGTATGATGTTACGATATTGCTCTTCGAAAGAGAGGTAAGGCGACTTCAGCGTTTGGTCATTGGTGGTGAATGGAGGAAACCTACGGCCCTGTGAGCCGAAGCTTGGGAGCGGCCCAACAACCCCCCGATGGTGACAGATGCGTACATATACAATCGTCCACCACAAGATTCACCAGAGGACATCAAGGTAACCGGAAATAATGGTGCGCTTGGAGGTCCCATAAGAAGAACGCCAGACGATGACAGGCTTGGACCTGCGTGACTGGCGCTGGGAGGCTGACACCCATGGAGTGGCCGTCCCCAGAGCCGAGGCTTGGGTAAGGCACACTGCCAGATGTCAGATCTGTACAGGAGCTGAGGCTCGGGGTGGGATGGGAGTACCTCCGGCAGATGACCCAACGCCGCCGCTACCACCTGAATGAGTGTCGATCTCCTGCCGAAGACCAGAAACTGCATCGAGATGAGCGACTGTACAGAGGCCATCTGCTACTGAGAGAGAGACGAAATATCAGCAAGGATTATAACCTCTCATGTTCAGAGGTTTTGTTAAGAGTGGGGGTCCTTAGCCCAGATATCTCCTCCTCTTCCATATAAAATATATATACACAAGCAAACTGCGAAAAATATTAAGCACAGGCGCTATTAAATGCTAATAGCCAAAGCGATTTAATCAAACTGAACATGCTAACATGCAAAGCAGAAAAAATGCAACGCTAAACCTGTGTACATATAGAATGAGTAATACACAGCTGATAGGATAAATACATGCTACTAAATTACTCAATAAAGACTTACCGTAATTTTACTGATAGCGAAAATAATAAGGCAAGCCTAACATATAATATAAGGCTTATCAATACATTCCCTGCCATGGTGAAAGCGAAACGATAGCAACACATAAAGAGGGAAAAGAAACTGGGTGGTCTGCCATTTTGCCTGCCACATGGTTGGAAATGGGCGACCCCACGGCAAAGTTACAACATTTTACGAATGAAAATATCAACATCAAACTCAAGAGTGCTGCTGAACTCTGTATGCAATGCTGAACAAATGAGTTTTTAATCTGGATTTGAAAGTACTGAATGTCTCTACTGATCGAAAAGAGAGGGGTAATTTGTTCCACAAAGCTGGGCCGACAACCTGAAAAGACCTTTCACCAAATGTCTTGGTCCAGCTGACTACAGTGTGGCACATGTGTTGTTGTGATGACCTCAGATGGCGTGTTGGTTTATATTCTTGCACAAGGTCTGAGAGATAAACTGGTGCCGTGTTGTGCAAGGCTTTGAATCTTTGTCACTCATATCGTACCAAAGGGAACAAACTTCCAGAATGAACCCTGCATGTCCTTCTAATGGAACGACAGCATGAAAAGTGAGGTGCGAGGTAGACGGCTAGAGTTACCTGCTCTCGGCTGTAGGGGGCCCTGAGGGGCCATGTTTTGTTTTTTTGTAAATATGTTTATTAAAATATAGTTACAACTGTTGTAGGTTTTTAAAATGGACATCTTAATGCTTATATGTACCCCAAACAGGACATCTTCTGAAAAAGAATCATCTGTTTAAAGTTAGGTCTTTCTAACCAAAAGTACAAACATTATGGATGATGATGATAGTGAAACGACACTGATGATATTAGTATCTGAATCATGTTATACAAGTGATCATGGAGACGCCTCCATCAGTAGTTGAAAGCAGAGTTTCGAAAACTGACCTTTCAACGGTTCTCCATCAACTTGAGTTTGAACCACTGGGTAGAACTTGACAGGTAGAGACAGAGCTCTATTCAAGCGGATGAATAGTCCATTCTGCGAGTCAAATGCTGCCGCTACTTTACCATTGCCTGTTCAGAAGAAAGTTGTGAAACATAACTGTCCCTTCTATATTTGTCTGACAGCATCTTAGACATCAGAACAGTGCTAGACTTCACTGCATTGTTAACCAAATAATATTTGTGAGATCTGCACAAGTATGCTACAACTATCTGTGGCTAGAGTGATGACGAATGTTGCTGATTCCCAGTTAGATGCCACTATCATCAACTTGTGGTGATGAACACTTCAGGCTGGATATACTTATTGTTCCGAGACACAGATACAAAACATCATTACATGTCATCATTATTTTCTTTCTTTCTTCTCCAGTGTGTGAAATAGTTTCCAAATGTTGCTAGTCAGTTGGGCTAGCTATGCTTGAAAGTTACTAGCCCACAAAATAATTCACTAGCCTGAAATTTGAATGCAGAAACTAAGCAAAAACTTACAAAAATAGATGAGAATAAGATATTGTCGGCACGACACAGGTTTCATTATTAAGCTGCTAATATGATGAATATTTTTATCAGCCAATAATCTTGCATGATTTAAAAGTTTATCATAACTTAACAAGTCAGAGAGAGAGATATATTTACAAAATTACCCAAATGGATTTTTACTAGCCATAGGCTAGCGGGCCAGTGGCTATTTCGTACACTGTTCTTCTCACCATTCTTGCCCATGATATTTTATAGTACATACAGATGAATGAGGACCTTTTTACTTTCGTGTAATAACACACATTTATCAAAATAGAATTTACAAACAGAAAAGTGACTCATTAAAATCCACCAACAACTAACGGTCTCTCCAACCGACAATATCATTATCTGACCCCCCACCATGGAGCTTACAAAATACAATGTTGTAGCAGTATTCTTTGAAGCCGTTAATGCTTGACAGTTTCACTCAGTTCACCTATTCCATGTGTTCTCTCAGAATCCACCTTCTTGGTAAACCCACACCTGCCTTTTACCTACTGTTACTGTGGTTACATCTCACAAGACCAGATAATTTGTGAACATTGCAAAAATTGATGATTATGTAATTTTTAGAGTAAAATTGATATTTTATACTTATCCTGACTCATGCTCTTTTGCTTGTCTTCTTCTTCTTGCGAACATAGTGGAACACTTGTATCTCCTTAATTGAAGCTCCCTTCAATGTAAAATCACTAATTAGTACTCACCAAGAGTTGCCTCCCTTTGCCTTTGCGCGGGAAAGGCGGCGCCACCTTCTGGCCTCATGCTTCACTCTCTCCTGATATAGCGAGCCCAACACTTGAATTTACAGGGAAATCCAAAGTGTTATGTGGGGAGGATGGGAGGGCTTACCTCATGAGTCAGGATAAGTATAAAATATCAATTTTACTCTAAAAATTACATATTTTTCCTTATCCTGACTCATGCTCTTTTGCTTGTAGAATCCTACGGAAACGGAGGTGGGAAAGAACAGAATACTTTGGATTTATAAAATTAATTAGTGATTTATATATATATAACTGTAATAACCCCCTAACGGGAACTTCATAATGGCACTGACTTAGGATAATTCCTCTACTATAAACCATAAGTTTATACATTGCCATAGATGGGGTATTACAATAATAATATACTATGATAATAGCAATAAAGATATAAAAGCGACTCTGATAGGAGAAGCTATACAACTGAACATAATCATCAGTATAAGCTTAAAGCTGAGTAGACTTAAGCTAAGTATATAAATAGCCCTAAAACTCTGTAGAGTTATAAGCTAGATAATACTGGTATGAAATATACATAATAATCTCGTAAGACTATGTGTTAACGTCCACGAGGGACTGTCAACTGCTGTGCGAGGACCAAGGGACCAAAATGGTGAATACCTGTGACGTCCTCGGTGGTGATATCTCTCAGATAGTGATTAGCAAACACCATGTTAGATTTCCAAAAGCATCCTTCCATGATAGTATTTAATGAACAGTTACCGTGTAGAGCGAGTGTGGAAGCCAATGCCCTGATCTCATGGGGATTTGATGCTGTTGGAGGGTCGAGTCCTGCCGCCTTGTAGGCGCGAAGTATGACAGTTCTTATCCATATAGATATGGTGGTGCGAGAGACTTCTGTCTGAGTTGTTGCCGATAAGGGGATGAATAAAATCGTTTGAGAAATCGTAAGCCTTGTTTTGGAGCGTCGTAAATAGATTTTGAGAGCTCTGACTGGGCATAGAGATAAGTCCAGTGTATCTTGAGATCGAGAATCGAGGAGAGTGCAGGAATATGGAATAATCTGTCTGGTTGACCTGGCAATTGATTTTTGGCGATGAAATCCCATCTTAATCCCAGGTGCTGTGTTTTGATTGTCATCAAACTGTATCCTCTCATAATCTAGTGCGTGAATTTCTGACATCCTGGCTGCCGTGGCTAGAGATAACAGGAATAAGCGTTTTCTGTGAGAGAAATTCAAAGGTTGTCGATTCCAACGGTTCATAAGCCTCACTTGTGAGGTGTTGGAACACTATATTCAGATCCCAAGCTGGGAAGTGGAACTTCGCTTCTGATCTTCCAATCGGAAAGCACGTAGTAAGGCCAGTAACTCTGGCGTCTTGGTTAGCTTGACACCCGTTCTCATAGTTATCACAGAACTAAGAGCGGCAAGATATATTGACAATGTCGAGCCTTTTAAATGTTTGTTTTGGCATAGGTAACACAAATAATCTGCCACTTGTGGATGTGTAGCATCTCTCGCTGTAAATCCCTTATTTGCTGCGTAATTTTCGAAACTGTGCCACTTGTCGTCGTACAAGTTACGTGTAGAATAGCGTAAGGCAAAGCGTGACTGCTTTTGCGCTCTGGTTGAATACCCTCTCTTGTTTAAACACATTTTAATACAGTCCATACGTGAAGTTGGAAAACTTCTGGGCTTCCGTGCACCTGTTTGGTGTGTGGATGTACTAATAGATTGCGCTTTGGTAGCTCTAGTGTTGGTTGTCCGATTTCTTGAATTAGAATGGGAAACCACGTTCTGGCTAGCCAGTAGAGCGAACAAAGTGAGTTGGAGGCTCTGTGTTTGTCTGATTTTCTGTAACACTTGAGGGATTATAAGCTGGCGGCGGAAGCAGCGATGCGCATTGAGGCCTTCCAGGATATGCTTAAATCCGTTGCCCATGCTTGTGGGTCGGGACTGGTGATCTGAATGTCGGTAGCTGATTGTTGAAGCGAGTGGCGAATAGATCTACTAAGCGGAGCTCCTATTTGCTTGATAATCTGTGCAAAATTTCTGTATGGAGCATCCATTCTGTCGGTGGCGGTAGATGTGGCGAGAGTCGTCTGCTAGTACATTCTTGGCTCGGGAATGTGACATGCTCTGACATGTAAGTTGAGATCGTCGATTAGATCGAACAGTTGAAAGCATAAAGTCAATAGGTTCAGTGATCTCGTTGAGCCTTGTTTGTTCACATAAAACGCCACTGTCGAGTTGTCGGTATGAATCATCAGATGCGCATTTTGTAGAATGGTGCTCCAATGAAGTATGGCGTTGATTTACGCTTTCATCTCTAACATGTTTATATGGAGCTTGCTTTCTTGCTGATTCCATAACCCTGAAGCCGTCCGGTTGGCGAGATGAGCTCCCCAACCCTGGAGCGACGCGTCTACATATAGATGGGTTTTGAATTCCGGCTCTGTTAAACAAATACCTTCGCAGACATTCGACCTCCTGGTCCACCATAGTAGATGAGGTCTGAGGTGTTTGGTAGACTGAATGGTTGTAGGTCGTCGAGATGTGCATTGATGAAGACCTGTAGCGGACGTAACTGTATTCTGCCTCTGACTGTCATGTCTTGGGCTGGCGTGAGGAGACCCAACAGGCTCTGCCAATGTCGTAGTGGTAGTAGCGGAGAGTAGGAGCTAGAGGAATGGTCTGTTGGATCTTGAGCCATCGGTCTTCTGAATGCGACAATACGGTTGAGAGTCGTGATAAATCGAATGCCTAGAAATTGCAGATCTTGCGATGGTACTAGGTCCGACTTGAGTAAGTTTACTAACCATCCTAGCTGTGTTAGTAGCTTTATGATGTAGTTTAACTGTAGTTTGAGGCGCTGTGGATCTTGATCTACTTGTATCCCGTCGTCGAGGTAGAGCGCACTCGCGTAGCCCTAGGCGATGTAGATAGGTAGCGATAGGTTTCGTTATTCTTGTGAATAGCCAGGGGGCCGATGATATTCCGAATGGGAGTACTTTCCATTGGTAATGCAGCCCGTCTAGTGTAAATCGTAGGTATTTCCTGGATTCGGGATGTATCGGGATGTGTAGATATGCGTCTTGCAGATCTATACTGGCCATGTAATCCATGGGACGAATCAACTGCCGTAACTGAGGTAGATGTATCATGCGAAACGTTGGCGGTTTGCGTAGATAATCTCTGTTGAATATGCTCATGTTGTAAATGAGTCTGTATTTCTCCTTGGAGTTTTTTCTTGGGTACTAGGAAAACTGGGGAGTAGAAGCCTGGTTCGACGTTTACTTGATCTAGTACTTCTATGGCCTGCTTGGTTAAGAGCGATGTAACAGCCTCTCTTAACTTTGGTAGTTGTTGTGCCTGGAAGTCGAACTTGTGAGGGTTGACTGTCAGCGGAGGCGTGGCCTGTAGTGGGATACGATATCCGTGTTGAAGAATGTTGGAGACATAAGGGTCTTGTAACATTCCCCAGTTCTCCCAGTGCAGTTGAAGGCGTCCACCCACTTGTGACGGTTGTACTGGAACGGCTGGGGGTGGAAGACTCCAGTCGTTCCGAACCTGTCTTTCAACGTTTATAGTTGCGGGAACCTCTGGGTGCCCTGCCTCTTCCTGATCCTCCTCTGTAGTTGCCATATGGGCGACGAAAAGAATCTTTTCCCCTGGAGCTGGCCATCTTCCTATCCCGTGCTCTCTGTAATCCAGTGAATTTAGATTTCCCTGAATATCTTTGTGAAGTCTGCCTGATGACGCTGGCTAGCGTGTCCATCGACTTAATCATAAGGACTTCTCTAGAATCCTTAGTGACTTCCTTGGAGACTTTCTCTATTCCTCCGTCAAAGATGGATGGGGAGGACCACGGGGCTGTATAGAGTGGAGCTGTAAACTGCTCACCCCAGCTGCAGGAAGCGAGGAGGCCTTGACGACGAGCTAAGGTTAGCGCTGCTGAGACTGATGTGAGATGATCCGTTAGGAACTGCTGGTCCTTCTTTTGCATCAGTAGGGCCGAGTAGATCATCCTATCATCTTCAGAAGTCGTGTCACGAAATCTGGTGATAAGAGTCTCATTGATCGTTCTAGATCTATTAAGGCCAAAGAACATGCGTCTCGTCATGGTTTCTATCTGCACCAGCTTGCGATCGTCAATCTTATAGTTCTTATTCTTGACATCGCTGATCATCTTGTAATTGTCATTGATGTCTTGTGCCTTGAGGAAGGGGTCCATATTATGAGTTGAAAACTTCTTAGCGTGAAAGTTCGGTAGGTGTGGCGTCTGAACTTTCGTGGCTTTATGGAAGGCTGTGTCCAGATTCTGTCGCACCGCAGCAATCGGGTCGATCGGAGGTAAGGTGACGGCGTCTGCATCGTCCTCCTTCATCAGGTAAGTATGCGCCGAGTTACCACTCTTGGAAGGTGAAGAAAGGTCTAGGTTGTTTACCATCCAATATATCGTATCTCAGCGTCTGAGAAAATGATGCCTCCATCATCTTCTACCCCAGGATCGCTGATGAGAGGTTGATGCTCTTCAGATGGTGGACTGTGTGCTTCTACCACTGTACCGGGTGACGTTAGGGGAGACCTGACTGTGGACTTCTGTGAAGACTTGTGTGGTGACCTGCGAGGAGATCAACGTGGTGATGTACGAGGAGATCGGCGCGGTGAACGGCGAGGTGATCGGCATGGAGAATGGCGAGGGGATCGTCTTGGTGAACGTCCTGACGATCTGCGTCTATGGGTTGACCTTCGCGGAGATCTGTGAGGTGAATGTTGATAGCTCCGCGAAGCTCTTGTGGAATCCCTTGATGTCCTTCTGGACGAAGATGATTTGGAGCCTGATAAAGGTGCCCTTACTCTGCGTCCGGTTCTGGGGAACGGCGACTTGACCTTCGCGAAGGCTTTCGTGAAGTCTGGTGGTCCGAGTCCGCATCTAAGGATGAAGCCGAGGTAGGTGATGATCTAGGCTGTACATCTGGGTCCTTCGTCGAGGTGGTCTGTGACTTCCTTCGCGAAGGTGGCTTCGTCGTGGCCGCTACGTTGACGGGGGGGGGTCCCTCTGGGGTGTTGTCTACGTTGGAGCCTTCGCGAAGGCTCAGGCCCTGGGCTGGTTGTCTCTCCAGTCTGTAGTGGTCCTCCATCATGATCATGATTTGCCGCATCAGTTCATCTGGGACGGTCTGCGACGATGTAGTCGGTGCCCTCTCTGCGATGTTAGCGGCGGGGCCCTCAGGGAGATCGTCCGACATCGGTGTAGACACATCAGGCTGCATGGCGATCTCTGCTGGCGTCACTGTAGCTGTCACGGTCGTCTCTTGTGGCGTAGGTGGGGATGATGATTGGCTGATCATCGTAGAGGCCCAGTTCGGGCGGCTGGAACAATCTCGGCTGAGAAGGTTCTTGGCGACCGTGAACTCCCTTGGAGGTAGGCGCTGCCCTGGGAGTACGGAGTCTGCGTTGAGTAGGCGTCGAGGCCCTCTTAGACTTTGGCTGCGATGGCGGGATGTCTGGGGAAGCAGGGCGCTTCTTGGAGGCGGGCGGACTGCATCCCGCCCCTCCTCAAGGGAAACTCTAGCAGAACACCAGGCGGGAGGGTCGACCAACAGCAGCTGACTGGCTAGGGTTCCGATGTATCGGCCATGTCTAACCCTTGTTTTGCGTGACCTATCTGCTGCGCGTCTCAAAGGCTTAAAGATGATATTTATTAAAAGCAGAATTAGATAGATTAATACAGTAACTGCAAGCGTGAATCAAGCGCACAAGGCATTAGAACAGCTAGGGCATATTACATGCGGGTCAGCAGCGAAAAGCGTAATCTACAAATAGTACAGATTTTCATCAAGCGTAAACTAGCTGAACAATCCACGAACTCCGTGAATAAACAGTAGAAATACGAGTAATTATCAATACATATTAATGAAGGATACTAGCTATACCTCTATAGTAACCTATAGGAGGTAACTAACTAAGAATAACCAAAGGATATAGTGTGTAAGGAGACACAGGCGCTCTCACATCCTGCTCACTGGGCGAAGAAGGAGAGAGTGAAGCATGAGGCCAGAAGGTGGCGCCGCCTTTCCCGCGCAAAGGCAAAGGGAGGCAACTCTTGGTGAGTACTAATTAGTGATTTTACATTGAAGGGAGCTTCAATTAAGGAGATACAAGTGTTCCACTATGTTCGCAAGAAGAAGAAGACAAGCAAAACAGCATGAGTCAGGATAAGGAAAAATACAGTAGCTTCATAAAACCATCAAAGACAAATATTAGACATATATGTTCAGAAAGAATTCAGTAATTATTGTTGGCACAATGTATCCATGAGTGTGCTTGTGATACATTTACAATATTTCGGATGAAGTTAGAGATGACAATACAAATACACAGTATCTTAGTGGCTGTGAGATACAATTCCAGGATATTGTATGCATGCGAATCACGAAGTTTGAGGTATACATTATGATAAAAACAAATCAAATTGTTACTTATAAAAGAAGATGTTTGGCACAGGTGATGAATAAAATTCAAGAGTCTGTTGTAAGTACTTTCAGAGTATGAATGGTGCAACTGAAAGAGCATAAGCATCCATGGCAACCGGCAACCACAATAACCTGACTTCAACCTTTGACAGGTGCTTCCTCCACTGGAAGACAAAGGGAAGAATCCAGCACTGAAACGTATCAACTGCCTACTTACCAACATATATGGGATAAGCTGTTTCCCCTGGCAGCAGTGGCCTGTGGTTGATCACAGCATCCAATGATTCAGTTGACTTGAAAAACGATTTGTGGATTTTTTCTTCTAAACAGTCCTCCAGAACTGCAAGCAAAAAGGAGCTTGAGACGGTTCATTCACAGATTAATCTTTGGAGAGTTGAGGTAGAAGAGTCGGTACATACCTCCGTAGGTGTGTGCCAGACATTTGTCTGATAGAATGTTGGTATATGTACATACCTTGATTCATTTCGGGTGAGTTGAGGTACATATTGAGATATGAGCAGGCATTTACCTACACCTGATAGTGTGTTGTTACATTCCCAGATGGATCTTGGGGGAAGTGAGGTGGAAGAGTGTCATTACATACCTAAATAGACATTCGGTGAAGTGAAAGAACATATCAGTGTTGGTACATGCCTGGAGGATCTTGGGTAGGTTGAGGTGGAATCGGTACATTCCAAGACCCTTTTGGGATCAGTTAAGGATGATGTGTGTTGGTTGCTACCTGGATGGGTCTTGGTTGGGTAAATTGGAAAAAAGTGTTGGGTTGGACTGAGATGAATCTTAGTTCAGTGGAGATGAAAAAGTGTTGGTTCTTACCTAGATGGATCTTGGGTGAAGTATAGTTGAAGACTGTCGGAACCAGATAGTAGAAGAGCAGCAGTAACACCAGAACAAGCAGGATGATCTTCCGAGATCTGCATTGAGAAGACAATCACAAAATGTTATTTAATCATTTAAGCATATTTTAAAATCCTTGTTATTTTTTTTAATCATCTTTGAAGCAGATATTTTTTTCCAAGAGTTAAAGCTAAATGATCTAAAACCTGTTTCATTCAAGTTTGCAAATCACATTAAAGAAATGATAAATTCAAGTATCAGCATGGTTTGAAAACAAAGAACAACAACATAGTGAAATTATCATCAAACGTCCCTGCATGTGCAGTGACCTACTTCCAGTATTATTGTAGGTAATGTGTGACCCAGTGCAGTTATTATTCAATAGGCTACTGACTTCTCGTACACATCCAAAGGTTAACCTGAATGGTCATCAAGACATGTACAAGGATATGCTGGATGGGCTGCACCCACCAACAGAATTATCCTCAATAACATATAAATCACTTCTGACTTTTAAAGTAATTTTGGTATAATTCTTCTTCTGGGTAACTCATTGGATAATCCCCGACTCCCATAGAGTCTTCTCTAATGGACATAGGCATGCACGACAACCGAAAGCACCAGTGACTTCCAGGACCCAAAACATGTGATCATAAATAAATCATAAACCTTTCAGGATCATGTAGTTCCGTGCTAGTCCATTACTAGTAACATTTAATTAGGCAACAACCAGTTGTTTTTTAAAGCAAAACAAAAGAAGCTGGGCTACCAGTACCACTAGTACCAGTCTTGTAATTTGTGTTGGTTTTGCCACTGATTCATCCATCAACTGTTGTTGCAACGAACACACTAAAACCTTAGGGTTAGCTTGAGATGAGGCAGGGCAAGGAGCTGAGCCACTTCCCACAGCTGAAAATAAGGAACTTGGCCCTACCTGTGTACTACATGTAGATAAAAGGAGTCCCTTAAACTCCAAATTGAGGCTGCTACCTTCTCAAAAATACCACTCGCTCCCGAGAAGACTAGCCCTTGTCTAAACAATGTAAAAACCATGTACACAGATGTGCCATTAGAATGGTTTGGTTTGGTTATTTAACGCAGCACTCAGCAATATTCCAGTTATATGGTGGCAGTCTGTAAATAATCGAGTCTGGACTAGACAATCCAGTGATCATCAGCATGAGCATCGATCTAGTCAATTGGGATACAATGATATGTCAACTTTGTCAGCGAGCCTGGCCATCCGGTCCCATTAGTTGCGTCTTACGAGCATGGTTTGCTGTAGACGAGAGCCGTGATGTGGTCCGATACAGCATCGCAGCTTTCGGCTAGGGTTGCTGAAGACCAATACTAACCAAGATCTTTATGGGTTTATTTACAAGAAATCCATTAGCTAGGTTTTAAGCTGGCAACACAAATAAGATCATGGTAAATTGCTGTACTTCGTCATTAATAGGCACTGGAAAAAGTTAAAATCTTGTATGCACAGATAATTATAGCTGAAGGGGTCGTTGTCGGCACAGGTACTACAGATACGTACCCCAGGTACGTTTCTGTATACAGATGTGTATCCTAAACAAAGTCAAAATACAGAAATGTACCCGGTACCCTAAAAGGTGGATGAGTCCATATTCCGCAATCCAAAACCGACACCGCATGTAGTTGTTCCCATTCAACTGATTCCAAGTGGTATTCATGTGCATCGCGAAATATCCGTTACTGTGTATTTTCATTACTTACATAACGCAATCAAATGTATCTAATACAACAGCATGGCAGTACTGATCAAGAATACGACACAGTGGGAATGGAATCGTCCTAGAGTACGTTTCTGTATTCTCATTATGGCCAGGGTACATATCTGTATACAGAAACGTACCTGGGGTACATATCTGTAGTACCCGTGCCGACAACGGGTTGTAGACAAAAGGGCCAAAGGACCGAAAAATAAAGTCAAAAGGGCCGAGGCTAAAAGTTAAATTGGCCGAAATGAAAAGTAAAAAAGGCGGAAAAATAAATATTTAATAAATTACATAGTAAAATAGTGTAAATAGTGTTTAGTTTGTTGTTGTTATTTTAAATGGAATTTGAACATGAGACTCAAATGTTTTCATTGTGAAGTGTGTTGACTCAGTGTCATGACTAATCCGTATGGGCTGTTTGTTTTTGTTGTAAGTTTTTAATCCAAATCTAATTAAAACATGGGTGTCTAACGTTTATATTGTAAAGTATCTCGACTCAGTGTCTTAACTAATGACCAGTCTGCTGACCATTCTAAAATCTTTGCTGCTTGGCGGCTGTGTTTGAATGAACTTGTGTGAATTATGAAAGAATGAACTTGTGTGAATTATGAACGAATGAACAGTGGGTACATTATGAACTTGTGTACATTATGAAAGAATGAACTAGTGTAAATTATGAACGAATGAACAGTGTGTAAATTATGAACGAATGAACTTGTGCAAATTGCCATTATGTTATTTTTGTTAATTATGTGAACTTGTGTTTATTAAGTAAATTATTAACTATATGTATTGCCATTACATGAAAACTCGGCTACATGCTTGGCTATTACTATGCCATTACTTTTTATTAATGTTATGATGATATTATGTTTCCATGCTATGTGTCAATAAATAATGTAGGAAGGCGTTTCCTATTCTCGCGGTACTTACGGATATCGGCTGACAAAATAACACAAACAATTCTTATTGTATGAATGCTTGTTTTTAAATGAACGGCCTTCTCCTCTATCATCTACATCTATCAGCTGCTAGATCCATCAGGTGAATTACCACTCGTGAGCCCAATGATAAACAATACGATCCGCCACTGACGAAACGAGGCTTCTCCCATTCTCGCGGTATTACCAGGAATTAACGTTATTGAGTGAATGTAAGAGCAATCCTGCCGGAAAGGGCGGGAAAAAATTAATGATATGTCCAAGTTGGTATAAAATCCCCAACATTCGTGACACTGCAAGATTTTGATCACTTACAGACTTGGTCCACTTCCTAGTTACCAGTCGGTGATGTAAACAACCGGTAAGTGTCACGCATCGGCGATTTCGGCAGAAAACGTGTTTACCGCGAGAATAGGAGACGGACCTATATAACCTTTCTAAACTTTTTGTCTGTTCGGCCCATATGACTAGGAATAAGGCCCTTTTGAGTATTTGTCACGGCCCATATGACTAGGAATAAGGCCCTTTTGAGTATTTGTCACGGCCCATTTGACTTTCACCTCGGCCCTTTTGACTTTTTCCATCGGCCCTTTTGACTTGGCACTTCTCGGCCCTTTTGTCCTTCGGCCCATTTAACTAGTTCCCCCGACAACGACCCCTTCAGCATAATTATAAACACCTTGAATCCTAAATTTAACAAATTGCTCGAGTTAGGCTAAACAAATAACAGCCGCTATACCGTGTACGTTTTACTGTAATACTTATTTATGAAAGACGAAAGCATAGGGAATGAGAGAAGAAGAACATATCTCCTGACATGACACCCAACATATCACTATCCACGTTGCATCTTCCACACAACATGAAACTCCGTCCACTACCACAACAATTCTTGTGAGTGTCGCCTGTTGACAGTTGCTTACCTGCTCAAGGAAGATAGAGCATTCAGTGAACTCTGGATCCTGTTTTGCAGCCACATTTGCCGTATTGTTATGTATACAGGGAATCTACGAGAAAATATTCTATTCAACACAGCTGATCCATTCCTCATACTCAATAATCTGAGCGACACGCCGCCATATTGTCATACCGCAGTGATTGATGTTTTGACACATTTAAGTACATAGATATTACAGATATTACCTAATTATGATATACCTACTCGAATGTGATAGTAACAGTCTTTATGATTATCAATGGAAACATATAGATTATGTATATATTTTTCACTAATCGCTAAACTTTAAATATTCTTTTCGAAGTTCATATCCGGTTAGAATGTTTTGGTTGGAGATGAACTAATGGACGAGCATTCGATTCTAATACACAGTGATTAATCGATAAGAAGGTGTGTATGTGAATTTTAAAATATGTTGAGCATTTCGTCCGAAACCTTTGTCCAGGATGACAAAAAATAAGGAGATATGTCGAAATATATAGCTTTGTATCGACCCGTCAGATCTCCTGGTACCGGTAACAATTTGCTAGTCACCTGGGACTGTCAGTATGGCTGTCAATGTGTTGCATAACATTGATTGCCAAGTGTTGCTCACCGGGATGATGATGTTTCAGTGCTAGTTTGTTCTGATTTTATAACCTCTTCCTCTTGAACGGGTGCAGGCTAAATGCACTATGCTTTTCTGGAGAGAGTTGCATTATGTTAGTGCATAAAAGCAGAACTGTTACCAATCAGTCGAGATGATACATGTATACCAGACGGCCAATGTCTCTCTTGTACGTAAGACGAGTGTGGTCTGTGGTACTAAGTGAAGCACTTGACCCCATTTAATTTTAATCATTGTGATCACAAAGTGTTTTTTGGTATTTACACTTAGTGACAAAAAGTCTTGCTTGCAATGCAATGAATCAAAAGAAATGGAGATACCCTTTGTTTGGTTTAGATGTGCCTGCCCAATTCACTCACTTTGTCTCCCTGTTGCATGTATGGTGATGCTTTGTAATCATTTTTTTGTTTCAGAACTTGTCAAGGTTTATTGTGTAGACATTCAAGATGCTGGTTCCTATTTTCACCCTTGAATTGAACCACAAAGTGAACCCTCACATGGTGACAATAGGGAAGTATGATGGCACCCATCCTTCTCTCACCTGTGCAACCACTGCAGGGAAGGTAGGATACCTGTTCAGCATACACTCGTAGTATAAACCCCTGTAGCTAAACATTCATCATTAGTGCTTTTTTTAAAGCGAGAATAAACTCTCATTCGTCTAGCTGGTGCAATTCTAATTATCCTGCATAATCAGCAGATGCCTATTGACTGTTTGGTTTAATACTGGAGTCATGTGCAACAATCAGAATATATATATATTGTCTTTGTCTTTGATGACAACCTTTGAATCCTCACATGCTGTCAAAACCAAAATCAGTTAGTATGAATGTGTTTTGTTTTAGGTGCTCATCCATAGTCCCCACACACGTGGTCAGCGTGGCATGGGTCCGATTGTGGCTAGCTCAGAGAATGACATCAGTCTCCTCAACATCAACCAGCAAGTGTCATCAGTGTGTGCAGGAAAACTACACACCAGCAATATGAACGATGTACTGGTGGTCGGCACACAGACAAATCTCATTGCCTATGATGTGGACAATAACAGTGATCTCTTTTACAAAGATGTGAGAACATGAATTTTGAGTGCTAGTGTGATCTGATTTTATAAAATGCTCTTGACCAATTACCTCGTTAGGATGAGAAAGCCACAATAATTCAGTGCGCCTAGTGGCTGCAAGAGTTGCATACTCCCCAGAGAGTTGAGATTGATAACACGATGTGCCGTTGAGATTGACATCCAATGATCGAGGGAAAAAATACCAGCACTTTGAGCAAGCACTAGTTGCCTGGATATGTGCGCTATATAAATATCATATAATAATAATAATTGCAATGCCTCTCTGCAAAGACTGCTGCCTTTTGGCTGTGAGAAAAGAGTTTTCAGCTAAGGTGAAAAAATAATAGATCCAGATTTAGCTAAGTGAATAAATAAAAACAAAAAGTGTCCTTTATGACCTCAGATGCAGTGAAGTGGTGAGGGTGTCTCACTGGCCTGAAGACTTGGTCTTCTGGGGCAGGATCTGCTAATTATGGGTTATAATCTCAGATTTTCGCTGATTCTGATGCTTGATTGGTTAACACCGTGCCCCTGCTCCAGGCTTTCAATCAAGTTGTAAATGTTGGGGTCTGAATTGATTTATGTTTTCTGTGCCCATTAAACTGACATGCTGTATAAAGCCAAAACATTTTAGTGAACTTTAACTGAACTCATTTACAGGCAATATGTAATAATGACATCTTGGGGTCCAGCCAAATCTGAATGATGTATCTTCATAAAAAATCAGAAGGGACCCCAATCACAATAAAATCAGATCTTTCCATCAAATACCATACCTCTCTACGTTAAGACATAAGGACACCTTCAAAAGATGCCATTTTAGGAGAAATGTTTAATCATCCAGTCAGCATTGACGCTTTTGACCAGCAAAATGGTTATTAAAGAAATGAAGTAGAATCAGTTTAGAAAACTAACATCCAATAAGCCTCCTTTACTTAGTTTGGGGGGTCAAAGTTTGCTCTAGGTTCACCTTGCAAGAACAGTTGAGGTGTCCTGAGACGTTGACACACAGGTATCATATCTGAGTGAAAGATCTAATGTTAAAGAGATTGATCTGATTTCACTGAGATTTGTTACCATGAGACTGTTGCATGTAAATACTTAGATGATTCTTCAGTGCAATGTTGAATTCATGCAAATTTGAGTCACTTGTTCATCATGTAGGGAGGAATTGCAATGTCTCTACAGGTTACCATGGTTACAGTAGTAGTGAATGAAGTAAGCATGATATCTATTGCAGACTCCTGATGGATCCAACGCTGTGGTCATTGGCCAGCTGGGCACCATCAGCACACCGCTAGCTATAGTGGGTGGAAACTGCTCCATACAGGGATTTGACCAGGATGGCAACGATTCATTCTGGACTGTAAGATATTGTTGATACTGGTGGAGTATTTACCTGCTATTGTGCACAAGTATATCTTGTTAAATTATTGCTGGACAGTAAGTGCAGATGACAGGGTCACAGTCACCAGAAGTTTGATATCTGATCATGGTGTACACAGTGAGATTTGTCTGTAATGGTTAGCATAGGGGATTGTGTTATGTCAGATAGAGGCTACAACACTACACCACTGTAGTGTCATTAGTAGGAGGAGTCTCTTGATGATTGCAACATGCTTGATGTGAAATGTTGCAGAGTATGTGTGTGTTTGTACTATTTGTACTTCGTATTCTTGTGTCAGGTGACTGGTGACAATGTCTGCTCTCTTGCTATGGTGGACTTCAACAATGATGGACAGAATGAGGTCAGTACATTACCACCACATACTGTGTCCAGCAACGCTCATGTAGATGAGATTTAATTGGTACACCTAATGGTTATATTAACTGGATACTAAGTGGACCTCTTCAGTTAGAACATTGTTATTTCAATACGGTTATGCACATGTATGGATCCACCAAACAGTGGGAGATCCTTATATGTTCTTAAAGCTATTCAAACAACGCTGTAGAGATATATATTACCAAGAATGGTCATCCGATATTGCAAGCTCCAAATATTTGTATGCATATTCACTATTTAAACATGACATTGTCCATGAAACATATCTAGAAGTATTATCCTCTATGCAACTCCGCAGATCTCTTACAAAATTTAGATGTGGCATCAGTAAACTGAATGTACAAACCTATAGAAGATCCAAAGATGATATCAGTTCTGCCATGTGCGCTCATTGCGTCAATATTGTCCAGGACGAGTACCATGTTCTGTTACAATGTCCTGTTTTTTCTGATTTACGCATCAGGTATATACCACAATATTATTGTGTAAATCCCAACATAGAGAAGTTTGTAAATTTACTTAACACCCAAAATGCAAATATTATTGTACGCCTAGCCATATTTGTAAACAAAATCCATAACGTTTTATGATACTTATAAATGCCAGTGTACTTCTCATGCCTGCGCTCCAAAGAACATGATGTCAAAATGTCACAGTACTATTGGCCTCATGGCCACTCTACGAAATAAATCTGTCTGAGAAGTATTATAAGGTTTTTCATCCAGGAGCAGCCATCGTATATTATCAGTCATTAGTAAAATTCCATTCTACAGTTGACAAATGAGTATTTAATGTACCAGTACTTCATTTGATTTGTTTTCTTCTTCTTTTGGTCGACCCGTGAAGATCCAGGTTAGAACTGATCTTCAGTAACCCATGCTTGTTGTAAGGGGGAACTAACAGGATCGGGTGGTCAAGCTCGCTGATTTGGTTGACACATATCATTGTATCCCAATTTCGTAGATTGATGCTCACGCTGTCGATCCCTGGAGTGTCTGGTTCAGACTGGATTTTTTACAGACCGCCGCCATATAGCTGGAATATTTCTGAGTGTGGTGTAAAACTAAACTCACTCACACTTCTTTTGGCCACCTTAATTGAATGTTGTCTGTTCATCCCAACATGTTACATGTAGGAGGTCCTCTGTAACACCTGTGCTACAATGTGTGTCAATATTTGACCCTGCTGCACCCTAACTCTTTTTCTTCTCATTTTGTATAATTGTACATTGTACAGTTTGTTTGCATCCACTACTAGATTTCCAAATTTATGTGGCTGAAATTTGTTTTCTGGATACAACCCAAGCCTGTTTTCATGTATGAAACGTGAAGTGAAGTCAGCATAGGAAGCAGGGTATTTGATGTGATCAATTCCATTTGCACCCCCATTTCTGGTGTCCCCCACTGTGATATTGCTGAAACATTGTTAACAGTGGCGTAAAACTGAACTCACTCACTCACTCACTCACTCTATTGCATTTTCTGTTTTGTGATATATGTGTGAATTTCAACAATGGAGGCTGTCAAGATTTTGCGTTATTTTTCAGTTGATTGTTGGCTCAGAGGATTTTGATATCCGAGTGTTCCGAGAGGATGAGATTATTGCTGAGATGACAGAAACAGAGGTGATAGTTATGCACCCTTGTATACACAAGTTGAATAGATGCTATGCACTTTAAAACAACTCTTTGACAGTTTATTTTCAGTTTTAAAAAATGGGGTATTCATTTTTAACTTAAAAAAAGAAGAAATAATTCCCGTCAGTATGGTTTTAGACTACCTATAGCAATGCCATAACTTATTTTGTCACATGTGAATTGTTTAGACCATAGTTCAAGACTGATTTCATTGCTTATGTGCTGAAGATAAGACGTGATGTTTTTGAAAGAAACATTTTGTGTTCACTAGGCCATAACATCTCTGTGTCCAATGACTGACAGTCGGTTTGGTTATGCTCTGGCTAATGGGACAGTGGGTGTGTATGACAGGACAGCCAGGTACTGGAGGATTAAGGTAGGTACATCAATGTGTGCAGACACCATTCTCTTTGTTTAACACTGTAGTCAGCAGTTGACTAAGCATAATTTATTGGGGGGTGGGTGTGTGTGTGTGTTGTTGTTGTTGTTGTTGTTGTTGTTGTTGTTGTTGTGATGATGATTTTAAGAGGGGGTGTCACCCATTTTGTTCTGGAGAGGGAGGGGGGTCACCAATTTTGTACACATGTACTGGGGGTCACCAATTTTGTACACAAAAATAAGAAAAACATATTATAAATTACGGGAAGGGAGTGGGGGTGCGGGTCATTGATTTGTGCATGACATGCAAGTGGGGGTCACATATTTTGTACATATTATTTATTTATTTATTTATTTATTTATTTTTTTATTTTTTTATTTACTTATTTACTTATTTATTTTTTGGGGGGGTGGGGGGCTCATTCACATTGTACATGCCTTTCCATGAAAATCATCATCATCACGCACGCACGAACGCACACACACAACAAACACACACCATAAACTAGTAACGGTCCCTAAGCTGTGAAGAGGTGAATCCCTTGGCCATGACAGAAGCCTGTGATTGTTGGTCTGAAACCTTGTTGGCCAGGAATATGTTTTTAGGCTGTCGTGGATTTCACCAAAGTGGTAAACAGAGTCCTGCACAGCTTTGAGCTTTTCTCTTACATCAAGGTTACATGACGTGATATTACTGAAATACTGTTGAAAACGGCATGAAACCCAGCTCACTCATGATAAAACAGCAAGATGGAGGGTACTAGAGGTGGCTTCACAGGTCTGTTTGATGTGATGTTGATGTTTATCAGTGGGAGAAGGTACTTAGTCCATGTTTGATATGATTTCAGTCCAAGAACCAGGCGATAGCCATCCACAGCTTTGACCTTGACTCTGATGGAGTCCCAGAACTCATCACTGGCTGGAGCAATGGCAAGGTCAGAACTAGAGAAGTGTTGTCACCTTAACCTGGTTAGCAAAGAGAGACTCATTCAGTTAAAAACTGTCACACTAAGCATTTCCCTTACTTCTTCTTCTGATTCTTCTGACCTGTTTCCAACTTCCAAAAACACCTCATTTGAATACATCCCAGCAAGTGCTTGGGCCACATGCACCTTGTCTAATTGGCCTGCTTTGTCAATCATTTTCTTTCAGTCACTTTTGTGTGACATTTAGAGAAAAATCTCTCTCTGCTGCAATTGCCATGACTGTTGTAAAGAATGTAATTGCTGCAAGGACCTCTCTACAGCTGATTGCAGCACTTATTTATATGCAAATGTGAAGGGCAGTTGTAGTAACCACCAAGACAGTGACCCCTGCTATTTGGCATTTCCATGACCTCAAGGTCATTCACTCATATCACGAAGCCCATGGTTCAGTTTCTTCTCCAGTGAGGGTACATAGACTATTTCAGTCAAGCTCATTCACTTCAAAAGAGACAGATTGACAAAGCAGGCTAGGTAGACAATGTTATGTGACCAAAGCACTTGCTGTGATGCCGGAAGAACAATGGTTACCATGGTGACAGCTGGAATGCGTTTGGGTGAGGTGTTTCTTTGAAGCAGAAACAGGTCAGAAAGAGGATCCACTCAGGGATCGAAAAGAGGAGAAATGCATAGTGTGATACAGAAGGGTTCATAAGGGACTGTTCATAATTTATGGTGGGGGGTGTGGGTGATGATGATTTTAAGGGGGGGTCACCCATTTTGTTCTGGGGAGCTATGGGGGTCAGCAAGTTTGTACACACGTACTAGGGGGTCAGCAATTTTGTACATAAAAATATGTTTAAAATTATGCTTAGAAATTATGGGAAAGGGAGGGGGGGGTCATTGATTTTGTACATGACATGCAGGGGGGGGTGTCACTTATTTGTACATAAATTTTAGGGGGGCGTCATTCACATTGTACATGCTTCTCCACCCCCAATAGCCATAAATTATGAACGGTCCCTAAATATCAAAATTGGACAATTTTCAATGATCTTTCTGTCAGGTTGATGCCCGGAGTGATAGGACAGGGGAGGTAATCTTCAAGGACAACTTCAGCTCAGCAGTGGCTGGCATTGTGCAGGGGGATTACAAGATGGACACAATGGCCAACTCAGAGCAGCTCGTCTGTGTGTCTGCAGATGGACAAGGTAGCAACTCTCTCACTGTACATGAAAGTTGCGTGTTAGTCTCAGTCATCATTTGTATCTTGAGATTAGCATTACTTCTGAAGTGAGTGAGTGTGTTAGGTTGAATGAGATGCAAGTGAGATGTTTACCACATATGTTTGTACTAGGTAGCAGAATCTGGATGTGATGTAGATATACATGATGATGTGTTTTCTCAGTGCGGGGGTACAATCCAGCTCCGGAGGACATGGGGGGCAACTTGATGGACACAAATATTGAGCAGGACACAATCCGAGAGCTGAGTCAGAGGAAACAGGTGATGATTATATCATGACTTCTATATTCAATTACAAATTAGTACAGATTTCTCATGATATAAATCTTGAGGATATCAATAATAAACAGAAGCCTAGCTCACATTGATTACTTTTTTACACAATAATGTCTCATTCAAACAATATGGGAGCAAGGTTTTTATGCACATGCTCTTTTAACATTATAAATTCTTAGTCCTCCTGACACTGTCCAGGAAGGGGGAGCTCTTGTAGTAGTGATCAAGGCAGCACTACCGACGTTTTATCTTTTTGGCTTTGAAGTTTCCATTCTTCCCTAGTTTGATGACACAATTAGATTTAATCTCTTTAAAAGTGCAAAACATGTTATTTCAAGAATGGGAAATTATCTTCTCACAGAATTTGTTGTTGGAGCTTCGGAATTATGACGAGAACATGAAGACTGCTGCTCAGGGTGTGACTGCCGCCTCTGCCGCTGCAAGTGCCACCTCAATAGCTAAAGTGGGCAAAGTTGGTGCCAAGATTGGGGAGTACGAGAGCTCTCAGATGGGAGTCATTCCGGTAGGACTTTACTTCATTTCATTGATGACACTTAGTACTTACCACAGCTGCTTCTTAAACAGGATGCTGCAAAAAGCTGGAATTCATTCATTCTTAAAGAGGACATACTTTTTCGTATTTCCCATGGCAATACTTTACAATACATTGTAACAAAGGTCCTAAGGTGTACAGTGTGACCTAGCTTTTGATGACAATGGGAGTGTGTGTAGAAACTTTATTTCTTGTATTTGTCCACAGGCCAACACCCAGCTGCAGACAACACTGGCAGTGTTCACAGGAGAGGAGGGCAAACATGTGAGCAGCAACTGTAGCGAATTATTACCTTGTATTAAGTCAATCTGTAAATCATTAAACGTCAAGTCTTTAAAATCACAATTGTTGGTAAAGCCAAGCAAAGTCTTACCTCCTGTATTGTTCATTTCAAGATGGTTTCCATACAGTGAGATGAGGGTGTTTTGTTGGCCGTCCCTACTAAGGGAGAAAATTCACTCTGTAAATAGTTCTCAAGTCATGCTTGATTTCAGTCCTTGTAATGATTCTATATGTATGTGTTTGTCCATCTATAATTTCAGCCTCATGTTGAGTTGATCATCAGCACAACTAATGGTAAGTTGGACCGACTCAGATTGATAGTTTCTGTAGTTTAAGGACAGTAACTACCTTCTGTGTGTTGTGTTCCAGACTGTTCAGGTCAAGCTGTCTTAACTTGTGAAACCTTTTCAAAAGTTTTATCTCATTTTCTTCTGTACCCTTGGCAGGAACATCCACCACGTTAGTCTGTGATGTGTCACTGTTTGATGGCCGTCTGTCTGTTCATAGATACAATCATCAAAGCAGTGCTCATATTTGCTGAGGGAATCTTTGAAGGAGAAAGCCATGTTGTGTAAGTACAGAAGCTTAGAAATGGTGGAATAAAAACTCTGATTTATGAGAATAACTCAAGTGCCACATGAAATTATGAGCTGTCAGACAAAGAAAACTAAAGTTGTTCTGACTCTGCATAGATACATGTTATTTTTCCTTATCCTGACTCATGCTTATTGCTTGTCTCCCTTTTCTTCCGAATGCTAGTGGAACACTTGAATCCCCTTTTGAAGCTCCCTTCAAAAAAGCGGACGTAAAATCACTTACCAGGAGTCATCTCCCTTCCCCAGGTTTTGGCGGGAAACGGCGCCACCTGTCACCATGCTCCTCACTCTCTCCTGATTCGCCCGAGTGGGCGGTGGTGAGAGCACCTGGTCCCCTATACGGCTTTATATCCTTTTATTATTTAGGCCTTTCTTCTAAATTAGCTGTATAAGGCTTCAGTTAACATTTACCTACAATATCGTTTGAAATTATTTCTCAATTTTCTCTGTTTTATCACGTTTTTACGTGCTTGTTCAGATTGTTTACAATTGATGAAATCTTGTTCTTGTTGTAGGTATAGATTGTCTGCTGTTGATCCACATAACCTATGTCCTAATTGAAGCCCGCATGTTTATCTGACTTTCGTTGTCAGTTGTGTTTTCACCTGTCTGATATTGCATTTTATAAATATTCATTTTATCTGTCTAGACGTGCAAATGACAGGTCCAGACGAGATTTACACGACATGTCTAAACCGGCTAAGCTTGCAGAGGACTGGCAGTTGGTGTCTGCGCAGATTCACCATCCCAGTGGTCTACCAGGGTCGTCAACGGAGGATGTTGTTGCCGTAGACAACTCTGGCTCGAGGAAGAGGTCATCTACATCTGATAATTCCTCATCGCAGTCCAAGAAGACTAGGGCATCATCTTCCCAGAGGAAGAAGTCAGCTGCAGCTAAGACTTCGTCGAAGTCTCCACATGGGGCAATGCAGAAAACGAGGTCTTTTCAGCTGAGATCGTCCCTCTGGATGAAGTAGATGTCTACGATGAGCCGCCCATCCTCTTCCCTGAGATCACGACTAAGAAGAAGACGAAGGCATCTTCTACCGTGACCACGCAGGACAACCTATCAACGCAGAAGTTCGGCTCCAGAGAGGTTCAACGCCCTTTGGAAGAAGCCTCATTCGTCTCAGATGCGTCGTCACTGCAACAGACAACGCAGACCTTCATCCCGGGCACCTTTATGCAGCAATTTACCCAACAGATGTTGGATCTGATGGAACAAGGTTCGCACGCGAGAGAGCTGCGACGAAGACGACGTCTGCGACGAACCCGAGTGAAGGACAACTGAGCTGCACACCACGTCCGTTGGGAACCAACAACCTGCGAAGCTTACATGAAGATTCCAGCTTGACTACAACGTCAGCACGAAGATCTGGCGGTCATACCAATGAGAACCTACATCAACTACGTTCGGCGAACGGACAAGACGTTCGCCGAACTCAAGCAGATCATCATCTTCAGGTGCGGACATTCGTCACGACCCTGCACGCAACGGTTCGTTACCAAGGAAAAGAGAATCGACACTCGTATGAAGGCACAGAGATTCGTCACAAGACTCCAACCCTCGACAGAGCCGTTCACCTACACGCAGGTTCGTGCGAAGGATGTCACGAACACATTCACGAACGTATGGTTCACCACGAAGGTCACCACGCAGGTCTCCATACAGATCAGCACGCAGGTCGCCACTTAGATCTTCATACAGATCACCTTACAGATCTCCACGTTCTGACAACACTAGAAGACATCAATCCTCAGAGCAGGAAGATGACGGCGGAATTATATTTTCCGACTCGGAAATCAAGTCATGGATGGCCAACAGTTTGGAACTCGCATCACCCTCTAAGGAGACCAATGAAGCACTATCGTACTTGATGTTGAATGATGATATAGACACACTCACTATTCCACCTATCGACCCTGTCTCAGACGTTCCAGACAACCTCAGCACAGCCTTGAAGAAGGCAACTAAATACCAGACTCAGAGTATCCCGTTGTTCAACGCAAAGAAGTTTCTCTACACCATATGGAACCTTTCATGAAGGCCCCAGAGATAGACGAGAATAATAAAATCATCAACGACGCTCGGATGAAATCGTACAAGATAGAAGCTAGAAAGCTGGCACAGTTAGACACAGTAACCAGACGAACCTTCTTCGGCCTAGCCAGGTCAAGAGCTATCAACGAGACCCTCATCTCGAAGTTTAGGAACTCAACTTCAGAGGAAGATCGAATGGTTTGTTCAGCTCTACTTACACAGAAAAAAGGATCATCAGTTCATGTCTGAACACCTAGCATCCATTTCTGCAGGCTTAACGCTATCAAGAAGGCAAGGACTATTATCTTCCTGTACTTGGAGCGAGAAGTTTACCAAGACACTCTACAGAGCCCCATGGTCAGCACCATCCATCTTCGCAGGAGAAATTGATGAAGTCGCCAAAGAAGTCTCTAAAGATTTCACAGAGGTGATGATGATCAAGTCTATCGATACACTGGCTAGTGTTATACGTCAGACCTCCCAACGTTATTCCTGCAAATCAAAGTTTGCAGGCATCCAGAGAGCAAGGGAAAAGAAATTATGCAATGCTAAAGGGAATAAGGATTCTTTTCGTCGCCCATCCGGAGGTCCAAGAGGTAACTACGGAAGAGGTTGGCCCTTTAGAGGTGCCAAAAGTTCCAGACGATGAAGAACGGGTTCAGTACAACCTTCACAAGTGATTGGGGAATTGGGGAATTCTTCAAGACGACTTCGTATCTCAGATTCTACGCAAAGGTTACAGGATACAGCTACAAGCAGTTCCACCAGTAACAATCAACCCACTGGTTCACAACTACGCTGCAGACCAGAAGGGAAATCTACTAGAAGCCATCACATCTCTACTAGAGAAGGAGGCAATCGAAGAGATAAAACAGGACTGCGTCACACCAGGTTTTTACTCCCCAATTTTTCTGGTACCAAAGAAAAACTCCAAAGAAAAGTTCCGACTCATTTACAACATGAGGAAATTCAACAAAGATTATCTGTTAACACCCACAAAGTTCAAGATGATACATCTACAGTGCACTCTGTCTAATTCGGACCAGCTTGGGACCGACTAAAAAGTCTGAATTATACAGTAGTCCGAAGTACACAAATTTTAATGGAGTTATCTCCCTATTATCCGCAGAATTAAAATTATAAACTATTTTTCGCAATGTTATTGAAAACAACGATTCTCGGACACCTGCTTCGGCAGCGGGTCCACAATAACATTGTCAAAGAGCAAAGTAACGATGTTTCGAGGAAATCATGAAATAAATTGAATAAACTAATGAATGAAATCAACAACAACATTCATAAAAGTTGTCAAACGTACACATAAAATTACTATTTCCATCTTTTTGTGCGATCATGTAATGTAAGTCATGTCACTGACAAGTGAAATCTCGGCGTGCCGCCTCAACCTTCACGCTCGGACACGATGTTCAATGCGAAAATATATACATGAAGCAATTTTGTCACAGCTCATAGCCTAGCACGATAAGTCGAATACGTTCCATAATTTACGTATAGGTAGCAATTTCTTACTTAATATGTTCAGAATAGCATTATTTTACCCAAAACTTTTGTCTAAATCTAAAAGTTTTCGTTTACGAGGACGGTATCCATTGCCGTAATATGATTGGCTGCCTTAGGTCATGTGTCTGATTTTGACCAATCACGACCCTTATAGCAGAGTGTGGCGAAAAAGCGTCATTAGAAACCAATCTTTATCCAATAAAATCGCTTCTTACTACTGATTGATATCACACTGTGTCTGATGGCATCTTAAATGCATAGTGACATTGACACTGAGTTGACATGATCGGCTCAATTATAGTTTACAATTGGTGTTAGTCGCATCAAAGGTAAATAGGCGTTCACCGCTAGACCACGCGGTCTTGGCCAAGCGGACTTCCTGCTAAGTAAATAAGACAAACTACACAAACCAATCAACGGAATGTTTATTCAAGGTTTATTGGCGAAGCGGACTTCCCGCTCAGTCCGAATTATATAGCAATGTTTTTACATGTAACTACCTTATCGGGCCGACACTTTGGTCCGAAATCCGAAATAATGAGAGTCCGAGATACAGAACTTTTTTTATTATGACAACAAAGAAGGATTACGTCGGGACCGTGAGTTCATTCCTGTTTATACAGCAATCCGAGAAAGACAGAGTCCGAGTTTGACAGAGTGCACTGTACCTCAACTACGACATCTCATACGTCCGCTAGACTACCTCGCCAGCATAGATTTACAGGATGCATACTTACACATCCCGATCCATCCGGAGTCAAGGAAATATCTCCGATTCCTGTTCAACAGACGTCACTTCCAATGGAAGGTCCTGCCATTTGGAATATCGTCGGCCCCCTGGTTGTTTACTCGAGTGACAAAGCCCATCAATATATATCTACATCGTCGAGGTCTACACGCAGTGCGTTCTACCTAGACGACGGGATTCAAGCTCAGCAAGATCCCAGTCAACTCAGACTGCAATTGAACTTCACCATCAGACTTCTCACTCAACTAGGATGGCTAGTGAATCTCCTCAAGTCGGAACTAGAGCCTACTCAGGACTTACAATTCCTAGGAATACGGCTTATAACAACGAAGAACCGCATTCTCGTTCCAGTGGATTGTTGGATCAAGATACAACAAATGATCTCTCAAGTTCTACTCTCTCCGTTACCACTACGAGAATGGCAGAGCCTATTAGGTCTCCTCACGTCAGCTCAAGACATGACGCACAGAGGAAGACTACAACTGCGCCCACTATAGATATTTGTGAACACTCATTTACACAGTCTGGATCCCTTCGGAATACCAGACAGACTAAAACCATATCTACTATGGTGGACTCAGAAGTCGAATGTTTGCGGCGGAAACTACTTAATAGAGCCGGAGTGCAACATCCACCTCTATGTAGATGCATCACTGCAAGGATGGGGAGCACACCTCGACAACGAAGTGGCAGCCGGGAAATGGTCGAAACAAGAAATGAATCTGCATATCAACATGCTCGAGATGAAAGCAGTAGTAAATGCCCTACTACATTGGTCCAACATACTAAGAAACGCAAAATTGATGATCCATACGGACAACTCAACAGTGGCGTTCTACATAAACAAACAAGGATCAACAAGATCTTGGAATCTTCTAGACCTCAGCTTTCAACTCTTCAACATAATAGACAAACTAAACATCTATGTAAAAGCATGTCACATTCCCGGGAGCCAAGAATGTAATAGCAGATGCGCTATCTCGAACACATCAACCATCCCCAACAGAATGGATGTTACATCCACAAGCATTCAGATGCATCATACAGACGATAGGATCTCCACTCATAGATCTATTCGCCACAAGATTCAATAATCAACTGGCAACATTCGTCTCTCCAATTCCCGATCCACAAGCATGGGCGACAGACGCTTTAAGCATCCCATGGGAAGGACTGAACGCATATGCGTTCCCTCCTCCAGCGCTAATACCACAAGTATTACAGAAAATCAGGCAGACGAGGAACCTGCAACTGATTTTTGTCGCGCCCTACTGGCCGGCAAGAACGTGGCTTCTTGTTCTCTTACAAGAACTCGGGAAAACCAAAAATACAACTTCCAGTTTGGTCGAACCTACTAATTCATCCTCACACCAAGCAAGTTCACAAGTATCCCAGGTCATTCCACCTACACGCATGGAACATATCACGACTTGCTTGTCGAAAAGAGGATACTCCGCCAGAGCAGCGAAAGCAGTTACACTAGCATTACGCAGATCTACTCGTAACTTGTATGACGACAAGTGGCAAAGTTTTGAGAAATATGCATCGAGGAAAGGTTTCACAGCAATGAAAGCAACACATCCTCAAGTGGCGGAATATCTTTGTCATCTCAGACAAATAAAGAGATTAAAAGGTTCTACACTATCTACATACCTAGCGGCTCTCAGCTCAGTTATCACCATGAAGACAGGTGTTAAACTGACGAAAGTGCCAGAGTTACTGGCCTTGCTACGCTCTTTTAAACTGGAAGACCAACAAAAGAAATTTAAAGCGCCGGCTTGGGATCTCAACGTAGTGTTACAGCATCTCACCAGTGATGCGTACAAACCACTAGAAAGAACTTCTTACGAATTTCTTACACAGAAAACGCTATTTCTGGTCGCCTTGGCAACAGTGGCGCGGATGTCAGAAATACATGCTCTGGACTTCGAACGAATACGTTTTGACACACATCACAACATAGTTCATCTAGGATTGACATGGGATTTCATAGCTAAGAATCAACTGCCAGGTCAACCAGACAGACAATTCCACATCCAAGCATTATCTATAATCCTTGGACCACAGGATATACAAGACTTATCCTTATGTCCAGTCAGAGCACTGAAAATCTATCTACAAAAGTCTAAAACCAGGAGACGAAAATTCAAACGCCTTTTCATCCCCATATCGTCGGAGAGATCTCACGTGCTACGATATCAGTTTGGATGAGAGCAATCATACTACGAGCTTACAAGGCAGCAGGACTTGAGCCTCCACGAGCCTCCAATCCGCATGAAGTTAAAGCATTGGCATCTACACTCGCTCTACATGGAAGCTGCTCAATATCCACGATCATGGAAGGATGTTTTTGGAAATCGGAGACAGTATTTGCTAACCACTACCTCAGAGATATCGCTACCAAGGACGTCTCCGGTATTCACCAGTTTGGGCCTCTGGTTGTAGCACAACAACTGACAATCCCGCAAAGGCGCTGAGATGTATCTCGCCCTTTTATCGCATGTCATGCAAAGCTCATACTCCAAGGAATAGAGCTTATAGTCCATGTACACGTCTAGAACAGACTAGCATGATTATAAGACCCTGTACTTATAAGGAATTACTGGTACACGGATAGGGTCACTGCTCCACTTGATACGAACATGAAGAGTTGGAGTTATTGAAATCCACATGTACGGTTATAGAAGACAGTTTGATAAATTGTGGTCCCCCCAAATTTACCAGATAAAGTTCGACATATGGATCAACAGCAACAGCAGTGTCATCAGAAGTTCCCATGGGGTGTAAATAGGACGTAAATTCATCACTAAGGAATCCAGAAGTGGCTTAAGCCACCACCAGATCCGTCGGATTCTACAAGCAATAAGCATGAGTCAGGATAAGGAAAAATATGTAATTTTCTGAATAAAATTGATATTTTATACTTATCCTGACTCATGAGGTGAGCCCTCCCAAACTCCCCTCAAGGCACTCTGGATTTCCCAGTAAATCAGTGTGTTGGGCTATAAAATACGGAGAGAGTGAAGAGCATGGGAGACAGGTGACGCCGTTTCCCGCCAAAACCTGGGGAAGGGAGATGACTCCTGGTAAGGGGATTCAAGTGTTCCACTAGCATTCAGAAGAAAAGGGAGACAAGCAATAAGCATGAGTCAGGATAAGTATAAAATATCAAATTTATTCAGAAAATTACATTATGTAGCACATGTATAATGGCCATGTACATAGGGACGTGTCTTAATATAAGGGCTTCTCTCATAAACATTTATACATTCCATCTTTTACAAGACAAAAATGTACAATGTACTCAGTGTAAGATATCTCCAGGAAAACTAAAGTATATATTTGTACATTAAGGCAGTGAAATAGTTGCAGAGTAATAAACAGTGGAACTGATCTTTAGCCATTCCCGGCCTACACAATTTAACAAATTGATTACAACAAGCAGCACCACATGTTCTTTCAACATTTATCATTAACAGGAACACCCCAAATTATGATTGTACAGAGCTACAGATAACTTGTTGGGTCATTGAGTTATGTACTCGCTTGTGTTCATCTCAATTGGGTATCCTAATTTTCCTTTGAGTAACCTAATAAATTATACCCACCTCACTCAAACTCAATTGGGCATTTTGCCATTTTCCATTATTTGCGAAAACAGAATAAAGTTTAAATGTTGGTTTACGTGCGTGTTATTTATATTTGATCTGTAATATGAGAAAAGATAAGAAAGACTGCAAGTTGCCAAGTTCATGTGCTGAAATAGAACCTCTAAATATACCTCTGAGTCAGTTATTCTATCTTTCTTCAGTAACCTCCATCTGTAGCGCGCATGGGTCTGCTTACTTCAAATTCTAGTAGGTTTGCTGAGTACGCAAGCTAGGATTTGACATCTTTGTGTGTACGCATGTTAGGTCATATTTATTGAGTATTTACAAAAATTCAAGCGTACTTGTACGCAATAGACTTGAAAGGAATTGAGTTTTCACATAAATGTTTGCGTAATTTACGCAGATACGCAGCTTATCTGTACCTCTGATTGTACATAAATGATAATAAAGTGGCACGAAACAGTTCAGTCCACAATGTTGTTAGAGTATGTCTAGCTAAAATGTTGCACGCATTCACAGTCCACACTGTTGTTGAAGTATATCTCACTAAGATGTTGCATGCAGGAGTTGCACAAGTAATTAATGTGACGGGAGAGTGAATGCAGATTCTGTTTCCAGTCATCCAAGCACCAACTGTCTGTCAGGGAATCTTAAAGTCCCCATCGTTCCCCCCAAAAGACGTCCCAGTAGATCTACACATCAAGGCACTTGTCGGCTACAAGATCAGGTACTGGTCAGGTTTATATGTGTTCCATTTAATATAAACCAATGTAATATATTTCTTATGAAATATGAACACAGTTTCAGTGAATATGTATAAGAATATAGACATGCTACTGCACCCACATTACCATATGGTTCACACATGACATAGGTAATAATACAGTGGTGGATGGGAGTGTCAGTATAAGTGTAGTATTGGTGTTAACATCCTATTCATGTTCATAATTAGTAAATTAGTATTCCTTCATTTTTCAGCTCCCAGTTCCATGTGTTTGAGTTGAGTCGTCAGCTGCCACGGTTTTCAATGTATGCATTCTGTGAAACATCAGTCCCAGAACCAAAAAGCTCTGTCACCCTACAAGTGAATGACAGAATACCTAGGGTAGGCTCATTGCAGACAAAATTATAGTGTTATAAGATTGTGTTTTAAATGATTTAAATGTAACTTAACTATTTCTTATCCTGAGACAACATATTACAGATTCCTACTTTACCTCGATCACATAACACAGCACCTATGACTTGCCTCTACCACATTCAGGATGCCCCCTGCCCTTGGTTATGAATCTGTTCTTGATGATGGCGGTGACGTGGTGCTGTGTGGTCCTGTGCATAGAGCTCAGGTCACAAATCAGTTGAAGTTAAGCAACGTTGGTCATGGGGAGTCCTTGGATAGGTGACAGTGTTTGGCAACTTGACACCTGAGAGTTTCTAGGTCTTCAGTCCTGTCCCATAACGAGGCACACATGTCATCTCACCTGGGTCAAGTGTAGTAGCATGGGATTTGGGGTTCTTCTGTAATGAAAATCACCAGGCTACTGGGTCTGAGCTGACGGCACATTTATTAGTCCAGGACGAATCCACCAATGTCCTCCTTATACATAAAACACTCAAACAATTGGTGAACAATGTAAACCGGAAAGATTTCTGCCCATAACCTCCGTATTTTTTTTAAATCATTCTATGCCTAAGAATATAGGCCTATGTTTTTTCTATAAAGCCTAAAGCTAACCCTTAACCCTAAATAAATAGAATACGGAACTCTTACCATCAAGTACATGCTGCAATGTTTACAACATACAATACAGATTAAACTCAATCAATACAAATCACCGCAGATAAATAATACCATGGATGTATAGGATACATCTATAATGACTTCCACACATGGTTATCTGATGGGATGACTGCTCATTATAGGTACACTATTACAGGAGATAAAATATACAACACCTACCAGGTGTGTGGACCTGGATTTACAAAATCCAGCAGCTACTCGTACTGTACAGTCCTGTAAGCATCTGTAGTAAATAAACATACATAATACCACAATATTATCTGTATATATGTCAATACACGGTAAGATTTCCTCTCGTTTCCCCATCCCATATATAATATACTGTCAACATACTTTTTTTCGCTTGGTGCAAATTTCGCAGAATTGACAGTTTAGACTACATCGCACGGTCAATTATTCGCGCAATCAGTACTTGCCGGAACTGCCAGCTGTCTCTTAGGCCGCCACTAATAGCAATGAAAACAACCAGAGTGGCTTAACCTGTCAGGTGGCGTGTATTGCTACCTACCCCCTACCCCCAAGACACCTGGACTTCCAGATCCAAATGATTGCAAAGATGACACTGAGGCCGAAGTCGTAATCGCGTAATTTCAAACAAGCCAGTTGTTGTGAATGTGATGATTGATGTGTTAATTGACTATCAAGGAAATGAACTTCTACCATATATGAAGCTTTTTGTGATTTCATTTCGTGATATGCAGGAATAAATATAAATAAAATCTTAATGAATAAATAACATACCCTTATTTTACCCCATTCCATGTGCGTAAAACTTACACGTTCATGGTCCGTATAACGTTAGTGTTGATTATATATATATTACATTTATAGAGCAAAAACTGTAATTAAAATTACGCAAGGCTAGTATATATTTAGTTGGGTTAAATAATAGTATTCTGTATTATATTTTACTGATGACTGCTTCGGAATTCGTCCCGCTATATTATTGTGCATGTTTGAACTTGATCATCGGGATACGTGTGCACAGCTGATTGCTATTTCCGGCTCAAATACACACGGTAATCTTAATCCCTGCAGATAATACAATAAATGAATGAAAGGTTTATTTGCTGTGTATAAATTTTCGCGGTAAAATTTTTTGCGTGAAAAGAGCGAAAATAAAACCTGCACGATATATAATACATTTACAGTATATAAATTAATATATACTAAAATTATCACCAAAACCTAACACAACAATTCTAAAGAACTCACAAAATTATCTAAAAGCCCAAAAATTAATAACAATATATATAGGGTCGAACATGTTGCGTTACCTCTGTTAATCTGCAGAACATAAATATGGGGGAATGGAAGGAACTCTTTCCGGCCTCCACCATATAGCTGGAATATTGCTGGGTGCAGCGTAAAACTAAATTCACTCACTATACCTATTTCATGTCATGCACTCACATACACACATACATATCTACATACACGTACATACCACCGTGATGTGTTTCACACTCCACAACATGCATGGGTTTATGTAAATACAAAAGTTACATTAAATGTGTTTGGGATAATTATCAAACTGGTTTAAGAGGAACCCGTCATGATATCGATTCCCTACATTAGTTATATAAGTTGATTATATCATTTTTACTTGACCAGAAAATGGTAGGGATAAAACACCTATATACTTCTATATAAGGATATCAAACAGATAAACTGGTTAACACATTAAAACACAATATATGACAGTACAGATGGAGGACTAACCTCGGAAATACACAGAGGTGAGCTGATGTCCAGATACCTTAAAACCTTTCACTGTAGTGTGAGGCTGCTTACTGTTCAAGTGCTTCAGAGTGACTAAATTAGCAGGTCCACCACTGAGTTTAAACTGTGTGATAATTACATAAGCAAGACAAAAGACTGAGACAGGTCAGGGCTTTGGCTATTGTAAGGTTGGTGTTCATGCATTGATTGATATGCTTTGCTGGAGCATGCTTCAGTTGTACTGTGATATAGGGCAACCACATCTAAGTATGCTAAAATAACCATATTTAAAGGTGTATTATGTACATTAAAAACAGGTACATCTGCTACTATCAGGACCAACTAAGATAAAATTTAAGATTATTACACAAAAATAAATCACTGCCACACAAGTGAGTTTGTTCATAATTGCCTCTGTTCACCCAGCAGAAAATGGGTACCCGGTGCAATAAGTCATATGACTATTGACCATCTAGCACCTCACAGGCAGCTTGGGTTACCAGGGGTAATAATGTCCCTCATGTTGTATGCACTTGGAGCATGTCCCCTCTTCGAGGAGTTCAACACTATATAAATGGACTTATTATTATGTTTATTATTGTTATGGCACAAGATGATCCACATCACTGGGAATGATAGCCTGTAGCATGAGTCGGAAGCAGACCCTGTGTAGTTACAACTCATGCTGTTCTTCAACTAATGTTGTTCATTGTGTGCAATCATTAACATATGAGGGAACAGCACACCAACAATCTAAATGTTCAAGTAGTAAGCTAGTTAGTTATTTCAGCTGCACTTATTTTTTAAGTAGATCATTAATGTGACTTTGCCACCATGCATGGTCATGAATGTGCGAGGTATTGCATTACGTATGTGAGTGAGAACACAGAAAGGAGTTTCGAGGATCCTTATACTGCACTTTTACAATGGTTTTGCTCTGATAGCTGTGTACATCACTGTCAACAGGATTCAGTTCCTCACACCAAAATGTCTTTCATGTACCTTTCATATCTAACATTGAACTATATCTGCCTGCAGTTGCTTATGTGGATCAACCAGAACTTCCTCCTGCATGAAGACTTGACATGTGATGGCGATCTCGAAGTTGCCTTCATGTGTCTACGTGGTGGAGGACCACTCTTCTTAAGGATGAATCAGACAGGACAGGTTAGTGACCTACATGAGACAGTGGACTAGTCTTGATCAGAAAGAATCAGACAGGACAGGTGAGTGACCTACATGAGACAGTGGACTAGTCTTGATCAGAAAGAATCAGACAGGACAGGTGAGTGACCTACATGAGACAGTGGACTAGTCTTGATCAGAATGAATCAGACAGGACAGGTGAGTGACCTACATGAGACAGTGGACTAGTCTTGATCAGAATGAATCAGACAGGACAGGTGAGTGACCTACATGAGACAGTGGACTAGTCTTGATCAGAATGAATCAGACAGGACAGGTGAGTGACCTACATGAGACAGTGGACTAGTCTTGATCAGAAAGAATCAGACAGGACAGGTGAGTGACCTACATGAGACAGTGGACTAGTCTTGATCAGAATGAATCAGACAGGACAGGTGAGTGACCTACATGAGACAGTGGACTAGTCTTGATCAGAATGAATCAGACAGGACAGGTGAGTGACCTACATGAGACAGAGAGGACTAGTCTTGATCAGAATGAATCAGACAGGACAGGTTAGTGACCTACATGAGACAGTGGACTAGTCTTGATCAGAAAGAATCAGACAGGACAGGTGAGTGACCTACATGAGACAGTGGACTAGTCTTGATCAGAAAGAATCAGACAGGACAGGTGAGTGACCTACATGAGACAGTGGACTAGTCTTGATCAGAATGAATCAGACAGGACAGGTGAGTGACCTACATGAGACAGAGGACCGCTCTTCTTAAGGATGAATCAGACAGGACAGGTGAGTGACCTACATGAGACAGTGGACTAGTCTTGATCAGAATGAATCAGACAGGACAGGTGAGTGACCTACATGAGACAGTGGACTAGTCTTGATCAGAATGAATCAGACAGGACAGGTGAGTGACCTACATGAGACAGTGGACTAGTCTTGATCAGAATGAATCAGACAGGACAGGTGAGTGACCTACATGAGACAGAGGACTAGTCTTGATCAGAATGAATCAGACAGGACAGGTGAGTGACCTACATGAGACAGTGGACTAGTCTTGATCAGAATGAATCAGACAGGACAGGTGAGTGACCTACATGAGACAGAGGACTAGTCTTGATAAGGATGAATCAGACAGGACAGGTGAGTGACCTACATGAGACAGTGGACTAGTCTTGATCAGAAAGAATCAGACAGGACAGGTGAGTGACCTACATGAGACAGAGGACTAGTCTTGACTAGAATGAATCAGACAGGACAGGTGAGTGACCTCACATGAGACAGTGGACTAGTCTTGATCAGAATGAATCAGACAGGACAGGTGAGAGTGACCTACATGAGACAGAGGACTAGTCTTGACTAGAATGAATCAGACAGGACAGGTGAGTGACCTACATGAGACAGAGAGGACTAGTCTTGACTAGAATGAATCAGACAGGACAGGTGAGTGACCTCATGCAGAGAGACCTTCATGAGACAGAGGACTAGTCTTGATCAGAATGAATCAGACAGGACAGGTGAGTGACCTTCATGAGACAGTGGACTAGTCTTGACTAGAATGAATCAGACAGGACAGGTGAGTGACCTACATGAGACAGAGGACTAGTCTTGACTAGAATGAATCAGACAGGACAGGTGAGTGACCTACATGAGACAGAGGACTAGTCTTGACTAGAATGAATCAGACAGGACAGGTGAGTGACCTACATGAGACAGTGGACTAGTCTTGACTAGAATGAATCAGACAGGACAGGTGAGTGACCTTCATGAGACAGAGGACTAGTCTTGACTAGAATGAATCAGACAGGACAGGTGAGTGACCTTCATGAGACAGTGGACTAGTCTTGACTAGAATGAATCAGACAGGACAGGTGAGTGACCTTCATGAGACAGAGGACTAGTCTTGATCAGAAAGAATCACACAGAACAGAAGACTCACAAATATGAACATTTGTTGTCCTTTTCCATTTACCAAAGTTAAATAAATTGTTTACGCATCACTGCCAACAAAAGTAGATGAAACAGACATAAAATGTTCACAAGAGATCTTTCTTCAAAAGATTAGTTTCTGACAGCTGTGTTGTATCTCTGTATAGGCATGAGAGTTTTCATGTCAGATGCCAGTGAGTTTGTAACCCAGTTGGAAATGTTACTGTTGACTTCATTTAGAGTGAAATATGTAAGATGAAACCATTGATGAAGCTGAGATAGGTCTGAGACAAGTGATGGTGATGTTGCAGATAGTGATAAAGACAGACAACATGGACCTCGCTGGTGACATCATCCAGGCCCTGGCTGTCTTCCTCAACCTGGAGGACCTCATGTCCACAGCAGACTTCCCGGTTGAGATGGACAATCTGGAGCAGATCCTCAAGAAGGTACACACACTCATTCCCACTGATGTGTTTGTCCTTAAGCCTCTAAACGACATCACAGTTTACATAAAATCTGTAAAGTAAAGGTCAACCTTGCATCAACAGCATTATCCAGACTTCTGTTGGACAGCATGAGCCTAGGTTAGCAAATCAGTGTTTATTGGTTCACAGCTGAATTTATTTCAAATGATATTTTTCTGACACTGCATTTGAGCTTATTTAAAGTGGAGGTACCACAGTCAACAACGATTGTTGTTAATGATGTTTAGAAAGAACACAATTACTAGAATTAAGTAACAACCAAATTTGCTGTCATTCAGTCAGTTTCTTGTCTTCCAAGGTCAATGAGTACCACACAGTGAGACAGAAGCTGACAGCAGAGATGGCCGATCACTCTAACCTTATCAGGAGCATGGTGGTCAGGGCAGAAGATGCTCGCATTATGGGAGACATGTAAGACCTTTACATCTAACCTGTGTTGGATTTGTTAGATGCTGTTTATTGTGTCCTACACACACTGGGAATGGAAAAACTGATAAAATGCATGACCTGTTGGAAACAAGAACACATGTTTGCTAGACACTTATACAGAATAGCAGTAGGCATTAGCAGCCAGCAAATCTGCATGATAAATTATCTTTGTTGTGTTCCAATTAGTGTGTTTTTGAACTGCAATAGACTTACTGGCAAACCCTTGTGGCATTCCGTAGTGTGTTTGTGTTGTGTTCAGAGTGCAAAACAGCAGACATTTTTTGCAAAGCATTGGGTGTTTCTGTAGTGATCGGAGTGCAATACAGTAGACTTTGTGGTAAACCTTTGTATGTTTGTGTACCAGGAAGAGCATGAAGAAAGGCTATATGGAGCTGTTTGATCTGAACCGGGACTTGATTAGTGGCTACAAGATCCGCTGCAGCAACCACCAGGAACTGGTGTCCTGTCTGAAACAGGTCAACCAGATCATACAGAAGGCTGGGAGGCTGAGAGGTAAGAGGCTGCCTCATACAGACTTGCCATCCACCATGGAGGCAGGTCTAGGGGTGTCACTATTAAACAAAGTACCTGTGCATCACAAATGTTCCACATGATACAGTAAATAATTTCCCTATCGTGTATGGAATTATATTTTAAATTTGTATCAATTTTCATAGTAGTTTGGTATTTACACAGATTTGCAATTATCTACACCAGATTGTTCTAATGGCATATTGCAAAACATCTTATATGGATGAACTTAAGTTAAGCAGTCATTTGAGTTGGTTGATAGTGATGTGAAACATGGAGGACACAGAGAACTTCACACAGGCCAATGCAGTTGACTTGTAATATGTATTGTTTGTTGCCTGGGAATCGCAATATGTATCGTGACATAGACATGTGTATAGTCATGCTTTCAACAACTTGGAACAAATCACATATAGGTACGATATATATGTGTTATTGAGCATAATGTTCCCACATTAATGAACACCCTGTTCTTGTCTGATCTGGAACCATATGGAGAATAATATCCCCGGATCTGTAAACAACATGCAAAATATATATCATGTTGTTTCACATGTAAGGAAGCTTCTCTTAATATATGTTTATAACGTTTGGTACCTTTGAATAAAAGATTTCCCGTTTACTTCCAGTGGGCAAATACAAGACACAGATTGTTAATGCCTGTAGAGCAGCTATAAAAAACGACAACGTGAATGGACTGTATAAGATCATTCGGGCAGGAGCAGCATAACATCCATCACAGTGACCTCAGCAACATCGTCAGTGACAGCAGGAACACAGAGGTGTATCAGAATATACAGTAGGCAGGAATGTTGATATAACTGAGATTGCACTGTCAATATAGCAGTGTCTGTGGAGTGATCTATCAACAGCAGTGTCTACAGAGTAATCTTGTCAACAGCAGTGTCTTCAGAGTGATATATCAACAGCAGTGTCTTCAGAGTGATCTATCAACAGCAGTGTCTAGAGTGATCTATCAACAGCACTATCTATGATGCTCTGTTAACAGCAGTATATACATTGCTCTGTCAACTGCAGTCTGCAGAATATGCCGTCAACAGCAGCTTCAACTGTGATGACTACTTCATTGTCACAATCTGCTGATGAACGCAAGAATTATTTGTTAATTATGTTGTGGACTTTATAAAACGTCATCAGATAGTATTGAGAGTTAAGGGAAATACTTCCTCTTGATCAGCCAAGATTACTAATGAAGAATTGCAGATCAGTGTAAACACTTATAAATGTGGCATAAGGAAACCTCACGTCAGTTTCAAGGTGAACAAAACATAATTCACCTATGATAGTGTATAGGTATTTTTGTTTTGTTTTAAGTACACTATGTTGATCCTCATTATGCACTGACGTCATATCCAGTCAGATTCAAGATACCCTGGGTTATCTCCTCATCAGTGTTAGGTGTAGACATACATTCATTGTTCACTTACACAACCACTTAAAATTCTCATTTGTCATGCTCTGAATTGGCATTAGGCTGTCCTGTACACAAGAACTGTTTTCAGTCAGCTTTGGATTGCAAGGTTTTGTTTTGGTGATAAAAATAGTCAGAAGATGTTTGTAACATTTTCCCAGATTATTCCACAATATTTTCATCACCAAAACTATCAGCCATGTTTTATCAACATACCAGTTTAAGTTGATTGTTCACTGTCAGACACAGTTTTATACCAACAGGATATCGCTGACTTCTTTCTCAATATGTTTTCTACTTATGCTGCCATGCTGTTACTCATGAAATACAACTTTTTATTTATTTTTTTACAACAGGCAACAACATTTGTGTGAATACACAATGCCATATAGAAAGTGGTTTGGGATTACAGTAACATACATCCCAAATATAACAAATGTTACATTTGACCACTTCCTAAATGGCATTGTGTATTCATATCTTTCAGCCAGGGTAGCCATGCCATATAACAGGTGTCAGAGTGGTACACAAGGTATGTGATCTAGACTACCAGTTGCCAGACTTTCATTTTTGTGGAGGCCATGGTGGCTGAGTGAGATGGCTGACTTTGTGTGCTGGCGATTAGGTACCTGACTCTGAGAGTATTGTTTCGAATTCCAGATGGTACTGAATAGAACATTTGCAACACTTGTGTGATGTGTTCATTAATCAGCGGAAATAATTCCTATTTTTGATGGTTGAAATATTCATTTCACCTACCATCAATGGTACATGTCCAAGTTACGCCTCTTCTGCATGTATGTTGAGCAAGTGTTGATATACAAGGATATACTTATATATATGTATATACATGGCCACTGTGTTTTTTTAGTCTATATTTTGATATTGTATATACTGCACAGCAATGAATCCGTCCTCATGAAACTTGTGTTTTGATTAATAAATTCATTATCTCTACCCATGATGTCTCTACATGGATCTGGGGCCAAATGGCCATGTTGTCGGTGCATTCCTTTGGCACACCATTAACCAGTGATCACAAGTTCGAATCCAGCTTGCCCAGAATATGTTTCTACGTTTGTCAGCACTTATGTTCGGGGATTTCATGACAATGATGCCTAAAAGCTGCATCACCTCAGTGTTTCCTGATGCATTAAGCTGAGGTAACATCATATAGCTGACATACCATTAGAAGGAGGGTTGAATCCCACTCACTCACATGGATCTGAACCACAAGGGGATCCTAGTTAATGGTATAGATTCCCTGCCACCTGTGGTTGTGACTACACTGGTCAGGTGGACAGACTGGATAACTTTGTTGGAAGCAAATTACATGGATTTATTCTCATGATGTCAGTCACAGGATTGTTGTGTCCTGACTTGTCCACCAACTCTCCTACCACAAACACACAACACCCAATGGTTGTTTCCACGGCAGCTACACACATGGCATAGTTGTTCATAGTTGCACTTGTGAAATGTTTGTGGTCGGGTGACAAAACTGTACCAAATAAATAGATTTCTATGTATAAACGTGGGATAATGTCACTCTGTATGGGTAATAAGGTGTGTGTGTTTTAACCCCAAACTAAGTTGTGCATTGTGTAGTAAAAAGGTGAAGGCTGTTCGGTGACACAGTCCGACAGCTGGCTCAGTCCGTGACTTCCAGTTTACAGCATACATCTAACTACACATTTCATTGAAAAAACATTTCCATTAAAATGCAAGGTTTGCCTATAATTCGTCATGTTACAAATGTAAATGAAGCTGCTGACACCCATGTGTAGTGTAATAAAGTATGGCTTTACTATGACCTATTTGACGTCAGTTAATTGTAAAAGCTCAAAGAAATCTATTTTAATGCACTTCGTATATGGAAGGTTAAACCTATTTTTCATAAATACATATGATTTACGTGCACTGATTACGTTACAATGACATAGTAACATATTGGACAAAAGTTGAAGTCACATTAAACACCAGATATTATGATGGCCTTGTTTTCAACAGGAAATGTCTAAAGTGCCCAGGCTTATAAAGAAAGCAAATGGATGTTTTCCAAATCCGAGAAGGGTAATCCTAACTCTTATGAACACTTTGAGGTAGGGGCGGCGCTTCGCTTCCAAGGTAAACCAGATCAGTGCATGTTCCTGTTTCGACAACGAGAACCAGCCGAACAAGCCAGCCACTGATCTGTATAACATTTTGTTTAGTTGATACTAACTGTAAAATATAATATGTTCAGAGAAAACAAATCCCGTAAACCAAAAATGGGTTTCAAAACAGAACTATTGCCTATGAGAAGGTGTCTGATCTCAAATGCTAGATATTGATCCGCATAAAGGTGTTTGCCACCATTGTTAACGTGTGCCGAACGCTTATTTTCGGAAAGCATTGTAACTCGCAACAACCCGCGAAGATTCGGGCTAGAATCTGGTCTCTAGAGAAACCCATGCTTGTCATAACAGGCGACGGATGGGATCACGTAGTCAGGTTCGCTGACTTGAATGATGCTTGTCATCCAATACCAAATTGAATAGACCCATGGTGGTGTCAATCACTAGATTGTCTGGTCCAGACTCGATTGTTTACAGACCACCATCATGCAACTACAATATTGGTGAGTGTGGCGGGAAACAACGAGCAAACACAACACGCACCTCGAAAACCTGAAGCTGTGACACGCTGTGACTAAAGTCTGAAATATTGTAGGCTAGTAATCATGAATGCAAGTTTGCTTGTTATTTATCATTTACTCTCTTAACTAGCAGTAATCAATGTACGATTAATGACATGACATTAAATGGGCTTTCTGCATGCCGATCACGTTCTATATGTGCCTAGTCTGTTAATGCAGACCCGAGGTTTCACACTATCACGAATAATGTAATAGAGGAATCACACAATACAGCTTATGTTACACGGAGCAGAGAAATCAATAACGGTTATATTAACGGCGATAATATGCACTTAAACTGTTACGCTACACCGTTTATGTAGCTGCTGTGGAAGAGAGCAGTCAATGGCCTCCCTAGCACGCACAGTTACCATTACTGACGTGACAGCAGCACCAAGACAGCGCTTCTTTATCTGGGTTGATGTTGAACTGTCCCCCAGACCCTCGCAAACACCTACTTCTCGGGTACGTGTCCCAAGGAGCAGTGGGGAGGGCCTGTCCTAACTATTCCTTCTTTCAGTGCGTTAGGTAAACAGACGATTAATCTTTGCCAAATTTCATGTGAAGTGTTTGAAGTACCCACGAAGATCACTGGTATCCCATCCAGCTGATTCAGCGTTTACATGACACGTATTACACAGCAAACCCTCAGTGGAACAACATGCATATATGTCACGTACATGTTACAGGTAGTCTCCAGACACACGTACAAGTCACAGATAGTCTGCAGACACACATACATGTCACAGATAGTCTCCAGACACGTACATGTCAGAAACACAGTCTCCAGACACACGTACATGTTACAGGTAGTCTCCAGACACGTACATGTTACAGGTAGTCTCCAGACACACGTACATGTTACAGATAGTCTGCAGACACACGTGCAAGTCACACAGACTCCAGACACGTACATGTTACAGGTAGTCTCCAGACAGACACACGTACATGTTACAGGTAGTCTCCAGACACACGTACATGTTACAGGTAGTCTCCAGACACAGGTACAAGTCACAGATAGTCTGCAGACACACATACATGTCACACAGTCTCCAGACGCACGTACATGTTACAGGTATACTCCAGACACACGTACATGTTACAGGTATACTCCAGACACGTACATGTTACAGGTAGTCTCCAGACACACGTACAAGTCACAGGTAGTCTCCAGACACACGTACATGTTACAGGTATACTCCAGACACACGTACATGTTACAGGTAGTCTCCAGACACTTACATGTTACAGGTAGTCTCCAGACACACGTACATGTTACAGATAGACTGCAGACACGTGCAAGTCACACAGACTCCAGACACGTACATGTTACAGGTAGTCTCCAGACACACGTACATGTTACAGGTAGTCTGCAGACACACATACATGTCACACAGTCTCCAGACACGTACATGTTACAGGTAGTCTCCAGACACACGTACAAGTCACAGATAGTCTGCAGACACACGTACATGTCACAAACACAGTCTCCAGACACGTACATGTCACAAACACAGTCACCAGACACGTACATGTCACACAGTCTCCAGACACACGTACATGTCACAAACACAGTCTCCAGACACGTACGTGTCACATAGTCTCCAGACACACGTACATGTCACACAACCTCCAGACACACGTACATGTCGTACACATTCCAGACACACGTACATGTGACTCCAGACACACGTACATGTCACACAGTCTCCAGACACACGTCACATACATGTCACATTACATGTCTCCAGACACGTACATGTCACATGTCTCCAGACACACGTCATGTCACACAGTCTCCAGACACACGTACATGTACATGTCACACAGTCTCCAGACACGTCCAGACACGTACATGTCACAAACAGACACGTACATGTCGCACAGTCTCCAGACACACGTACTCCAGACACACGTACATGTCACATAGTCTCCAGACACGTACATGTCACACAGTCTCCACACAGTCTCCAGACACGTACATGTCACACAGTCTCCAGACACACGTACATGTCACACAGTCTCCAGACACACGTACATGTCACACAGTCTCCAGACACGTACATGTCACACAGTCTCCAGACACACGTACATGTCACACAGTCTCCAGACACACGTACATGTCACAGTCTCCAGACACACGTACACATAGTCTCCAGACACACGTACATGTCACACTCTCCAGACACACGTACATGTCACACAACCTCGAGACACACGTACATGTCGCACAGACTCCAGACACACGTACATGTCACACAACCTCCAGACACACGTACATGTCACAGTCTCCAGACACACGTACATGTCACACAGTCTCCAGACACACATACATGTCACACAGTCTCCAGACACGTACATGTCACAAACACAGTCACCAGACACACGTACATGTCACACAGTCTCCAGACACACGTACATGTCACACAGTCTCCAGACACACGTACATGTCACACAGTCTCCAGACACACGTACATGTCACATAGTCTCCAGACACACGTACATGTCGCACACTCGCCAGACACACATACATTTCACGCTCACCAGACACGTACATGTCGCACAACCTCCGGACACACGTACATGTCACACAACCTCCAGATACACGTACATGTCACACAGTCTCCAGACACACGTACATGTCACATAGTCTCCAGACACACGTACATTTCACACAACCTCCAGACACACGTACATGTCACATAGTCTCCAGACACGTACATGTCACACAGTCTCCAGACACACGTACATGTCACACAGTCTCCAGACACACGTACATGTCACACAGTCTCCAGACACACGTACATGTCACACAACCTCCAGACACACGTACATGTCACACAGTCTCGAGACACGTACATGTCACACAGTCTCCAGACACGTACATGTCACACAGTCTCCAGACACACGTACATGTCACATAGTCTCCAGACACACGTACATGTCACATAGTCTCCAGACACGTACATGTCACATGGTCTCCAGACACACGTACATGTCGCACAGTCTCCAGACACACGTACATGTCACACAACCTCCAGACACACGTACATGTCACACAGTCTCCATACACGTACATGTCACATAGTCTCCAGACACACGTACATGTCACACAGACTCCAGACACACGTACATGTCACACACTCTCCAGACACACATACATGTCACACAGACTTCAGACACACGAACATGTCACATAGTCTCCAGACACACGTGCATGTCACACAGACTCCAGACACACGCACATGTCACATAGTCTCCAGACACGTACATGTCACACAGTCTCCAGACTCGTACATGTCACATAGTCTCCAGACACGTACATGTCGCACAATCTCCAGACTTCCACAGCAGGAGGTAATTCTTGGTTCTCTTTAATTGTCGGATGTTTTTTACATTTGTAAACTGGTGTGCAAACTGAGAGATCTGCTGAATTAAGATGGTAAGGTAGAGGTTCGTATACCGTGTCCCTTACTGCAGCCAGTACAACATGACACATGTCAACTAGGACATTTCGTCTCTGACTTAAGGACTGTTTTCAACACGGCATAATATTCATTCATACCGGTAGTAAATCGATGTAAATTGTCCGAGTAGAGAAGAAGGCCATAACTTATGAAATGGATGTGTTTGTTTCGAACCCACACTGACTCTTCCTTGCACGCGAGATTCACGTGAAGGATTCAGGTGTCATCAACCGTCACAAGCCTAAAATGAAAAGGTGCGACGAGATTTTGACTAGATTATCTCACATTCCCTCATATTACATTCCCTGCCCTGCATAGCCCTGATATAAGCATGTCTGTTAAAATATCGTTGTTTATTTCAACATATGGTCAGTGAATGACCTTCATACACCCACCCACCCCCACCCCCACCCACCCCCACCCCAAAGCTTGAACCTCGGACAC